CTGAAGAATAGAATAATCATTTATATATAGTGATAATTTTAATAATAATTTTTGTAGTACTTAGCACAGTGCATTCTTTCTTTTAATAGTAGATCTTCACTTTTTAGAACTAGAATATTGATTGTAACTCTTCTATAGTTGTAGAACTGAGCTTTAGTAAGTAATTCAACTGGATTTCTTCACTATCTTGCTTGTGCCATGCTTATACACGTGTAGTGTAAACGTCACGATACATCACTTCCGGCGCCAAGGATCGAGCGCATCCTGTTTCATATCCATGTGTGTATGTACCGTGCTTTGCAGGTTGCTTGACCTTGCAAACTCGTAATCACGTGACTTTCCCCATACTAATAATACATGTCACGTGAGCAGGAAGTAAGAAAATTGGGTCAAGCAACCTGCAAAGCACGGTAGTATCTATGCTGAAATTAATCGAGAATAATAATTAATCTAATAGTTAATAGGCCTAAAGCTAATCTATAAATTTTAACTAGGACGATGTTAAAAACATTATGGGGCGAGCACGAGCGAGCTTTGTGAATTTATGGGAAAATAATAAGCTATTACAATTTTAATACTTCATTTCAAGTTGTCAATGACAAAAATGAACAAAACCAAGTTATTACATGTAGTTGTGTCACTGGATCAACTTTTACCTTTATGGTTGAATCATAAAGTGTCTATGGTTGAATTTAGCTTACTCTCTTTATTGATTGCAGCTTATATTCTATAATGAGGCTTTTGAAATAAAATGACTTAAAAATCTTCGTTGTCTAAAAGAGCCTGTTGCTTTAACTTAAAGAGCTTTTTACACTGACTTGCAAATGCCACCAGTCTTTTTACACTGACTTGCAAATACCATCAGACTGATGGCATTTGCAAGTCAGTGTAAAAGACTGATGGCATTTGCAAGTCAGTGTAAAAGACTGATGGCATTTGCAAGTCAGTGTAAAAAGCTCTTAAAGTTAAAGCAACTGGCAATCTTTCTACTGTATTCTACATCTGATGTAAAATACAGTAGAAAGATTACCAGTTTAGTCAAGTCAGTCAGAAACTGACATTTGCTTGACTTTTACAGTTTACTTATGCTATTATGTCAACAAAAAGGAGTTTCATAGTTACTTTATTGCATCTTTCCCCTTCTTAAACTGTTAGAGAAGTCTTTGAACGCTGTGTTTGCCCTATCTTGTTGCTAGAAAGCTCATGATTTCTTCCCGTGTGTTTATCGCCATTTTATTTTACTGCGGCCACTCCCACTTTCAATGGAAATATTGAAATTTAGAATTTATTGCATTGCTAATGCATGTGCTATCATGGATATATAGAGGAGATACGGAATACGTACGTGTATAGTCGGTTTCAGTGCAGTTAGTTGAGTTTGACAGGAAGTTTTCATCATCAAAACGTCATGTGTATCCCCGCCCACACATGCAAATAAAATGGCTGAAACTACAATGTGCTCTCTTTTTCTTCCACTAACTCCTTGAGTCTCTTGTTTTGGGCGCTATTTCCTCTACATATTACCTGCAGGATCTTTGTCTTTGTTATCACTTCAAAAAGAGGCAAGAAATGCAAGATTACTAGACGAATGTAAAACATTAAGGGGCTCAGCCCCCTAGCCACGCTATATTTTAAAGGTTATATGGTATAGAGCTACATTATTGTACATGTACATGAGTAAATACAGTAGTTTGTAATGAAGTTATCATGCTTGGAAATACAAATTTTCTTTATCAGTTTATCACATTCTGCAGCAAAAAAGTTGTGTTGGAAGCCAGAGACAGTAACTGCAGTCATAGGTTGTCAGTAGTTGTGGAGGCTTTACAAGCTCACAACTGTCGCATATCTGCCTTCTTAATCTTCCTTGCTGTATTTGGAAAGTAGTAGAGACTTCTCTTGCATTCTTGCTGACTCAAGTGAGTGACTTGTAACTTGTAAGGTCAAGAACATGAACTGAGAACAATGAAGAATTGATAGCTGGCACCATTTTATTTCACTGTGACCACACCCGTTTTCAAAGAAGATTAAGATTAGGTTATTAAAATAGGAAAATTTTTCATACGGATAAATAGGGGTGACGTACGTGTACAAACAAACAAACAAACATACTCTACTCGAACTAGTGGGCTTCGCCCAACAAGGGATTTTTGGAGCGGTAAAAAGTGACAGCAGTTATGAAGGATTGGAGAAGTAAAGCAGACAAGCTGAGGCTTCTTTCTGGAGTGCAAGACCTTCTAGTGAATAATCCTTTAGTCTGGGGGTGTTCCTTTTGCTTTATATTATTTTTAAACAAATAAAACATGATTGTTAACAAATGTAATGAGATGCAAATTATATTCACGAGCATAACACGCAATGCAACATCATGGCGGCTTCTTTGATGAAGACCGGAAGAACCCGTTGAGAACCTTCCAGAGTACCCAGAGACTCCAAAATCAATCCAGATATGCGGAAGAACCCGTTATGCAACCATACCAAGTTTTAAGTTGCTAGCATTAATAAAAAAAAAGTTATAAGGATGTTTCACCTGTCAAACTCAACTGAAACCCACTATACAGACATACATACATACAAACTCTGCTTGTCTTAGTGGGCTCGCCCATGCTCGCCCCAATTAACCCATACGATACGTCACGTGCAATTAGAGCAACAGCAACTCTAGAGCAAGTCGAGATTTAGATATGTCAGGATATCCACCAGAGCAGCAAGGATATGACTATCCTCCTCAGCAAGGCTATGCCCCACCGCCAGGCTATGCCCCACAGCCAGGCTATCCTCCACAGCAGCAAGGATACCAGCCTCCTCCTCCTGGCTACGGTGGATATCAGCAAGGACCCTCTGGCCCAGTCCCACAGCAGCAGCAGGCGTCTAATAATGTTGTTGTTGTTCAGCAGCAACCACCTTCAGTAAGAGTTTATACAATTAGATCTAGATCGTTAATTTTTTTCTTTTCACTATCAGCAAACCGTGGTGGTGAGAAAGGATGACAGTCCCAATCACGTCCTGCACTGCATCATCACCTTCTTTTGTCCAATTTGGATATTTGTATGGCTGATTCTTTGCTGCATATATGGATGTTGAACCCAGCTATTCCATGCATGCTTTGATTACATTTATACATGGCCTTGATTTAAGTTATAATTGTAATATCGTAGTCATAATGTTGTTGTAGTTATCTTTTGTTATTATTCTAATCATGATGAAACTAAATTTTGGTAACATCTGGTTTCCAGACTAGCCCTACAACAGCTTACCATGACAGCAACCACAAGCCCACAACTAAATCTATATATGGAAAACAATACAATTCACACCATAACACTAGTGATGTCCTCCTACCCCTGGCCCTGTACTCAAAGAATTCACGGCCATTGTCTGGAACTGTTTGCAAATCTAGTATATAAACTAATAGACTACATTTAAGCATTCTTGGTATTCAGATTTTACAAACTAAACTGCATTACAAGCTAATTTACTCTTGTTATAGTGTTATTACAGCAATTCCCTTCACAATAACACTAGGGTACTACTAAATCTAGCTAAGCTAACACCATAGATATTATAGACTACATTATGCTAACACGTTGAAATGGGAGTGGTATGGTATGGGCTAGATCACGTGACACAGTTATTAATTAAAATTTACAAACAATCGCACAATGGCCTCTGTTTCTAAAGCAGTAGCTTCTACTGTCCTCCTTATATTACTAGCTACCCTGCCATATATGAAAGTATCATTTAAAGGGGATCTTCAGAAAGTATTGACCGGTTTGCTGTACCAAGAGGGACGTTACTTGGTCGATAATGGAAGGAGAGTGGCTGTAGGCTTTGGATCATGTTGGGACCTGGTGACTGATGGAGTAAAACTCCTTGAAGCCTCAGGGATATCTCCACCGGTGACTCCTGAGCATTATGATGTAGTCTCGAATGGTGATGATTTGGCTAAGATATTTGCATACTTCTTTGAGAGCGGAGCAGCTGCAGAGTAAGGAGTTTGAGAATTTTTTGCATGCAGAGAATCATTATATTGGATTATTAGTACTAGTCTGTCCTGCCTCTTCTTTACACGCCACTCCCATGCAGTGAAGAGGCGGGTCCAAACTACATTATTTAGTACTAAAACAAACTGTGCAATACACACTCTTTTTGCTACAACCTCTGATATCAATGTTCCTGTACTACATAATGGAAATTAAGTTTTTTTAGGTAACCTTATAAATAAAACCTTGACATTTGTCCTATGCCACTACGGAGTTTATAAATGCTCGTAACTCGGGAAATATTTGTCGGAATCAGTTCAAACCTTCTACATAGCATAAGGGCATCAATATATATCAGAAAATGTAGTAAAAATTGGGGGTCATTTTGGAGCCATTTTTTGGAAAAAACCATGGGCTATAGTACAGGGTATTTTTCAGATTTTGGCCCATTTTTTTCAAATGAGCATAACTCGAAAAATTGAAGTTGGAATCAGTTCAAACTTTCTACATAGCATAAGGACATCAATATGCATCAGAAAATGTAATAAAAATTGGGGGTGATTTTGGAGCCATTTTTTGGAAAAAACCATGGGCTATAGTACAGGATATTTTTCAGATTTTGGCCCATTTTTTCAGATGAGCATAACTCAAAAAATTGAAGTCGGAATCAGCTCAAACTTTCTACATAGCATAAGGACATCAATATGCATCAGAAAATGTAATAAAAATTGGGGGTGATTTTGGAGCCATTTTTTGGAAAAAAACCATGGGCTATAGTACAGGATATTTTTCAGATTTTGGCCCATTTTTTCAGATGAGCATAACTCAAAAAATTAAAGTCGGAAGCGGCTCAAACTTTCTACACAGCATAAGGACATCAATATGCATCAGAAAATGTAATAAAAATTGGGGGTGATTTTGGAGCCATTTTTTGGAAAAAAAACATGGGCTATAGCCTTGGCTTTTTTTTAAATTGGCTCATTTTAAAAATACTCATAACTCGGAAAATATTTATCTGTTACTTTTGCACCTTTATCCCTTACTGTGTCTATTTTATTCTGTAATAATTATTATTGTGGTAAAAATTATTCTTTTTAATTTTATGTAGGCGGTTCTCAAATGACAGTACTTTCTTTAATGCTCTTGTATCAACCACTACTCATAGGCTCAATGAGTCGCACTGGGCAGTCGGTGGGAATGCCCCAGTCATATCACAGAGACTAGCAATGGAAGGATGGGAGGTACTCTTAGCCGCCTTAATGAGACCCAAGACAGCAAAAAGCATCCATCCCTCCATCAAACTATCCACAGACACTGGTACGAACAACATGAAGGAGGACGTTCACCTAATAATGGAGTTTGGATATGAGTCGGTCTGGGGCAAGTACAAGAGCCCCAGGGCTAACAGGTTCATCCTCCACAATGACTATTCAAACATGATGCTCGAGTCTTTAAATGGGTTTGCCAGAGCCGTTATAGACTTTAAGCCAGACTTGGTTATAATCGGTGGACTCCAAATGATGGACAATTTCTATTACGATCCAAAGATACGGACAGAGAGACTAAGAGAGCTAGGAAAGTTATTAGAGTCTCTGCCTAGGAGCACTAAAATTCATTTTGAAATGGCTTCATTCACCGATGAAGGATTCTTAAAAGAATTATTGGAGTATGTGATACCATATGCCGACTCCATGGGCATGAACGAGCAAGAGCTGGCCAATCTTTATTCGCTCCTTAAGGCTGGTAGCATCAAACTAGTGGCTGATTTCAATCCAAGGGTAGCTGCATCGCTAGATGAAGGTCGTGAAATACTATCAATGCTAGAGACTAGAAAAAGAAATCTCTCCTTTTCTTCGTATCGGCAATTAACTCGATTACACATTCACACACTGGCCTATCAAGCTATATTTACACTCAAGGACTCGGGCTGGGTCCATACCAGAACAGCAACTGCTAAAGCCTCTCTGATGGCCAATCGTCACGTTTGCTCATCGCACGAAGTAAACCTTGAGAGCGCTAAACTCATTATGGACGAGTCTTTCTCGGTGAGCACTCAGCCTGGAAGCACCCGAGTGCTACTGACTGAGGAGGAACCGGTTTCCTGTTGGTTCGAAGGACCTATGAAGATCTGTGTGGCTCCTAACATAGTCTGTACTGCTGTCTATAAGACTGCAGGGGCTGGGGATAACATATCCGCTGCAGGTTTGTCAGTTCAACTTTGAGATGGTACCGTACATCAATTGCTAATAATGAAATGGGCTTATAAATAATTTTCATCAATCAGTGCAACACAGCTATAATGCTATCCTCTCCTTCATGTATGATTTTGAAACTTGTTTTTTTTTTGAAACAACAAGTAGCAACTACTAGAAAAATAATAATGAGCACTACAATAGATATAGATAGTGATATAATACAGAAGAGATTGCAATATAAAAACACACAACACAATATAATAATGTTATGGGGTTCAGTTTAGTAAAGCAGCAGTATTACAGCAGCCAGCTTTGCTTGGTTATATCGTTTCCATTTGAATGGTCATGGGCTTGTAACCCTTTACAAAAGAAACTTCATCATTCTACAAGAAAAAGAAACCTTTTATTAATACATTACACATTTTAGTTACAGTTGTATGATGACAATAGTGATGATTTGGCTAGCACATCAAACTTTCAATGTTTGACTTGCCAACTTAGTATCACAACATTTGTACAAACCAGTCGTGTACATGTACAATGTACATGCATATAATAGAGATGGGTATACATGCATTAATTACTGTAATACATTCATTAACTTACATGTACGTCAGCCATTGGCAGACGATGGTGTCGGAATTGGTGTTGATTTTTCTTCTTGAAAGCAAACTACAAACAAAACAAGTGACTCCATTTTCCTCCTTCTTTCCTACACACACACACACACTCCACTTACAATGGTAAGAACTGCTAATACAATGAGAACAACAAACAAGAGGCCAGCAGCAGACACATATATCCAGAAGAACATGCCTCCATCATCATCAGACTCCTTGTCTCCTCCATTGTTATCAAGCTCACTTGTAGAGCCAGACTGACTGTAATGGAAGTCACCAGTTGGTGTTAGAGTAGTGTTCTGATATATTATAACTAGTGTCTTGTTCTTGTACTATATAGGGGAAGAGAGAGAGAGAGAGATTGATGTGATATATTTATCAATACACAGACTAACATCTTGTTCCATTTGTATGAGGAGATGAGTGACATTGGCACTATCAGATCCATCCTTCAGAGTGACAGTAATGATGACACTTCCTCTTGAGAGGTAAATGGCTTTTATCTGTGACTTCTGTAAGCCGGTCTTAGAGGCGTACTTAGCCACAAGACTCTCCTTTATCATTAGCTTGAAGGAGCTTGGGTTGGCTGTAAGACTATCGTAATCACCAGTGAACCTCATTGTGACATTCAAACTAAAGAACAAAGAGAAAGAAATAGATTTGAAGCACATTTATCGAGTCACTGTACAATCTTACACTTTAGTGATAGGATTATGACAAGATTTAGATTTAGTGCAAGTGATCTTAAGGTCTTTGCAAGAGCTATGAGAGAGAAAGAATAATGAGAATAAATGATATAAAAGGTAATCGCATACCAAACAGAGCAACCATCATTGATTGTGCGACCTTCAGGTATGCTCATATTACCAGCAGAACAGACAGGCACTGCAATAGGAAATAAAAAATGACTGACATAATAAATATGGCCTTGTTTAAACAAACATTATGATGTGCATTTTAAAATTGTGATTTTTTAATTGTGTGAAATTACATGTTGCACATGTACATGTATATCTAATGTGAAAACTCACAGCAAGCTTTCTCTGTACACACAGCAATACCATTGGAACAGAAACTAGAGAGAGGAAGAGAGAAAGAAAATAAATCATGCTTTTTTAATGCTCAAATTCACCATGTGTTACAACCATCAGGAGCTTTAAAATTAGTCCCACTTGCATAATTCTTACCACCGACATTACAAGGAGCTTTTTAAGACAACAAAAATAAAGTTTAAAAAAATAATAATGAAAAACTTACGACAAGCCATCTCAGTACAGGCAGCCATTCCATTATAGCAAGTACTGCAAGATGAGGTAAATTGATAATATTGAGTATATCGTGTCCTTACCAAGTATTGCAACCATCAGGGGCAGTGAAGGATGAACCACTAGCATGACTAACACCATCAACTACACAGGGGGCTGGAGAGATAGAGAGATACACGTGATACTGTGCAATGATTTAAATGAAAAACTTACGACATAACATTCTTGTACAACCAGTTACACCATTAGTGCAATGACTAAAAAAATAATAAAAATCAATAAGATATAGGATGCATACATTTTTGCAGTAATTTGCACGTAATAGTGTTGATCGGCCTTACCATGTGTTACAACCATCAGGAGCAGTGAATGTGCTATTATTAGGATGAGAAACACCATTGATAGTACAAGAAGTACTAGAAGCTAACAGAATAAAAAAAAATAATAATAATAACAACAAGCATATTAAACAAAATAAAATAATAATAACAACAAGCATAATAATGAAAACAACAATGGTAACAAAAATAAACATAATAACAATAAGTAATTTTTATTATTATTATTTTTAACATCTTACGAGGTGGACAGTAAGGGCAGCAGTGCTTGTCATCACTGATTGGTTTAATGCCATCACCACAGTTGGGCCAGTCACACATTATACCCTAAAAAGTTATAATTAAATAATAAAATGTAAATGCTATTTTTAATAAAATAAAAGCACATGTACATTGTACATGTACCTCTGCATGCTTAATGATGACATAAATTGTGTAAATATTACACTTAGTCACTTACGTTACAATTGAGTCCTTCAACGTCACATTCTGGCTGCTGGTGCATGACAGGTGATGATGTTGGCTTCCCAGTGGTTGTGTTCACACACCAGCACATACCAGTAGACCCATGACACTGTACACTGCTGAAATCGCCTTTAGCATCACACTGTGGTGTATAAGCACCTATAAGCAGGCCCTAAAACAACAAATAAAAATGACAAATAAAATAAAAACAAAAGAGTCAGATCATCTAAAGTGCTACATTAAAATGTACATGTACATACATTTGTGCTCTGTGTGCTATTCACAACTGCAGGGCAAAGAGGTGTAGGCTTGACTCCTTTCATACACATAGACCCACAGCCAGTCGGACAGCATAACTCGTCCTCTTGGCAGACGGCGTGACTCTTACAACCAAAATCAATGGAGCAGAAAACCCCAAGAATAGGATTAATGGGAGGACAACTCATCGGAGGCTTATAGTAAGGTATGGAGGTTGAGGTCGTGCAGGAATGACCACATCCATTGGAGCAACACTTCTCTGTTTCTTCGCAAGAGGAATCGGCGGAACATTCTTCTTCGCAAGCTCCAACGACTGACTGGGATGGATCAGGAGTTGGACACATGTCAACGTGAGAGAGGTTGGCTGGTACTGAGGGTAGCTCTACTACAACACCAGCTACAGGAATAATAATAATAATAATAATAATAATAATAATAATAATAATAATAATGCTCTTATGAGATGTACATATACATGTACTATACATCTTTTAGGTTGAGTTTTTCAGGTTAATACATTGCATGTACATGTACATGTATATTTAGAAGGGTATGTAAAGGTTACTCACCACATGCTTCCAGACAGGCCAGTTGAGTGCTGAACCTGTTATCATTGCCACCACATCCACCGTATGTGAAACTCTCGCATTTTGATGAGGTTGAGTTATAGAAATAGGACGGGATACTGCCTCTGCAGTTCCCAACAACAGGAGAGAGCTTACAATAGTCTGTATGAGAGAAAGAAAAAGAAAATAGGGATAGAATGGAGGACAAAAAATAGGAGATAGAATATTTTTTTAATATAAATATTGTGGACAATGTGTGAAAGAGAGAGGGCTATGTGGGTTTATGACTAACCAGGTAGTGAAGATGTTGAATCAGAGGAATCTAAAGACAAAATATAAAACACAGTAATTAAAAGAACAAAAGAGGTCACATTAAAAGAACAAAGAGGTCACATACATACCAGTAGTAGTAGTGGAATGACAGACTGGCTTTGATCTTGCTGGTTGTGTGGTTGCTTTACCAGTCTTTACATCAACACACCAGCAATATCCTTCATGACACTGTATCTCTGAAAAGTCTCCATTCTCTTTACACTGTGGTATGTATGCACCCAATAGGCCACTGGAACTATTAGTAGCTTTGAGTTTAACAGCAGAGCACAGTGGGCTTGGTGTCACACCAGTAGTACATACTCTACTGCAGCCATTAGAGCAGCATAGTGAACCAGAGTCACATGTGCGGTTAGTAGTACCAGTACAAGCTGGATCAATAGAACATATTCCAGCATTACCAGTGACATTGGGACACATTAATGGAGGATCAATGTATGGAGCAGTAATAGCTGGAGGAGATGTAGTGGTATGTGGTGGTACTATTAGACATTAAGATACAGTATAGATTGTATTCAAATTATAACTTACAGCAAGCCATCATAGTACAGGCAGCTACTCCAGTACTGGTACAATGACTACATGAGATGAATAGTTGAAATATAATGTAAATGTTTTATTACGACTTACCAAGTATTGCAACCATCAGTAGCTTTAAAACTATCACCAACAGCATAGGTATTACCACCAGACTTGCAAGTAACTAATTAAAAATAAAGATTTAGTAACTCATTGATATACATGTACATGTACAATGTACATACTGGCAGTAGTAGTTGTTGCATTACAGACTGGGTGTGATCTTGCTGGTTGTGTGGTTGCTTTACCAGTCTTTACATCAACACACCAGCAATATCCTTCATGACACTGTATCTCTGAAAAGTCTCCATTCTCTTTACACTGTGGTATGTATGCACCCAATAGGCCACTGGAACTATTAGTAGCTTTGAGTTTAACAGCAGAGCACAGTGGGCTTGGTGTCACACCAGTAGTACACACTCTACTGCAGCCATTAGAGCAGCAGAGTTTTCCAGAGTCACATGTGCGGTTAGTAGTACCAGTACAAGCTAAATCAATAGCACATAATCCAACATTACCAGTGACATTGGGACACATTAATGGAGGATCAATGTATGGAGCAGTAATAGCTGGAGGAGATGTAGTGGTATGTGGTGGTACTATTAGACATAAAGACATTCATTGTATGTACATTTATCATATTGAAACTTACAGCAAGCCATCATAGTACAGGCAGCTACTCCAGTACTAGTACAATGACTAGATGAGATGAGTAGTTGAAGTATAATGTAAATGCTTTATTATGACTTACCAAGTATTGCAACCATCAGTAGCTTTAAAACTCTCTCCAACAGCATAGGTATTACCACCAGACTTGCAAGTAACTAATTATTAACAATAAAGATTGAGTAACTCATTGACAATGAACATACCGGCAGTAGTAGTTGTTGCATTACAGACTGGGTGTGATCTTGCTGGTTGTGTGGTTGCTTTACCAGTCTTTACATCAACACACCAGCAATATCCTTCATGACACTGTATCTCTGAAAAGTCTCCATTCTCTTTACACTGTGGTATATATGCACCCAATAGGCCACTGGAACTATTAGTAGCTTTAAGTTTAACAGCAGAGCACAGTGGGCTTGGTGTCACACCAGTAGTACACACTCTACTGCAGCCATTGAAGCAGCATAGTGAACCAGAGTCACATGTGCGGTTAGTAGTACCAGTACAAGCTAAATCAATAGCACATAATCCAACATTACCAGTGACATTGGGACACATTAATGGAGGATCAATGTATGGAGCAGTAATAGCTGGAGGAGATGTAGTGGTATGTGGTGGTACTATTAGACATAAAGACATTAATTACTCTTGATTTTATGCATTTATCATTATTAAAACTTACAGCAAGCCATCATAGTACAGGCAGCTACTCCAGTGCTAGTACAATGACTAGATGAGATGAGTAGTTGAAGTATAATGTAAATGCTTTATTATGACTTACCAAGTATTGCAACCATCAGTAGCTTTAAAACTATCACCAACAGCATAGGTATTACCACCAGACTTGCAAGTAACTAATTAACAATAAAGATTGAGTAACTCATTGATATACATGTACAAATGAACATACCGGCAGTAGTAGTTGTTGCATTACAGACTGGGTGTGATCTTGCTGGTTGTGTAGTTGCTTTACCAGTCTTTACATCAACACACCAGCAATATCCTTCATGACACTGTATCTCTGAAAAGTCTCCATTCTCTTTACACTGTGGTATGTATGCACCCAATAGGCCACTGGAACTATTAGTAGCTTTAAGTTTAACAGCAGTACACAGTGGGCTTGGTAACAGACCAGTAGTACAGACTGTACCACAGCCATTAGAGCAGCAGAGCTTCCCAGAGTCACACGTAGTGTCAGCATTCTCAGCACAAGCTGCCTCTATTATGCAAGCACCTCTCTTATCTATTGCTGGGCAACTCATTGGGGGCTCAACATATGGAGCCTTAATAGTAGAAGCTACTGCATAACAAAATTATAATGAATGGATTAAAGTAATATAAAATAATTTGCTTACCAGTTGGAGTAGATGTTGTTGTAGCTATAGAAAAGAGAAAAGAGAGAGAGAGTAATGTATTATTAGTAAGTGACAAAGGAAGGAACAGTTAACACTTATTAACACTCACTGTTGCTGACTGGACATTGAGATGGCTCAACACAAGCGTCATTGAGTAGAACCATTCCAGTAGGACAGAAGCAACCAGCCACACAAACCAAAGGACAAATTATGTTCTTGTCTTTGTTCTCACAAGTCAATGGGCACTCAGTACCACACTCTGTGTATCTCTTTCCATTGGTACATGTAGGAGCTGAATATAAATGAATAATTTAATCTAAAAGTAAGCAAATATTAACATGCACTCACTGTTGCTAGGGCATTGAGATGGTTCAACACAGGCATCATTGAGTAGAACCATTCCAGTAGGACAGAAGCAACCAGCAACACAAACATCAGCACATCCAGTGTGCTTGTCTTTATTCTCACATGTCAATGGGCACTCAGTACCACACTCTGTGTAGCTTTTTCCATTGGTACATGTAGGAGCTGATTTTTATATACACAATGTAAAATTAATGAATAATTTAATCTAAAAGTTAGCACTCACTGTTGCTAGGGCATTGAGATGGTTCGACACAGACACCATTATGTAGAACCATTCCAGTAGGACAGAAGCAGCCAGCAACACACACATCAGGGCATACAATGTTCTTGTCTTTGTTCTCACATGTCAATGGACACTCAGTACCACACTCTGTGTATCTCTTTCCATTGGTACAGGCAGGGACTGAATATTAATAATAACAAAAATAAGAGAGAGTTAGTGTATGATTATTGTATTACCTGGAGTAGCTGAGGGAGCTGGTGTAGAACCTACAGTATGAAATATATGAACACACTCAACACAGCATTATTTCATGCATCAAGTTCAAAAAGTTTCAGTAATAATGATAAACAAGCGCTATCAGTCAGTTTTGTGTTGCCTTATCGTCCAAAAAGTACTACGTGTATATTGTAACTAAGCAGTTTATTTTAAAATAGCAAAATAAACTCGCAAGACAAAACAAAAATGATAGTGGAAATGACAATGTACTCCACTACAGGTACAAGTACATGAGCAACTATGGGTATTTTCTCTCTCTCTTCCTCTTTCCCATATGTTCAATTGTTCACACAAGCTCAATACAATTACTACCAATACATTAGTTGCATATGCTACAGTGCTAAAACAGTGTGTTAATGTTATAATACTTACTTTCTTGTGAAGTGCTGATGACAGCAGCTACCAGTGAGAGAAACAAGACTACATAAGGAATACAGAACAAATTCATTAAGCAATGAAAGTTATAATAATACAATGAAGCAGTGATATTCAACTCAGTGAGGACAATGGTCTAAAAATGAGCTGATTCTAAGGGTCAAGCTATCAATAGCTAATGCTATGACGTATCAGTTGTGCAATAGTTGCAGAGTGCAATGGAATCGATTGCATATCAATTATCATAAAATATACTATAGGTATCAAAAACACTAACATTCAGTGCACCAATCGTAACTTAAAGGCTATAGCCTATACTGTTGTGCATGTATAACTTATAAAATGCACTGGATGCATAACTATGATCCATTAAAGTACACTTCTTTGGAATTCCAATTATGATAGTATGCCAGTTCCTTTTGAAAGCACACTACTAAGTATTCATATGCTGCTACTATAACTAAGTATAAACTCTCTATCTCTACACTTAGACTACATTTAGATAGATAGAGACTACATAATGACATTTTTAGATATTAAAACTGATAACAGACTTTCCATCTCTACTGTGGCTAAGAAAGCTAACCTGTAGAAGATATAACCTACAAAAAAAGGAACTTCAACATCTTTTAAACCATCTGTATCATATTTACCTTCATTCTAAACCTGGATCCCCTATTAGAAAGCCAAGGAAGGCAGATTTATTTACAAGATTTCTCTTGACACCGACACCGAGACTGAGTCAACAGATTGCACACGTCCGTATACTTGGCTAGCACGGCAGCCACGCCCTTGGACACCAGCCCCACCTTTTTGTGCATTTCCATTGCTTGAAGTAGTTCAGAGGAGAAAATTACACTTGATGTATTGAAGTATTGAGTAGTTGATATTAGGGAAGGTGATGGTAGTGGGGGTAGCTCTAGTGTCTCATTTGCAATAACTGTTCATTGCACGTACGCAAAAATATAACATGACATATCATTAATTGCAAGCTAAAAAAGCAACTTAAGCAAGGTCACCAAATACATCAATGACTACCAAAAAAACTCAAAAGATCTATTTTATTAAAATAATTAAATAAAAACAAACTTGAATAGAATTAAGTTATCACACAAATAAGGAAGGCATATAAAGTAAAATAATATTGTCGCTCAACTTAATGCCTTAATCTAGTTGCTAGTTGTTATTTAAAACTAGAAGGTAAAGGAGCAACAATGAGAAGATGAGGAGGCCTGATACACTTGCAGCAGATGCTAAAAATTCAAGAGAAGCATTAATGAAATTATTAAAGCATGATTATTAATTATGCAACTCACAGCTACTCGTGGGACATCGAGTGCAGACATCATCTTGTAGGGCAGTGCCAGTAGGACAAAAACAATCAGAGACACAAACTGCTGCACATGTCCGTGGCACATCCACATTCTCACAGGTGACATTCAGATTGCATGCTGATCCACACAGCCTAAAAACCATACCACCAGTGCAGTTACGAGCTGGACAATGGTAAAAAATATTATAATTCATATCATATGCATCTAATATACTCACTTTCAGTAGAGTTGGGACACATTTCTGGGTCAATGCATGTGTCATTATCTACTAGAGCTTGTCCAGAAGGACAAAAACAACCAGAAACACAAACTGCTGGGCATACTACGTCGTCATCTCTGTTCTCACATGTCAGGGGGCATTGAGAACCACAGGTCCTGTACTGCATTCCAGTAGGACATGTAGGACCTCAACATAATGTGAAAATGCAGCATACAGTATATATACAATAGTAACAATACTAACTTTGTTGTTGACTAATTTCAATGAGAGTCAGGACTGTGTAAATAAAAGCATGCATTGTCGTTCATTTATAAGTAAAAGTTCAACATACCAGCAAATAGTAGAAAGAGCACCTTCATCCTAATCTAGATCAAATAGTAAATGATGAAAGCAGTCCTGGTATCTGGAAACTTAGCAAAAAATAGTATCAGAAAATAGAGATGCAGCCAGGAAGACTCAGCACATAGTGATCATAGTTCACCTACAAAATTAGAAATTATTTGTTGTACTGTTACTATAGCTGCCATCTCGTGGGCGGTGCTTAAAATGTAATTCGACACGCCTACAAAATGGCCGTTTGGTTATAATCATGCTGCAGCAAAGTGGTGCAAAGAAGGAGCACAAGGATGAAGCCCTACCTCACTATCTCTGGGGACTGGACTGTGTGTTTCATGCAAGAGTCAAACTGAATATTTCTGATGTAATAAAGCTTGAAGAATATCCAAACTATGCAGGTGGAATAATTAAAATCAAGATTAAAATAGTCTAATTGTATCAAATTAATTTTAGATTTGATTTTCTAGATATTTATTGTATATCAAATCATCCTATCAGTAGCGTGTGCATCATGGGAGATGTCAGGGGAATAGTTCTGAAAGAGAGATTCATTATTTATGATGGTATGCATTTAACCAAGAGTGGATAACCGATGCATTAGCAGCATTAGTAGTTTTTGTGTATCATGTAATTAACCCATTTCTTTGTTCTTATATGCTTGCTGGCCTTTAATATTATTATAGTTGATGATGGTACAGGATGCATTGAGTGTAAATGGACGAGGGAAGAGGTACATGATGCACCACAAGTAGCACTTGGGGATCTAGTGAGAGTAACTGGGAAAGTATCCAATTTCAAAGGATACAGGAATATCTGGATAATGACCATGTGTAAGGGTGTCATTGCTTCATAAAATTTGATTATTTTTTGTGTTGATATTAGATAAAGAGACGGATCCAAATGCCGAAATCCTTCACTGGCTGCAAACTATCGAGTTAAAGAAGGCTCTTTATAACAAGCCGTTTACTCTCCCTCCATCGTTTTATGAACAGTAGGTATAAAGCATTATTATGATCTGCTAGAATATCATTTAATCCTCTCAGTAGGACTAAGCTTAGAAGAACTGACATTAAAGATAAAACCATTTCTACTCTAAATGAGCTAAGCAAGACTAAAACAACATTTCAGAAAAGGGAGCTGAAATGTTTGGTATGTATGTAAAGCATTTTCTACTAATGCATTATAGATCTTACTAGATCAGTCAAAATATGGATAACACTGATGAATGTGACATACAGGAAGTATTAGCACTCCTCGTGACAGAGTGCTATTTGACTCAAACCAATGAAAACTATGAAGTAATACTGCATTAGACTATAATTCCTCTATTAACTCATTAACAGTTTTGTTCAGATGCTAGAATTTCTACTGTCTTACTCTCAATATTTAAGAAATGCATAGGTAGGCTAGGACATTAATCCTTAGCTCAATGTGCATAATTATTATGGAACATAAATTTTATAATAGGTTTGTCTGATCCTAGTATGACAGTGGAGCAGTTGATCCAAGAGCTTTCAGATACAGAAATCAAGCAATATATTACACGTAACAGACTGCAAGACAGTTTGCTGTTATTGTTGGAGAATAATCAGATTTATCCTATTGATGAGGACAAGTATCAGCTAATAGACTAGTAATAAAATCACTTGTTCACAAACTATTATTTTAGCTACATCTATATCACTATAACCCTCTTCCTTTTGGCTGGTAAATTTTTGAGCTATTTGAAAACTCGCCATCTTTTCCTTGGTTTATCATTGATTCATTTCTGAAATTTTTGGTATAGTTTATTTAAATTGTTAATAATTATAAAGCAATAGAAAAAAAATTAATCCGTCTTTGTTGGGCCTTCTTTCCAAGCAGCATACACATACAGCCCAATGACAATGTGTACTAGAATGACTGCAACAATGGCAGCACCAACAGAACCATCAGAATATCCCAACAATACTACAGAGAAATGAGCAATAGAATGATTGCAGCAGGTGCATATAATAGTAGCTAGTGTGCACACGTGCACCTATTACAACCTCTTATTATTGTATCTGTTGAATGGGAGGATTGTTCACACATGCAAACACAAGTGGCCATTGAAACTATTGTCACAGAGAAATTATTATGAGCAATGAGGCAGCCATTACAATAGGGTGGCAATTGGAGACTTGTGGCTACTGTGTTATTTTTGCAAAGGAATTTGCACAATCAACTTCTTAATAATTAGAAGTTTGCAAATTATTAAGTTTTAAAAATAAAATAAATTATATATTAAAATAAATAATTTTAATACCTTCAAAAATGAAATATTTAGATGAAAAGAAACCTCCAATTGGTAGGACTATCATCATAAGTGAATATATTAGTAAATTGAAGAAAGGAGTCCCAGAAACAGGAGGAGATGGACCTCTATTCATGATGCAGGACTTTAAAAGGGTGTGGTCAAAATACGAGCCCGCCCCTTTATTAATTAAATTATTGTTGATTTATAAAATCTAATTTTTATAATTTTTTTCATTATTGTTCTACATAATTATTAATATCAAGAGCCTTTAGAGGCACCTGGTTTGTCGAATTCTTCGTCCAGAAAGTTTTCTTGTTTGACAGCAAACATAGAGTAGGCATATATCCCTAGGACACCGGCAGCCAGTCCTAAGCCAACCACAGTGTTCCTTTTCCCATATCTTCTTCTTATCACTTCTTTAACTATCTCCCTTCTAATTGCTTCATCCCTTTTCGCTGCATCTGCTGCTGGATTCTTCACTTTTCCACTCTCCATTTTACTCATATTTTTATACCAAGGCCACGCCTCGCTGCCTCAAATTTTTTGATAAAATTTTTATGAGCTTTAGTTTTTATTAGGCATGGTCAAAGGGAAATCTTCATCATCCTCCAGATGGTTACAGAGACAATTTAAGGTACTGCAGCATGTGTAAAAGTTTAAGGATTTATCTATTTATTTAATATTTTGTTTTAATTTTTGGTATAATAATAATCCATTTGCATTCGTTGTTGATGCATGCATGAGCATGGTCGAGAGCATGGTGGATATTTTTGAGCAATTTTAAAAATTCATAAAAAAATTCAATCTTGATTGAAATCAGCTTAAACTTTCTACGTGACATAAGTACATATATATACATCAGAAAAAAGTATTAAAATGGAGAATTCTCTCCTTTTCAATTTTGGCGAAGTTTGACCCGAGACCATGTACTATAGTACAGGGACTTTGACCTCATTTTTTAGTTATTTAAAAAATTCATAAAAAATTCAATCTTGATTGAAATTAGCTCAAACTTTTTACGCAACATAAGTACATGTATATGCATCAGGAAAGGTTATAAAAATGAAGAATTTTCTTCTTTTCAATTTTGGCGAAATTTGACCCAAGACCATGTACTATAGTACAGGGACTTTGACCTGATTTTTTAGCTATTTAAAAAATTCATAAAAAATTCAATCTTATTGGAATCAGCTTAAACTTTCTACGTGACATAAGTACATATATATACATCAGAAAAAAGTATAAAAATGGAGAATTCTCTCCTTTTCAATTTTGGCAAAATTTGGCCCAAGACCTGTATGTATTAGAAAAAATTATATAAAAATGGAGAATTTTTCCAAGCCAGTTTTTTGTAAAATTTGGTGTAAGACCTATGTTACAGGGTCTTTGGCCAAAGTTTAGAGCAGTTTTTAAAAATGAAATGGTCTAATAAAATCTTGTCTTAATATTTAGGATCCATTAGTGAAGCAGTCTAAATTGGACGATTATCGTGCACGCAGTGCGTACAAACTAATTGAAATAGATAACAAGTATAATTTTCTAAAAAGAAAATCTGCAATTGTCAGTGACATTAACTTTAAAGCTATCATTTATAATAAATACGTTATATTACTGCAGGTTGACCTTGGTGCATGCCCAGGTTTTCTTCCACACTTTGCTCATTATGTTTTTAAAGTTATTTTGCTGCAGGGGCTTGGTCTCAGGTAGCTTCCCAGCGTATTGGTACCAGCCAGTTGAGCAATGATGAATTAGGTGAATACTGTAATAAAAGTATTATAATACATACTCAAAATATTTAATTAGTTTTTGTTGACTGATTTTTATTCATCACTATCACATAAAATTTTGTTGTCATTATTTATTTAAATAGTCACTTGGAATCACGGCATGGTGCTGGCAGTTGACAAAGAAGGTACATGAAATATGACAGAACCATGTTGATGATTATCATTATTATTATAGTTATGAGAGGACTTCCTGGAGTATTTGTAATAGACAGAGCTGACATTACCAGCTCAGAAACATTAAAACGAATATATAGCTTTCTCTCTCAAAGAAAAGTCGACGCGGTCATAAGGTAAGTCCAGTACTTAACTTTACTGTACATTTTTTAGCTATTTATCTTTATTTACTTATCCATTTATTTGGATGAGCTACTGCACGTTAGTATAATTATTGGTCATGTTTTGTACACAATCAATATTTATTATCATCACTCCCATGGTTTCTAATTTATTTTTAGTGACATGGCACCAAATGCTACTGGGATGCATAAGCTGGACCACGAGAGAATAATGGTAAGTGACACACTGCTGGTTGATCCTTATTGCTGTGCGAGTTTTTATAATAGGAACTAGCAAACACTGCTTTTCAAGTTGCTCAAAACTGCTTGAAAACTAATGGAACTTTTTTATGTAAGATTTTTCAAGGATCACTATTAAATGGTAAGCAGACGACTTTAAGTGTTATGGCTCACTGTCGGAGTGGTCTACCACTTACTCTGTATGATGTAGGGTTCAAACATGAATTAAAAACAAGCTTTGAGTCTGTACAGGAAATTCGGTGCCAAAGTACTCGCAAAGAATCAACAGAAATGTATTTACTTGCACAGCAGTACAAAGAAGACTGAACCTACTTACTACTCTACTACTATGCATCATGACTCATTGTGTAATGTTTAATTGAACTGTATGACCTTTTTAGGGATTTATATTTAATAACAAGACACCCACACATCCTTGAAGTAGTATAAAGTACATCAATATTAATGATAAGAGAGATAGAGACTCTAGACCATCTGTCATTTGGGGATATAGCTACTGGTAGAGTCTGAACCTGGCTCATAATATCAAGGTTAGTTCCAATGTTGCTATAGTACAATAAGAGTTACATTTATAGCACTGATTGCTTGCTTCCCTTTGTCCATGATTTACTATACTTTCCACAGTTAATTTACAGCTGTGTTGAGAGCTTGGTTTACATGTATATGTTTCTTTGAATTGTTGCATCTCAACTTTTGTAGTTTTATATGCTTCTTTGAATTGTTGCATTTCAACTTTTATACACACACACACACGCTCACTATCTCTAAGCTGCATTGTAATTTTGTTTGTTTGCAATTATAATTTTTGTGATCTTGCACACACAAAGGATGCATGCAAGGGCCGCATAATTAGCAAAGGCAGCTGGTGGTTTCTCTTTGTGGTTAGAGCTGAGCGTGAGAGAATCACTTTAAATTCAAATTATAATTGTGAGTGTCACTGGATTCTGTGTACGGTGTTGTTTCTCTTATATAGTAAAACTACTACTATGGATCCTTTAGCTACAACTTCTTTGAGTCCCTCTTCAGAGCTCTGCCAAGACTTGCCTGGACTATTAAACTCTATTGACATCGAGACATGGCCCGTCATTATATACATGCTGATAATAGTCAGCATATTCTCTTGTTGTTTGGCTGCTGTCCTCTCTTGCTTTCTGTGCTACTTTTGCTATCGCCACAAGCAAAGAAACAGCCAAGGTATGCGCCCATATGAATGGTGTACTCATTATATCTGACTTAATTGAATTAAGAGATTGTATAGTGGATTATAGTAATTTTATTAGTGACAGTCATACACTGAATTTAGAGCTGTTTGCATCTGCTGGGATTGATTGGAAGGGTTTCAATGTAAATCATGTATATGTAATGAAAATTTATGCCAATGTGAAAGCGTGGCTAGTAATGAGTTTCAATGACAGAATTAGCATGGTACAAACATTAAACTTTCATTGTAACATTGGTGCCCAAAAGCTTCCATTGGTTGAATATGATCTTTATAGTAGGTACCTGTTACATGTACATATATGCTAATATAAGCATGGAAAACAGGATCTACCATGCAGTTCCTATTTGATTAAGTTTGGAGCTACACATCAAGAACTAATGTTTCACGTGCAGCTAACACGTAATTGAAAGCACTTATCATCTTCCTAAATAACAGTTAAATGTAAATATAAATGTTTATTTTACAACTAAAATTGCTTTTATTTTTTTAATGAATATAACCAAGTGTGGGCTAAAATATTTTAGTTTGCATGCGTGGAAATGAGGACTTTCCCTTTGATAAAGCTTCATTGCAAATTAACCTACTTTTGATTGTTGTAATTCATTTTGCCTTCAAGTTTTACACATAGTCAAAATAGAAGAAGAGTACTCTTGTTGATATTGATATATTTCCAATAGATAGCAGCAGTTTTTCAAAGCGTTGGACCTCAGTCACCACCACAACTCCTATGATCACTTCACCGATCACGCAAGATGAAGAAAAGTACGACTTTAGCGACGGAGTACTATCTAACGAGCCAACCTCTAAGACATTCCAGACGACCAGCCTCACTGATGCCACCCATCAAGTATCAGTGGAGGTTACCATGCTCCCTGTTGCTACCCCAGCCCCTTGTATGCCAGCAAGCCTCAACAAATCTAAGTATAGAAGTTGTGATGAGATTACTGATGAGACTGTCCAGACACAGAGCTACAGTGTAGCTACTCCTAATCATTACACTCAGTCTACCAACAGTCTCCAGAGGAGGAGTCCAGCACAGGAGGGATCCAACCGTCCTTCTGTAAGCTCTTTCAAACCACAGCAGCAGTCCCAACAGACCGAGCATGAAAACAGGAATAATGGTGGCTCGTCCCGTGGCAGTGGTTCACAGAAACGAACCAATTATGTTCAAATTGTTGCTACAAAGAAGAAGGATCCTGTGGCTGCCCCTCCAACCCAGTCAGGCATAAGACCTCACACTCCGTCAAATCACATCACAGGACAGGATGCTTTACCGTCACGCTCTGCACGATCAAACTCCTCACCTGCAGTGAATGAAGTATTGTATGAGAACTCCTCTTCTGTTAGACTCATGGGTTTACTAGGGAAGCAGTCAACAATGCCTACTCCAATGCCAAGGAGGGGGAATCAAGAGTCACCTGAGTCCTCACCGTCTCACAGCTATGAGAACTCTCTTCCCTTTGCTCGGCTACAGACCAGCTCTCAGCATTCAACACCAACTCATGCTCAAACAGGAGCCACTAGTAATCCATCACCCAGAAGAGTTACTAATCCTGCCATAATTTCTCAAAACAAAAGCAGGGGCCCTCCACCAAATCCAAAGCCTAAGCCATCAGGAGCTCAGAGTGGTAGAGTCTCGGTAGACAATGCAGAGCATCAGCAGCTGCCGAGGTCTCGCTTTCTCTCTCATCCAGGACCTGTTGCTCATCTTGTTGAAAATGGTGATGATAGCCATATTTATTTATCACCTCGTACGGTTGGGGGCTCTGCTGTCCCATGGAAGCCATACAAGGAGCTTGATTTTACGACCCTTGAGCCCGAGAATGACTATGCAGTTCCTAACAGTTTGCTACAAGATGAAAATGATGAGAATGATTATTGTGTTCCTCCACCGACAGTTGACTCAACTGATGTCTTTTACTAGATTTTGTTGTTGTTATTGTTGTTTTTGTTACTGTTGTTGTCGTCGTCATTATTGTGTGATTTTATCATTGTGTGATTTTTACTGTTGTTGCTATTTATAATTTTTGCTTATTATTATTGATTATTGTTTGTTAATTTTTGATGAGGAACTTAGCTTCTAAATTAGATCTACATTAGATCTATTTTTTGTATGATTTTACAATTTTTTATGAATAGGTGTGGTTGAAATCAAAATGGTGAGTGAGTTTGTCTTGTAGTTTTAAAAAGTACCTGTGTAACTGTAACGTTAAAGACTTGATGTCACACTGTAGGCTGCCCTCAGCTTATTTAGGACTAATGTAGTAAGGCAAATCTACAGTGCAACAGTTAGATCTATGCCACTGACAGCATTTAGTTCTACTAGAAGATACTCAGTGAGATTGAGGATGGAAATTTTTATGTATTTTCCTGTTTCTGTCTTTTTCACAGGCGGTTAGGAAAGAGTATGACAGTTTTGGTGAGATAGAAGTCCCGGCTAGCTCTTATTATGGAGCACAAACTGCAAGATCCAAGGAGAACTTTCCCATTGGAGATGAGTCAGAGAGAATGCCAGTAAGACAAATAGGATAGAGATGTACAGTTGTATTTTATACTGCTGGGTTACAGAAACTTGGTTAAATAGTAGCCACTAGGAGAACTTCACTAAGAAATAGTTAGCTTACTCTCTCTCTCTTTCTTCTAGTACCCAGTGATTCATGCATTTGGTTATCTAAAGAAAGCTTGTGCTGAAGTTAATAAGGTACACTTTGGTATGGAAGAGAGGATTGGGGATCTCATTATGCAAGCTGCTACTGAGGTAATGTGCAAATTTAAAAAATTTCTTTTAAAAAATTCAATTTTGGATTGGAATCAGCTGAAACTACATACAGAGCATTATGCATCATAAAATGTAATAAAATGCTCATAACTCAAAAAGTATTTGTCAGAATCAGCTCAAACTTTCTACACAACATAAGTACATCAATATGGATCAGAAAATGTAATAAAAATTGGGGGTGATTTTGGAGCCATTTTTTGGAAAAAACCATGGGCTATAGTACAGGGTATTTTTTGGATTTTGGCACATTTTTTTCAAATGAGCATAACTTGAAAAATTGAAGTCAGAATCGGCTCAAACTTTCTACACAGTGTAAGGACATCAATATGGATCAGAAAATGTAATAAAAATTGGAGGTGATTTTTGAACCATTTTTTGGAAAAAACCATGGGCTATAGTATAGATTTATGTCATACTTAGAAAAAGAAAACAGCACAAGTAGGGGACAAAATGAATTAAGTTAGAGAGAAAATAAATAAAATAAAATAGGTTAGGTTGGGACAAAAAGAATAAGATAAAATAAAATAAAATAAAATATAGGGTATTTTTTGGATTTTGGCACATTTTTTTCAAATGAGCGTAACTCAAAAAATTCAAGTCGGAATTGGCTCAAACTTTCTACACATCATAAGGACATCAATATGGATCAGAAAATGTAATAAAAATTGGGGGTGATTTTGGAGCCATTTTTTTTGGGAAAAACCATGGGCTATAGTACAGGGTATTTTTCAGATTTTGGCCTGTTTTTTCAAATGAGCATAACTCGAAAAATTGAAGTCGGAATCGGCTCAAACTTTCTACACAGCATAAGAATATCAATATGTATCAGAAAATGTAATAAGAATTTGGGGTAATTTTGGAGCCATTTTTCGGAAAAAACCATGGCCTTTGCTTTATTTCAAAAAAGTTTCATTTAAAAAGTGCTCATAATTCAGAAAATATTTGTTGGAATTAGCTCAAATTTATGTAGCATAACAATTATATGTATTAGAATTTTTAAAATGTGAACATGAAGGCAATTTAAGCCATTTAAGTAAAATTTACTTGCCTCATCAGTACAACAATTGTAGTTTACACAAGTACCATTAATGGCCTTTCTATTAATACATGTAGGTATCTGAAGGAAAATTAGACAGTCATTTCCCACTGGTCGTATGGCAGACTGGCTCTGGTACACAAACCAACATGAACGTCAATGAAGTTATTAGTAATCGTGCCATTGAGATTAGCGGAGGTAAACTAGGATCCAAAGACCCTGTACACCCAAACGACCATGTCAACAAGTAATAATAATAATAATATTAATAATATAGAACATATATTTTCTTTGCTCTTCCTTTTCAAGGAGTCAAAGTTCAAATGATACTTTTCCAACTGCTATGCATATAGCCGTGGCTATGGAGATCAATCAGCGGCTCCTTCCATCTTTAAAGGGACTCCATGAAGCACTGTCTAGGAAAAGTGACCTCTTTAAAGACATTGTCAAGATTGGACGCACTCATACTCAAGTAAATTATTGAGTATAAATTTTGTTATCTCTCCCTCTCTCTTTTTACAGGATGCTGTGCCACTAACATTAGGTCAAGAGTTCAGTGGCTACACTAAACAGGTTGAGAATGGGATACAGCGAGTCCAGTCTACTCTCCCAAGACTCTATGAGCTGGCCATTGGAGGAACTGCAGTTGGAACTGGTCTCAATACAAGGATTGGCTTCGCTGAGAAAGTGTCCCAGAAACTATCAGAACTGACGGGTCTCCCTTTTACAAGTGCCGAGAACAAGTTCGAGGCTTTGGCTGCGCACGATGCATTGGTTGAAGTCCATGGATCCTTGAGTGTACTGGCGTGCAGTCTAATGAAGATTGCTAATGATATTCGTTTCTTAGGCTCTGGTCCAAGATGTGGTCTCGGCGAGCTAGTGCTACCGGAGAACGAGCCAGGGAGTAGCATCATGCCTGGTAAAGTGAACCCTACACAATGCGAGGCTCTTACAATGGTCGCTGCCCAAGTACTGGGCAACCAGACAGCAGTCAGTGTGGGAGGAAGCAATGGTCATTTTGAGCTCAATGTCTTTAAGCCTATGATAGTACGCAACGTCCTTCAATCAGTCCGCCTGTTGGGTGATGCCAGTAAAGCATTCACTGATAAATGTGTGGAGGGCATTGAGCCAAACAGGGAGAGGATAAAGAAGAGCGTTGAGGAGTCTCTCATGTTAGTAACTGCTCTTAATCCACACATTGGCTACGAGAAAGGAGCCGCCATTGCTAAGCTGGCGCATAAAGAGGGACTGACTTTAAAGGAGGCTGCACTGAGACTGGGCCATTTGACTGAAGCACAGTTTGATGAATGGGTGAGACCAGAAGACATGCTAGGACCAAAAAACTAACACGAATTTGACTCGTATTAAACTCACAATGTGACATACTTATAATTAGTAATAGTACTATAAAACACAAAATAATTATGATTTAAAAATGAGAGAAAAAATTAAATATACATGTACATGTACATGTAGTTATGCAATCAAAGAGAGAGAGGGAAGCTATTGAACACACTTTGCATGTACTATTGAGTTGATTATACGACTGAAACTTACAATAAAACATGTACATGTACATGTACTAAGACTATAATGATTATTGGTAATATGTTGGTTATTTGTAAAGTATATCATAATGTCCTGGTCTATACAGTAAATGTATCATTGGGTCACTGCCCTCAGGAAACACGTGCTCGTTGACCTCCAGCCCCTCCCCTCTATCCATGTAGACCACACCCACAGACACACCCAGTGCTGACGTCAGGGCAGAAATGTGGATGTGGTCGGCTTCTTTGTACATTGGCTCAACTTCCTGCAAGCAAATAATCGACCATTCAACATAATTGCTCGTTTAACGTACATGTACTGTACATGTACACCCAAATATGTACAAAGTATTCTGTTTATAATTATTTAATTGGCTCACTGTGCTGCAGTATTCCTTAATGGTGCTATACCCATCCATGAATGAGGAGTAAAACTCAGCATTGCTCTGAAGATAGCCGGAAGTAATTATACGAAGGTAGCAAACACAGTAATCAGAGAGACCCTGATCACGGAATGTCTGGAGAGAGAGAGAAGAGGTGAAAAAAGTTGGAATTATTTTACCTGAAGGAGCTCAGCAGATGACGTACTGGCCTTATTCACAGACTCAACAATATCAATGAACTAATGATTATAATAATAATTATAATAAGATGTAAATGTATTGTGGTGGACTTACCGTGTCGTGAAAGTCTTCCAAAGTAAATGAAGGATAGCCCATACTGAGCAACGAAGAGCGACACTGTATTACAGCTGACTTAAACCTGAAAGACATAAGGAAATAAATAGAGGGAAATTAAGAAATTAAAAAGCAAGTGATGAGTGTATACATACCTATCTAGATCTGTTTTCTCTTCCAGCTGTTTCTCCAAGTAAGCGTAACCAAAAGCTCTGAAGAAACAGTTTCCATCGCCTCTGGTTCTTCTTAGCTTCTTATACTTTCTCTTTAGATCCTAATAATAATAATAATTTTTATTATTATTATTATTATTATACATGAATATATAATTGTATTAAATACCGATATCTTGGCCTGATATACTTCGTCATCTTGTAAATACTGTTTTGTAAGGATATCAATGTCTTCTTGGTCTCCAATAAACTCACAGCTCTCAGCAACCTATTGAATAAAGGCACACTGTGAAACCAGAATTATGGCTATGATTTTGACTCCTAATAGATTAATTATAATAATATCTACTTCTTTCTGGATTCTGTCTATTTGCTTTAAGGTTTCTTCGTCTAATCTAGCGACTAAAAAGACATAAAGATGATCAAAAACAAGTTAAAGCTCATTTTACCTTCACTCATAAAGTCGGCCATTTTTAATTAATTCTGTTGCTATGGTTACTAGCCAGATCAACAATAATGGTAAGGCACTTTTGGTTTAGTTCTTGATTCATTTCCTTTCTCTCTCTCTAGTCTAAGGGAACTTCCATAAAAGAGGCTCTGGAAAAATGGAAAGAGAAGACTGGGGAAGATCCCAAGGAAGCCAAAGTCATTAAATTGTACATGCAGCTGCCTCCAATAGAGAAAATGGATGCTTCACTCTCAACCCTTGCAAACTGCGAGTAAGTCCTCTCCTCCCTGCCTCTTCCCTTCCATTAAAATGCAGCAGCAATACTTGTACTAGATGCTCTGTTGCAACTTTTGCTGTGCATCTATTTGCACGCTTAAAAGCTAATCCTCTCACTGTTTGTAGGAGCCTCTCCCTCTCTTCAAACTGCATCGACAGGATTGGAAACTTAAATGGACTAAGTGAGTACTTGCATCAATCTCAACATGATGATTGCTCTTTTGTGTGTGCAGAGAGTCTCAAGGTACTATCCCTTGGACGGAACCTTATAAAGAACCTGACAGGCCTTGAGGCAGTATCAGACACGCTGGAGCAACTGTGGATATCTTATAATCTGATTGAGAAGCTAAAAGGGATAACAGTCCTCGGTAAACTAAAGGTATGAAATACATGTACACCTGAATAATGAGAATAATGTTTCTCTATAGATTCTATACATGTCCAATAACAACGTGAAGGACTGGAATGAATTTCAGAAAATAGCAGAGCTATCGAAACTTGAGGAACTAGTCTTTGTTGGTGAGATAATCATAAACATGATACCACACACACCTAGATGTGCAGCATGTACTAAACCACAGACATGTAGTATAGTCCCGTTTACACTACAAACCAGTTTGGGTCAAAGAGGTTCAGAAACCAGCTTAATTGTGTCATAGATATTAGAGACTACGTAGTCTCTAATATCTATGATTGTGTCCACATGTAACTATGGTTGAATTGGTTTACAATGCTACATTGCATACATAATACAGCTGTTTCAGTACTTAAACTGGTTTGATTATCTAAACCACCTCCTGAGGTGGTTTAGATAAGTCGGTTCAAACCGCATTGAAATTGTCCACACTAAACTGATTTATTTCTAAACCGGTTCCAAACCGCTTTAAGGGCATAGTGTAAACGGGGCTTATGTCAACATGAGTCATTTTCATGCAACCCATGAGAGCCTTTTACAATTATCAGAGTATCAAAGTAAAGCTAGGAAGCAAGTCTTTTGTGACTTCTTCTATGTTTCTTGCAATTTTTGGAAGGGGGTAATACCCCTGATTATAATGTATTATTAATGAACATTTTAGGCTGATTCATTTATTATAAATGGAGTGCCATGCATGCATACAGATTCAGTACATACATTATTATTATTAGGCTACATTTCTGCTCTAAAATCTTTACAATTTTAATGGTGGAAGTGACCCAAACTTGTGCCTTTATGCTTATACATGTACATGTACATAGACTCAGGTGTATCTTTAAAGGTAATCCTCTTGAGGAGAAACACAGTGCTGAAGGAGACTGGAGGGATCAGGTACAAAAAAGATTACCAAAGCTAAGGAAATTAGATGGTGAGATACACAAAAGATTAGCACGATGAAATAATTAATTTGTACTTTTCTCTCATAAACACACACACACAATGCAGGTGTACCTATTGTTGTCCAAGATGAAGAGGATTGAATTGTCAACACAATTTCCAAACACTATAAAGCATGCACAACTGGATTCATGTACACAATGCATAATAAACATAATAAAAACATTATGCATGTACAGTATGTACATGTACATTGCACCAAAATGTGTTATTGCTGATACATAATACATGTATTGTTACAATAATAATTAAGTGAAAAATAATTGTCTAAATTACAAAAATAATAATAATAATGATGATGCATAGTGATTGAAAATGGAGAGGAAGGAGACAACTTAAAAGAAGGAGACATTGGGTAAGGGCAAAAATAGAAAAATGAGTAGTCTGATGATCAGTAGTAATAATAATAATAATAGTAATAATAATAATAAGTGATAGCCTACTACAGTGTCAACGACCAGATCTGAAGAGAGTCACTGTTAGTGTCACAAGATTGTAAAACTGCAAGCTGAGTTTCTTCATGCTTCGCTAAACAGTAACCGGTCGCTTTGTGTTTTATCTTAACAAAAGAGTCTCTCTTTGGATCTCCCCTGATCCTCCTATTACTGACCCTCTCAGTCTCAAATACCTGACTAGGGTCCGTGTGTACGTGACAGAACGAGAGACTGATCCCTGGAGGAGGGAGGAGTCCAATTGTGGATCTAAACTGATGAGCAGGAGGGAGGACACTGTTAGCAGCCGTGAGACACAGTGTCTCGTGCTTGATGTGACCCTTAGGAGTAAAAGTCCACATCTAAAAAGATAAAAAAATAATTAATAAATCAAATACCATCAGTGACATAACATAGTATTGTTATACTGAACTAAACTAATAAACTAAACTAATAATATCTGCAGTAGACACAAAATTAATAATAAGTGAATATGATATCTCAAGAATGGCAACTCCCCATTATTACAAGGCGGGTTCATTCACTATTATTCTACAGTAGCTGTCAATCATCCTTGCTATGTGTGTAAGCAATTCAATGAACACGATGTCTTGTTCAGATTATGTTGCATTCCATAGTAACAAATGTACAGCTGTGTTGGCGACATGGGCATTGTTTTTTGTCCCACGGCCAAAGGCTACCAACAAGATGATCAGTATAATATCAATGTCTGCATGTGATTGTATTGTGCGTATTAATCTTACTATAAGCTTATTTTACACTGTAATAGTTGATTTATTGGTGAGGGATTAATTTTGGTACCAATCCGTGAAGAAAACGCTAACTTAAAATCTTATTTCAATCTGAGCATGCTCAACAATATAAAATTTGCTCAATTACTTTCTATAGACAAATTTGGTCAACATTGTGGTTGTCTTGTACACACATATATATGCCACAATGAGCTGCCACTCATAATTATACATATATAAGCTGGTATCTCCATTACTCAATGCACATTGTATGCTGTATGTGAATGCCATGGATGGCATACATTTCTATTATTTGAGACATCACACTCCTTGACCATTAGCTTATAGAGGCCAGCAGTGTAGTCCTGACATTGGAGACAGTCAGTGACCCCTTGCTTGATACGAATGGTTGTCTGCATCCTTTCATTTCTTGAACTAGGACTGTACGTGAAAGATAGAGAAGGAGGGAGTGTGCATATAAGGAGTTACTACTATGGGAACTTACACAAAGTCAGGATACACTTTCTCAACAAACCAGCTGAAAGGCTTACACTGGAGCCTCTTTCTTATCTCAACTCTTGAGGACACACTGTGCAATGAAAAGATTGTGTATTTACAACCTCAAAGCTCTGATAGATTCTAGTTTTATTTTTAAAATAATACAAGTACTTTTAATTTAAAGGGTAAAGTAGACCCATAATCATGCAAGAAAACAAACAATTTTTTATCATTATATTGGTGAGGCTAATGGACCAACGATGTCTCCTTTCATTTTGTATATTAATTTATTCATTTTCTACTCACTTGCCAAATGGTATTGATCTAGCAGCTGCATTAGCATTGTAAAACAAATACTTGTACTCATCCATCCAGACTTCAGCAATCCTCCTTAAATTCCTGGAAAAATGAGATACGTGTATACCAGATAAACTTAATTAGATTTTCGAGTAGTAGAATTTCGAAACCCACAGCAGGTGTAGGAATTAGCAATATTTACCTTGTGACCGTTGTGTGGTAACTCTTTCCCTTCCCAAAAGAGTATGGCATGCTTGAACGAAATATGTGACCAACGTGAGAGCAAGGCATTATCTCGAGTCTACCGCCACACATCCACACACGAATTGAGAACTCTACAATTTTAATAATAATAATAAATTAATAATAAGTGACAGTCATGTAGAATAACTAACTATTTTATTGTTTTGTGTTACTATGTGCCAACAAAAACAAACAGTAAATAAATGAAAGTGAAAGCTAGCAATTTTTGACGTCATACTCTTCACTATAATCGTCAAAGTTTAGACAAAAATGATCAAAAATGATAGCTTAGTTATCATGCATGTGTAACATTTATCTTGAGTGAGAATCAGATATGAACTTGGCTTAATTTCAGTCTTGCGTTCACATAAAAGCTTCATACAGCATATACAAGTACATATACAGTGTATAAACACTTACCGACATTCTCTCCACCCCATATCTCCATTTCTTCGTCATAGCTACCAATCTCTTTGAAGTAGCCTCTATCAATGGAGAAGAGCCCACCAGCTATTGCTGGGGTTGGTATGGGGGCAGTATTGTCCTGGCGTCGGCGCTGCAGCTCCTGCCAGTTGAGGTTATCCCATTTGAAGAGGAGGTTGTGTCCAAAACCTCCCTTGATGTTAGCGTTTGCCTGATTGTATTTCATGTCATCTTTACGAATTATATCAATGATTGGAGACACAACATGGCGTCTATCCTTTTGTAAATAAACAAACAATGATATAGTAAGTTATTGATGTGAATGTGAGTATGAAAAGAATAATAATAATAACATAGGAGCCTGTGTACATAATCTCTCTCTTTCTCTTTTAATTACTTCTTTTATTCTCGCTAGTAATGGTTCCAACCATCCTGGTGTCACCTCGCAGTGACTGTCAAGGAATGTGAGGACTTCACCTTGTGCTGCCCTTGCTCCCGTTAGCCTTGCTCTTATGAGACCTGAGGAAGAGAAAGTAAAAGGAAAGGAGAGGTAAGACACAAATACATGTACATGTACGTGTACATACACACAGACGGATCATATTACAGGTAAATGAGGTACATGTGCTCGTGTTTATAAACCAATCAAGTTTGATAATGTCTTTATGACAATTGCTAATGAAAATATTTGATAATACACTATACACAATTTACATGTAAATGCCCATTACCATTGCCAGTACGTACACACAATTTTACTGACCTTGTCTCTCGTTTAATCGAATAAGCTTCACTTTGGGAATAACACTAAGAATTTCACCATCATTAACTAGGAAAGATAGACAATTAATAATACATAAAATGAAGTTCTTTCTTACTATCATCACTAAAATCATCAACTAATATAATCTCCTTTATCAGTTTAGCTGGCTCATGACTTAGGACACTATTCAAGCAAAATAATAATAATAATAATAATAATAATAATAATAATAATAATAATAATAATAGTTATATAATGAACCAACCTGTATATAGTCCTCAGTAGTGCTGACCTGGCTTCATTATGAAAGCATATAATAACTGAAGTGGTTGGTAGCTCAGAAGCAGAAGAGCCATCATACCTCCTCATACACCTAATGAAGCACACAACAGCATCATCAGTACACAGAGACTCTTAGAATAACATAAGGTAAGCAGGTGAGTAGCCATGACTCATTCAATGAGTAAACCAAAGATTAATTATATGTACATGTACTTAAAGCATGAGTGGGTTAGAGGGTGTAATGTAACTAATGTTGATCAACAGATTTGTACATCATACTATGAGTGGCTAATATTGTACTGTACATGCAGTAAGTAGTACATTACAGTGACCTATACAGTGCTATTGTGTACACTTACTGGTGAGTCCTCACATCCCAGAGTGATCTATTATAAGGAGTATTGTCACTAGCTAACTGATTGAATTGGAATCTGCTCATTACTTCTTTTGGGCCACCGTGATAACGCTGGGGGCTGAGATAAGCCTCAGGGCTAAAGGCCTCTCCTAGCAGGAGTTTACTAGCATTGGAACGCTCCATTACATATTTCTTGTGTATTCTGTACATTTCCATCTTCATCTTCTCTGTGAATTGATTTATTCGTTCGATTCTCCCAGTTTCCTGTTTGGTCGATGTCGCTATTTTTTCCTCAGTTGTGAATCGATTCTCATTTACTGACGTTCCCTTGTTCGGGCGGAGTCCTTCGGTTTGTTTCATTCTATGGTATTCATTTATTCCTCTTCCTGCTCCCCCTGCAGCACCTCTCAGTGAGTAATTGAGGTCCCTGGGTCTCTTAAACTGTGGTTTGGCTCCCACGAGTTCTTGGTGGTTTCCTCTCAATGGCTCCAGCTGCCTTTTATCAGGTAGGTCATCTCTTCTCTTCTGAGATGTCTCAATAAATAATTCCTTTGCCTGTATAGAAAAACAAACTTCATAATGCTACAATTTAAATTTTTACATAATATCAGTATATACTCCTTGAATATCCTCCTGTACTAAAGGCAATGTGCATATGGTCTTTGGCTGCAACTTTAAGAATATGTAAAAAATCGGAATTTGATCGGAATCAGCTCAAACTTTCTATAGAACATAAGTACATGTATATGCATCAAAAAAAATTTTTTTAATACAGAATTCTCTCCTAGTGAATTTTGGCAAAATTTGGCCAAGTACCCTGTACTGTAGTACAGGGACTTTGGCCCAATTTTTGAGTAACTTTAAAATATTTGTAAAAAAATCCAGACTTGATTGGTATTACTCATGCCTTGCAACACAATAAAAGCCTGAGCATTAAAATAACGTGAAACCTTTAACATGAGGCATATGGCTGGGCACATGTATTAACATTTGTATGACTTTAAGACTATGGAGAGAAGCCACTGATCCACACACACACACACACACACACACACACACACACACAATGCATTAATATAATACATACAAGTCGTACATTGATAGAGTAGTGGCATTCTTAATTACAACACAGATGGCCTGATACTATAGTAAGAATATATCAACTGGACACAATTAGATTAGCATGACATGATGACAATACACACTGTACCAATGGAACATGAACACCCACACCTTATAAGGAAGAATCCATGAGAAACATCTTTGCATAACAATGAACACATATTGCATTAGTTAAAACAATATATTAACCAGCGGATTTTCACAAAACAGAAGGTCATTACACACACACAAAGTGGTAACACTATCACTATAATTATTATTGAAATAAGCATGATACCAGTATATATGGTATTGCTAGTACTATCAGTGAAGCAGACATAAACACACTATACACTGTTTGTACTATTCTGAACGTATCAGTGACTCCTTGTAAATTTTGTTAATATGCAAGAACACCAATGGAAGCTGTGAGGTACTACAGTAACATTAGCATTCAGTAATGAAGTAATACTTATTGCAGAGAAAGCTACTAAGAGCAGAGAGAGAGAGAAGAGACAGTGAGAGAGGAAGGACTCTTTAATACTAGTCAAAACAACAACATGGCTGATAGTCTACTGCTATATCACTATCGTTGATATTATTGTGTACAACAACAGACTACGATTTATGCGAAACTAATATAATACGCTGGATACAGAATTTGTAAAAAATAGAAAAGTGACTCTTGGAAAGAATGCTAGAGGGAAAGTGAGTGCTAATATGATGATAAATAGTATCAAGCAAGCACCAATCCTTTGATGAAACACTTTGGGAATAAAAGAGGGAAAGAAAGGAAGGACAAACCTCATGTTGTTCGTGCAAGTTTGCTGGTGATGCAGTGGGCTGTCCTAAGTACAGTAGAAAGAGGAAAGCCAACGAGACCAGCAGAGAGACAGCTAATAAACGAACGAGTTTCATTCTGCGGAGCATCATGGCAGCAGTAATAGAGAGATAGAATGGGGTAGTGTAGACGAGGGGAGAGGACTAAATGAAAACAAAGAGAGAGTTAGAGAAAAGAATGGAGAGCTATCTTGTGTCCTCCATCCCTTTTATCTCATGATTAACAATTAATTATTCATTAGCAAGAAGGCATGACGTCACCTTAATCAAAAATGCAATGCAAGTGTCATAATAATTTATTTATTATTACATTATTATTATTATTATTATTATTACTAATACCAGATCTTAAAATATTATTTATTATTAGGTAGTAAATAAAACAAAAATAATAATATAAACAAGGATGGTCAGTGACAAAAAATGAATTAAAAAGAGGCAGCATAATTATCTTCACTGAAGAGAGAGGAGAGAGAGAGAAAAAAAGAGAGAAAGAGATGGAATTTTTAAAAAGTTTAAGACTACAATAAATGGCTGCCATTGACGTGTCTCTTGTGTCATGAAGTAGCAGAGGTTGCTTGGAACAGAAGGAGCTGGCGTGAGAGCTTATCAGACAGGTGAGAGAAGGTGGGTCTTCTTGATGGGTCAATGTGCCACGTCTCTTTAAGCATCCGGTATATTTGATCAGGGATACCGATATTTGGCAAGCGATTATTGCTTTTGAAATATTTCGCCAGCTGCAAAAATAAACAACGATACAGAGTAAAGTCAACAACTCAGTTATGAGAATTTTATTCACATGATATATATATATATCTCTCTCTCTCTGTATACCCTATAGCTCCCAAGAGCTCTTATTCATCATTTTTTAATTTATTATAATTTTGCATATTTTATTATAATTTCGTATGAGTCTCTCTTCTCTTCTTTCTTACAGCTTGAAGTGGGTGCCCATGCCTAGGATCAGCTTGGGCTTGCATTACAACATGCTCCAAAAACTCCTGCGGCCTACGACCCAGTGTAAAGATCTCCCAGAGAGTAACGCCAAATGACCAAACGTCTGAAGCTGGTTTGAAATTGAGCTCGATCAAACACTCTGGAGCATACCTGAAGAGAAGGAGAGGACAAAAGAAGAGATGACGTAATTCTAATCTAACACGATTAGAATATTTATATGTACAATGTATGCATGATGCTAGTATTTTGTTATACAAGTTAAAGTGGATTAATTATTACCAGTAAACTGGTAGGTCAGTTCTTTTAGTTGATCTATAATAGTCTCTGTTCTCCATGAACTGTCTCGCAAGACCAAAGTCGGCAATCTTCACGTGTTGGTCGGACACGACTAGTACATTACGGGTAGCCAGATCACGATGGACAACATTCCTAGATCCCTGGAGAAAGAGGGAAGAAAGAGAATGAAAATATTTGTAATGTATGTTTACATACAAGATAATCCATTCCCTCGGCTATTTGCTGACTGTAACGAAGATACCTGACCTCCCAGTCAGAGGGAGGTGGTTTTATAGGACGTGGTTGTAGTCTTGAAGGCTAGATAATAATAATAATAGTAATAATAATAATAATAATAATAATAATAATAATAATAATAATAATATTATAATAATATAACAATGCTAGCATGAATGGAGACATACCCTGAAATCATTCAGTATACCTCTCAGACTCCCTCCATCAATAAACTCCATTACTATCATCGGGAACCGACCAATTGTATCTAATATATGACGCTCTATTGAAAATAAAGAAAAAGAGAAGAAAAATGCACCAAATAGTACAGATTGCACTTCATGTAACCTACAGTATGTATAGTCTTGCTATTATAGTTACATGTGTATGCTTAATAAATGCAACTCCATTACTTAATGTATTGGATTTAATGGATCCAGTTCCTTACCATCAGCCACTCCTAGTAGTGTAGTGATGTACTGGTGGTCCAGCTGGTACATTGTTAGTATTTCCCGCTTCATTTCGTCAAGAACGACTTGAGCCTTTGAGGTTTGTTGAGGAAATGTAGGGATCTTTATAGCAACCTAAAATATTAGAGTAATAATCAAGGGCTATCATTATCAGTAGGGACGTTGTTGTTATTATTATTTTAGATAAGTTAATGAATAAATATCACTTGCCTTTCGCACTTCTTTGCCTGGTTCCGTCCATTCTGCTAGATGGACGCTACTGAAGTGACCCTGTAAGGCGAGAACAGACAACAGTGCTACAGTGTACCTGACATTTTGATATTAACACTCTTCCTTCCTTCATCTGTGTACATGTACATTATACAAGGGGAGGGCAGTAAAAGGCAACATCAAATTCCTGCGTACCAATCCAAGGTTGACATACACTACCTCAGTCAATCTCTTAAATTGGCTATTATATCATTTCATGCTAAATTTTGCCCACACACTTTCAAAGTGCTTACTTCTCCCAAACTACATTATGTGTACATGTACAATATGAATCACCCACTATTATGTCTGTCTGTACTCAATTTTCCATTTCCTAATTAACGCCCACGATCTAGTACCCACAACAAAAACTTTCATCATGCTAATGTACATGTGTATGCTTTGTACTCAAAAAATTAATCGTAATTGACTCAAACTTCCTCCATGATACATGCAGCAAAAATGTAAGAAAATAGGAGAACTAGGTAATTGTAACATCTAAAAAATAGGCTTATAATTATTTTTAGACGATGGCCATAATTTTTTGATTTAAAGGCACTTTTAGACACTTCAATTAAATAAAACTCTACAGTACACATTCTTTTCCCACACTCGGGAATTTAAGGTCTTACTGAGCCAAGTTCTTTGAGGACTGTGAGTTCTCTACGATAATGAATCCGTCTGACACCAGCTTGAACCAGTTCTTGTATTATCGGTGAATCAAGCTCCTCCTCGGGTGGAGGCATAACAGTGACAGCAGCTAAAGAAAGTTGAGAAGAGAATATAAATAAAACAAAAATAATAATAATAATAATAATAATAATAATAATAAAAACAACAAAAATAATAATAATGATAATAATAATAATGGCTTAATGAGATTAGAAATACATTTAATATATTATTTACAACCATAATTATGAGGATGAAAAAATAAATAAAAATAATAAGGAAGAGAATGGTGGATTACTTGGAGTATTCGGAGTTTCAGGAAATAATGGCATGGGACCTACAACAATAATGTGGAATGAAAATGAAAATGATACAAGGAAAAGATCAATAAACATTTTCCACTTGATATTCACCTGTTTTGGATGGTGGGCAGTTTTGTTTAAGTAGAATAGGTAAGCCATCCTATAAAATATAAACAAACAATGATAATAATAATACATACATGCATGCACATGTATACATACATGTACATGTACATGTCAACATTTTTGATATTCAATACTAAAGTAGCTAATTTTAACACTATTTTAAATACAATACACTACCCATGCATTGACTTGCGTGTCAATTTAGCTTAAAATTTACAAGTCCCTTGGAGACAATAAAATGCAACAATATTAACAAGTATCAATTAAGATCCGCCCACAAGATTAATTAAATTAATTAATTGACTCACAGCAAAGTGATGATGATGCAATATGAGGTCATTGAGGGTGTGGCAAGAGTTAACACTCCTCGGTACAGGGCTGATCCCAGTCGTATCAACTAGAGCAAACCTGTGATCATAGTCTTTGGATATCCTGTAGTTGAAGACACCTTCCTTTTGACAGAGGGACAATATGAAGGTACAGTCTTTAGTCCTGCTCTCCCTCACAAGGTAGAGCCCTTCTTCGTTGTGCTGCTTAGCAAATACTTCATTAGCCGACTCCTTACTACGGAGCGAATAAATTTTTAATAATAATTGAAATAATTTAATGGAAGCCCATACAAATTAAACACATGGATGTACAATGTATGATACCTGATGGGCCCGTGACAGAGATCTCTAGCAGCAATATCTATAGAATAAAACAAAGGAACATCATAATACACATACTAAATTACTAAATACATGTACATACTAACTACAGGTACTTATGCAGTAGGTTTTAGCATGAAAGCCCTCACTACAGGCAAGTGTACAGTAGTAGGCCTCTCACTGATAGTGCCATGTGTCTCTCTGTTGGCTGTTCTCTCAAATGTGGCCCAATTCTCAAGAAACTGGTCATTCAAAAGAAACACACTAAACATGTGTGACACACTCACTCTGCCAGTCATAATGAGGCGAGAAGAGTGTGTGTCCTGCCAGCTGTACAATATAATGTACTGTACATGTATTATCAATAGGACAAAGTCAGATTATGATAATACTCTGAATAGCAACCCCCTCTCTCTTTCTCTCTCCCTTTCTCTGTCCCTCTGTTTTTACTAACCTTTCCCAAGTGTCTCTTTAGTGTGTTCATTATCAGCTGGGCTGGCATCCCCAGAGAGTATGCTGGTATTAATATCAACCTTTAGCCTGTAATAACCATCAATGATGGAACAGAATGATATCATCTCTTCAACCGATTTAAACTGGAGAGTCTATACAAAAAAATTAATTTTTTAAAGCATAATTAAAAGCGTAATATTATCTACTACTATTATTATTATTATTATTATTATTATGATATCTGTTACTTTCAAATAATGTTAGAATAATACAGATGTGTATAAAAGTAAGGAATGTTTTCTCACACTCTATCAGTGATCATAAGACCACACTGCTAAAACTGTACCTCCTCATTATAAAGATAAAGGTGACAATAACAGCAGCAGGAGGAAATAATAAGGTCAAAAGATTAAAATAATAAGCATAGAGCAGGAGGGAAAGCATTAAAGGCGGGAAGAACTTGGGAAAATGATAAGATTTTAAAGGCAAAGTAGAGATACGTAGATAAAGTGCAATTACAACTACACTTTAACTACATAGTAAGGGGCTTCCTTATAATTAAAGACCAAAGACTACTACACTGGACTATACAATAAAGGCCCATATTTACTGAGTAATCTCTTATGCCAAGTTTTCAACCTGTCTCATTCTCATATTTTCAAACCCCCATTCCCATAACTCCATACTCCCATGCACAATACAAGAGCAAGTGTGTGTGTATATATATAGTACTTTAGTGATTGGGTTTTGAGACTTGGAGTCAGTGTCAGTGGCTCCTCCAGTGGATGAGTTGCTGCTCGTGCTGTTCAGTGACGCAGCCGTTTCCTTTAATTGAATGGATAGAGACAGTCTCTCCAAACTAACGTCTATCTGCTCAATATCTTGCATCAATATAACCTAATAATAATAATAATAATAATAATAATAATAATAGAATAAACTCTCAATATTATTAATATATATATATATATATATACATACATGTATATATGTACATGTACATGTAGATAAAAACAGCCTTATACATGTACATGCAACAAATGCTTTTTCAATGTCAATATGAACTACAGGTACATTGCATTCCTTACTTCTTTTCTGGTGGCTGCCATCATTACAATACCATTCTTCCATGATGCCTGTATTCTTCCTTCATACAGTGGGCGGTCTGGAAAGAGATACACCTGTAATAAATAAAAGGATTAATGGTGCAACCTTAAATATATTAATAATTCATAATTTAATATTAATCATGCATGCTATGCATGCTCACAGTCATTGTTGACCTTTTTCATACACATATGTAGCTTACTCTAGTCTATACCCTCTCTTCCATTGTAGCCTCATTATAATAATATCATTTTAAGATCATTAGTATTCATAGTTATGCTGTGGACAAAACAGCATACCAGTGGTTACAGGCTTGTCAATGGAATTAGTATAAGGAGGCTTCAGTTTTCATATAATAATAATACTAATATATGATAGCATACAAAACACATGCTTCATAAAAAACAATACTCACATGGAGACAAACACATAATAGACAGACAATTAATTACTATTACCCTAACAAAGTCTTATTAAATTGTCTATTAGTTTATAGTGAGGCGTGTGGTAGAGACTAAAAGAGAGAAAGAAGCAGCTGCCTCCCTTGCCTCTATACAGACTATTAGGCAGTCACTCATTCATGAATAAGTAAATTATGTCTGCATCCATTTATTCCCTCCCTCCCTCCCTCCCTCACTCTCCATTGCAAGAGGTAGTGAACTATTCAGGGAGCTTTCCTTCTCTTTTCAAAAACAATTTAGACACTGGCCATTATATGCCGACTCTATTCAGTGATTGTCATAGTAATTAGACAGTAAGTAACACACACTATCAATAATCATACCTAATAAAAGACTATCTTATTCTCACTAACTACATACACACACACACACACACACACACATGTATACCTATATACGCCAGTAACACGTACACAGATACATGTACATGTACATGTACAACAGAAGCAATAAAACTATATTATCAATGAAATTAATACTCATAAAAATATCCCTCTCTATACATCTCTATATATGGATAATAATAATATCATATTCTTGAATAAAATTAAAAGATAATAGGATTAGCAATATAAGCAGATTATCAAGTGTATATAAGCTAGCCCTAACAACTGATATCAAGGCTCCAAGACTAAAAATAAATTGTGAACACTGTTTATTATTATCATGCTACGAAGCATTATGTATACAAAATTAGCTACACCAATACAACTAATAGTACACTGCCACATAGTATGATACACGCTATACTTGCAAAAAATAGCTATCTCCACATAATACACAATACTATAGGAATAGCTTTATATGCTGAGTCTAGACAGTAACATAATTCATTCGAATTTCATCATTGTAGGTTGTACCTTGGCTTGAAAAAGGTGTTGCCCACAGCCTATATCCTTCTCGTATGCGTATATGTACTGGACCTTTATGACGTCTGGCTCACGGGTAGAGAGGGCCTGGTAGTACTCCTCAAAGAGATGGCTAAGGGTCTTCTTCCAGGCCTGTTGACTCTTGACGTACGAGGGAAGGAATTTGGAAACCTTGAAATGATCACTGAAAGAGGGAAAAAGAGAAATAGACATGCACTTGTACTACAATACTACAATATTTCATGAATAATACATGTACATTGCATAAATGCTACATGTACATGTACATGTATGATACATGACATGAATACGGATGCACATAAAATGTAGACATTATAAATGTACATGTACTATAGGTGTACATGTACATGTACTTACAGGACATCTTCATAAGAGGTAAGTGGTTTAGGTTTGTGCGACACAGCTTCCAAGACCATGTCAATGGCGGCCATTTGCAATGCAATGTTACCCGAAGAGGCCATTCTGTGCTGCAATCTCCCAGTAATAAAATCCGTCTTTAACTGTATATAATATACATATATATTTATAGTGAGTAAAAGAAGTGCAGAGTGTAAAGAGTAAAGAAGGATGGATGAGCAGACAAATGCAAACAAAAATACAATCATTATAAGAACAGCAATAACAACAACAACTTTTGCGTACTACTACTATTGCATGCAAACAAACAAAAAGTACTGCCAAAAAATGAAATAATAACTAACCTGCGTGAAATAATAGTTTCTAGCTGCTCCGGAGTATTTCTTCAAGCATACGCTATTCTGCCCGGCATTGATGAATATCCTAAGCTGATAGGTCTTCCGCGACTGAGGGGCAGTAAGCTTCATGGACTGGCACAGTGCATACCCAGTCCCAGGTTCACACAAAGCAAAGAACGGCCGAACCACCGGAACGATGGGTGGCGACATTAGCTGGCATATGTCATTAATAATGTCCTAAAATTAAGATAATTTGTTATTGGTCTACCTATACTGTACATAGTTGGTTTCCTACGCTACACATTTACTGGTACATGCAAAAACATGTACCACACACATATACAGTTCCCATTGTAAAAATAACGCATTATATAGCATTTTTTATCCACAGGCAATTAGAGGTACATACATGTACACTTATAGTGTGGGCTTAACTCTGCATATTACATAAACATGTACTGTACCATAGCATTATATAGCATTATATTTATGAGGACAATATTCTCATGCAGGTGTAATGTACATAGAATGTGATGGCATTGCTGTACAATGTACCCTTGACATGCTGTCATCAACAGTGTGGGTACAAGAATGCATATTTTTGGCCAAAAATGGCATTTTTCAGTTCAAATTGCACACACTTGCACAAAGGCATGAATGTTTGAGGTGGATTTTAAAAGATACAGTTTCAGTTTGTTCCAATTGTCTATAGCAACCAAACAAACATCTGTTGCACGGTTACACATAAAAGCTACTTGGGACCCATGGCCCACAGGAAAATTGCCATAACTCATTGAACTGGATTTCATGCATTAAAGTGTGGGCCCTGAGCTGTTAAACTCTTTAGTGACTTCCTTAGTTCATTCTAATTTTCGTCAATGCTCTCAAAACCTCACTGTTACCTCTCTCTAACATAAGTCACTGTTCTCTATCAGTCCCACTAGCTGATAAATCACCCTCTCTCTCTCCTTCTCCTCTTTTTCTGCCCTTTACGCTTCCCCCACTAGAACTCACTCACACTATCTTAAAAGCTTTCATTGAATAAGAAACACTTTGATGTTTTACAAACTTATGCCCACAGACTCCAGTGGACTGTAATAATACACTCTCACATGCGCCTTCTCCCCCACACACACTCTCTCGCTGTAGCTCCCATTAGCTACAGAGGTAAGGGAGGCAGAAGAGCCAGAGAAAGCTTTACTGGGCTCACCTTGATGACACGACCAGGAATAAGGAAATCACCATCAAAATGTGTCTTTCCGTCAGCGAGTAGTATCTTACCGCCTCCTGACCTCCTCCCTATACCAAAGCAAGACATCCCTGGAGTCAATGGAGCTGTCCTTACCGGCCCACTGCCGGCCATTAGAGAGCAGGAATAAAGACCAGAGCTGAACTAACAGTGATGGAGCAAGTGAGTAGCATCTCCGTTTTCAACGTATGCACGAGAGACACGCCCACGATATTCTGTGGGTTTGACCTCTATGGATCTAATTACCTACAGTGTTGCTTCCTCTTTAAATTCTGATGATCTTGTACAGTTCATTATTCATGAATGGAACCTGATGACTACAGGCTTATCTTATCTTATATGCTTCTTTCGATGTCAAAAAGCACACTAACTACCAATTTATGCAGTTCCTGAAATTTTTCAATTTATAAATAACACAACAACACAACAGTCGTAGTAACAATAATAATAATAACAATATAATCGTGCTTTGTTTTTCTTTTATAATAATAATTAATAATAATAATAATAATAATAATAATAATAATAATAATAATAATAGCTGATGGATAAATGAGCTTTATGTATGCATGCATGTAACCCAGTCAGTAGACAGAAAAAGAAAGAAGAGAAATAATACTAAAGAATCCTTTAATAGCGAGAACTCGATCTGAGCTCTACGCTATTCGAACGCCGTCTTCTTGAATTACCAATGAGGCTCCCTAGTCCAAGATCATTATACCTTTGATCAAGAAACCTTTTCAAGGAGCTCCCGGCATTCCCTTCCCTCGATTTGCGTTTGAAGTAAGAGGAGCAGTTGGAGAAAATGAGATTGACGTCAGAGAGGAACTGGTCAAACGAGTTGTACTTGTGTGAGCTGATCTTTTGACGTATTGTCTTAAAGTCCATGGGCTGAGTAATAATCTCGTAATAATCAGGATGCTATAGAAAGAGAGAGAGAGAGAAAGGAGAGAGGAAAGGAAGAAGAGGATGTAATAAGCACATACAGTAAGTAATGTAAAGTAAGTTGAAACAACAAAAGTCGTAAGCTTACAAGATCAAAAGTTGTGCTGGTTCTAGCGTACTACATGTATATGGGCATGGTAAAATACCAATAATGAGAGCTATTCCAGTGTAAGTAAGCACTCGTGATATACCATAATACCATACAAACTACTACATGTACATGTACTGTACGTACATGTATACTACAAGCATTACTAACATCCAAGAATGATCCAGTGATACACTACAGTGATCATAGAGACACATGTTCAGTAACATCAAAGGTACATGAGGCATAACAGTCATAAAATTTGGTTTATATTTTGATTATTTACAAATAATGTCTAGACTACTAGTAAATAAGTATTTTAGTAAAAAGGTTGGGAAATGTGCATGTACACACATGTACATGTACAGTAATGTATTGATCACTTTCTTAGAGATACATGTACAGTGCTATAGCAGCACATTAGGATTTACAATTTTTGACATAGCAAAGTATTGGAATTTGGAAGGTAACACTGCAATGACTACTATTACTGTCCTTAGATGTTCATGCTGAGTGTAAATAGGAATGAACATTACTATGACATTTATAAAGAATACTGATTATGAAATAACACATCACACGATACTGTACTGAGCAGATTCCCAATGAGTATTGCACAATAATAAAGAGAACATGTTCAATGACCGTTATATTGATAAGGGATGGGCACTAGAAGTATTATAGTAGACATACAATTGATAAAATATGCACGAGTTGTTACTGCATGGGGACTGATGTCTTCTGGTATTTGTTTGATGTGAAAGCAGTGAAGGGGAGATCCCAAGGTATCCCTTCTAATTTAAAATTGAACCCATACAGTCAGGGGGAGCATATGATATCATGAATAATAATAATAATAATAATAATAATAATAATAATAGTATAGAGACATTTGTGTATGTGTACTTTTGTACTTGGACTTAACGGATGTAATACAACTAAGATGCCAAATGACACAAACAGAGTTACCAAATAATGCACAACAATTGTGACGCTGCTGCTACAGTACATGCATCAATTACTATTATCCTTTTAAATACATGCAGGATGAATGTGACTTCCTACATACACTCTTAAAGGTCTGTTGCTATGGTGTGTCATCAAATCAAGATGATGTCATCCAACATTTAAAGGAAAATTGATGTGGAAACCAATAATTTGTCTCTTATACATATACATGTACATGAACATTACAATGTTGTGTACAGCATAAAAGACTTAGCTAGTTATTATAAACATGTGACTTCTGCACACACATGCATGTACAATATAAAGCATATAAATATCATTTATTGCATAGTATTAGTATACGAACAAATATCCATAATTATGATGTAGACATTGGAATCCAAATAATGTGCAACAGAGTGATACGTGATAACATACAAATACCATGTACACATATATATTGTAACAGAAAATTCAATTTGTACATTTTGATCATAAAAGAAGTGGAAATGATGTCAACTGAGCAGGAAATTGTGATACCGGTACACACCATGAGCTATAATAAATAGCACTACATAGACACTGTGACAGTGTAGCCTTATAACGACCGTACATGTACATGTACAAGTACATGTACTCGGGTACGACACACTCTACTCACTAAATGGCTCATAAAGGCTTCACTATTCACAAGAATATCAATACCCAATATTATATTACCCCATTCCACAATAAAGGGATTAACACTGATAAAGTATTACCAATAGGACTGTACTGATCAGTACTGTATTGCCCTATTGGAGCGAAAGGTGTCCAAGGCCTGAAGGCCAAATCGTACACCTGGTCTCTAACACAATGAAGGGTAGGGGAGATGTGACAAAAGGAGGATAAAACCACATTTCATTATAATGGTCACTCTAACAATGCAATAAGGAACTGTGTACATGGACCCCAGTATGATGAGTGCATGTGGGGCCTGTTATACTGAGATGGAATAGAGCATAAAACACATGTAGTAGTACATGATGTGTATAAGTATAAGTATTGGTCACTTCTTCACGGGCTTCTGCCATTGCAGAGAACACACACAAAAGAAAAAAGAATAATAACAGAATAATGCTGCGTGATAGATAATAGTAATATCGAATACAATAAATACTACAATAGAATGGAACAAAGCTTTATGCAATAATGCTGACATCATTCTGTCATAGCTAATTCTGCTGAACAATAACAAAGAATGAGTAGGAGTATGAACATAATATTCTGGAGCTCTATTCCCCAAAACCTCTTAGAAATAGTGACCAGCATCATTACAAAATATAGTATATAGTAGACTACTATGACCACATGAAAAAAAGAATTGCAAAATAACTAGAAATGGGACAAAAGCATACATGCACATGTACATGTAAGTGTAGTACGGTATGTGTACACGTACAGGGCATGCACAACACATGCAACTAAGAATATAGAAGCAGACACATAAACAGAAGGACTGATGAATGATATCATTATTATTACTGTAGCTATTTATAGGATCAAGAGTACATAGAATACATAATTATTGGTTGATAAAACTGATCATCCACTACATATACATCATCCACTACATGTACATCATCCACTACATGTACATGTACATGTACACTTTCTCCTTCAAATGTCTCCTTTGTGTGTACTCTGGACTAAGTGGACCCACCTTATCCACTGTTAATCATTTCTGAGCCCACAGACCATTGGTCAGATACCACCATTGACTCAAGCCTATCCCTAAATACCACACTCCATTGAGCTACACCATAACAAACAACATAATCCATGGACTTACCAGGAAAACAACTCGTGCAATTCATCTTAACAAAAAATATTCATACAGAGCAACTTGCAAGGAGGACACAAAAAGATATTGCAACTACACATTTTAATTTTTGATCATTTTCAATTAAAATTACTCAGTGCCTGCACTATGTGCTACACACGTGTCACAATGACCTCAAAGAGAGTGCACAAGTACATGCAAGCTGTAGAGTGCTGGATGGATGGACTTACATCTCTCCTTCTGATTCCATTCATGAATGGCCAGCTATCAGAGTGAGAGGTGAGTTCCTCCAGTAGTGCCTTACACAGCTGAGACTCTAACGTCTTTATAGCTTTCTCTTGTGCTGTACCTTGAACCTTTGAGCAGCGGACATCAATAATTGACGAAATGATGCATTCAGCTCTTGACAAATCAACTCCATTATTAGCATTACTGCTGCTGCTAGTACTACTGTTGCTTGCAGTATCAACTTTGAGCCGCTTCCTGGCAGGAGGTCGAGGAGGAGGAGGGGGAGAGGGATCCTTCTTACTTGGCCTACCTCTCTTCCCTAACTTTGGTTTCTCATCTGGCTCTTGAACAGGGTCAGTACTGGTTTTAAGCAAGCCTTTACTTCTTGTGCTCCTGGTATTCGCTTTGATGCTACTTGTAGCAGTACTTTTCCTTTGGACGGTAGTAGAGGCTCTCATGCTACGTTTGGGAATCACTTCCTCTATCTCTTCCTCACTCTCCTCCTCCTCCTCCTCTACCTCCTCCTCTTCCTCTCCTTCATTCTCAGACTCCTCCTCCTCCTCTTCTTCCTCCATACCTTTAAATGATATCACATTCCTTCTTCTCTTTACGGGTGTTACCGGTACACAATTATAACAAAACCAGTCGTCCTCTGGTATATCGTACACTGGCGGTCGCAGGCAGTACGTGTGGTAGCCATGATCGCACCCATCGCAAAGCAACATGTATTCGTCTCCGCCTTTCCTGCGACAAATACGACACCTCATGTTCATTAGTGATTTGCTCCAGGCTATGGCTCGCTCTAGTGTCGTGAGGTGAACAAACAGCTGAGAGAATGAGGTGGACTTAAGCAGAGACTCCTGCCATTCCTCGAGGCACGTACTAGCTGTTTCTTTGTTGTTTTTGAGCAAACCATTCCGCCTTATTTTAGCTGACTTTGATTTCATGTCCACGGCGGTTCCTAGTGGCTGCAATAGAAACTTCTTCTCAATTCCTTTCTGTATGTCCAGTATAGCTTTAGCCAGTTCTGCTACTGAAGATAAGGAGCTGTTAGACTCAGTCTCTCTATCATTAGCAGTGACACTGGTTACTTTACCAATAGAGACTTCATCTCCATTTTCAGAGTACTCCATTCCGTCATCAATAACGCCATTGAGATCATGTCCATTGGGTAGGTCATCAGTGTTCTTCAATGTCCCCTCTTCTTCTTCTTCTTCCTTCTTTGGTTGATTGTACTTGCTTGCTGCTCCTGATGACTCAATGGCGTCTCTCCAGTCGGCCCTATCCTTAGTATCTCGGACAGACCCAAGGTTACCAATCCATATCTTCTCTTCCAGGTCAAGTATCTGTTCCCGTAGGTACAGCTCCAGGTACTCATTGCTAGAGGACTCAAGGGGAGGACAGGAAGGAGCCTCTTGAGATGCATAGCAAGTTGAGGTCACTGGACAATTTGAAATGGACGGGAGAAACATTGGAGACAGTTTCTGTATGGTCTCCTTGAGGGCCACTTCACGAAGACCCCTTGGATTGAGGGCATCCAACAAAGAACTGAGCTCTTCCTGAGACGAGAGAGTCCTCCATAAGGAGTTAGGCAAGAGATGAGATACAAGCTTATTAGCAGTAGAAGGACTGACACTCACTGCAGTAGTAGTAGTAGTAGGATCATCTACTAACTCCTTCCTCTCATTATCAACCTGTCCACTATCATTATGCCCATGAACACCATTACTAAGAGGCACAGCCCCATTACTTGTATCATTAGCAAGAGCATTATTAACTAAAGGTGTACTACCAATTGGTTCGATACCACTAATACCCACTGTTGCACTGGGATCAGTAGAAGGGGCATTATTTAGAGATGTACTGGGATCAGCGGAAGGAGCATTAATTGGAGCTGGATCGTCGGTTTCTGTGTTGTGTTGTTGTATATACAGACCTGGTAGACTGGGGAATACCCAGTACTGATTGTGATGCCTGTCGGAGCCTATAGGTTGAAGACGGATACAGGAACTGATAGTGAATTGTTCCCTGGTTAGTTCATTGATCTCTTCTTGAATGCGAGCCCTTTTCTCTTTCTTATTCTCTGGAGGAGTTTCTTCTGACTGCTTAGCAGCAATGCCATCATTCTTATCAGGAGTCTCTCCTTTATTGTTGTTATCCTTCTCTTCCTGTTTCCCATCTTCTTTCTCTTTACTTTCATCTCCATCTCCCTCTTTCTTTCCCTCTTCTTTTTTCTCGACATTCTTTCCTTTTTTCTTTTTCTCTGTGAGGCTACTTTGAAGTTTCCTAATCCTCTGCCTCAGATCCTTATATTTCTCCCTCACTTCCTCCATGTAGTCCCTACATGAGGCAAAACTCAACAACTGGAGGCAGAGAACCGAGACAATCTTTAGCTTCTTCCAAGGACTCAGGTCGTACATGGGACTCAAAGACAAGGACTCCAATATCTCGTAATTGTTAAGACGGAACTCAAGGAGTGGGTCATCACCATCAGAGTATCCCCCGCGATTACAATACCGGAATGAAGCCCTCACTCCATTACCTGTGTACCCACCAGACGATAGTAAATGCATACGGAGTATTTCACTACACGTGTATGGGTCAAAGGCAAGCTTAGAGAGGGGCGTGGCTTGTGTCCTCTGAGACCATGCTGCATGCGTCATTGCTGAGAGTTTCAGTGACTCTATTTTTATGTCACGCGGTCTCCCTCCTTCCTCCTCCTCTTCCTCGTCATCTTCTCTGACTTCGTTCTCTTGTACATCGACCGGTAATGAACCAACAGAGCTTCTTCTTGATCCTTTAAATAATAAAAATAATTAATATAGTATAATAAACACATGTATGTTGTAGACATGATAATTAATGTACATGGTCTCAGGCCAAATTTTGCCAAAATTGAAAAAGAGAGACTTTACCATTTTTATATTTTTTTCCTGATGCATATACATCCTCTTATGTTGTGTAGAAAGTTTGAGCTGATTCCGATCAAAATTGGATTTTTTATGAATTTGTAAAGTTGCTCAAAAATCTGGCCAAAGTCCCTGTACTATAGTACATGGTCTCGGGCCAAATTTCACCAAAATCGAAAAGGAGAGATTTCAGCACTTTTATATTTTTTCCTGATGCATATATATGCACTTATATTGCGTAGAAAGTTTGAGCTGATTCTGATCAAAATTTGATTTTTTATGAATTTTTAAAGTTGCTCAAAAATCTGGCCAAAGTCCCTGTACTATAGTACATGGTCTGAGACCAAATCTCGCCAAAATCGAAAGGGAGAGATTTCAGCACTTTTATATTTTTTCCTGATGCATATATATGCACTTATATTGTGTAGAAAGTTTGAGCTGATTCCAATCAAAATTTGATTTTTTATGAATTTTTAAAGCTATTTCATTGTATTGTCAACTCATGATGCTATGTAGCTCACTTAGTATGCTTTGTGGGAAACCCTGGTATACATATAATTTAGAAAGTGAGTACAAGTACATGCTGACCATTTTGAGAGACAAAGTTGTTAGTCTCCCCAGGTTCCTTCCCTCCTCCTGTGCTCTCTTGATCATTATCAGTTGGAGGAGGAGGAGGTGAGACCTTCTTCTTTGCCCCCATATCAATGGTTGCCTCGTGCTCTTCCTCCATTGCAACAAATATAGCTTGCAACAGGAACTTAACTAACTCATAGAGCAAAGTGTCGGGATGATTGGACAATAATGCCTCCTCAAACTTTTCTGTAAAAAAATTAAAAAAACAAAATGAATAACAATACATTTTTAAAAATAATAAATACCTATTGTTTTAAAAATAAAAATACATTTAATAGTAAAAATTAAGGTGCTTACGGAAGGTGATGGGAGAGTGAATGGCGTCTTTTATGTTAAAAGTAGGCCCGTAGTGATGAAGGAACTCAAGTGTCTCTATAGCATCAGGGAACAGCTCTGGTGGTATTGCAGTCAGTGCTGGCTTCAATAGAGGTAAGGGCTGCAATAAGAAATACAAGAAATAATGAATTGACATGTACAATGCATACAATACATATGTACATCATCCAATTACATTATTTTCAGGCGCTCATAACTCAAATCTATGTACACATGTACTAGCAAATACAAGAGCATTATTATGTATACATACATACATGTATATAAGCAAAATTGAAAAGGGAAAATAACATGTACTTACTTTGCTCTCCATACAAAGTGTGTCCTCAATTGGTTTCTTCATTTCAGTTCGTTTCATTCTCAACTGTTTCCGTCTCTCTAGTTTAGCCTGTTTCACTCTCTCAATACTGATAGCCGACTTCATCCCGCCATCACTCGGTGTTCCACTTCCACCTAATTTCAATAAACTCTTTCTTAAATCCAACTGCTTCATTGCCTTTGCCTTCTTCAATGCCTTTTTAGCCGAACCAAGAACAGCGATACTGGGTGTGGAGCTTATCGAATCAATCCCAGCCCCTTTCTTGGGCTTACGAGGCGACTTACTGGAGCTCTTCTTCCTTGAGGACACAGAAGAGACACTCCCTCCAAGAGACAGACGAGATTTCTTACGTGACGGAGTCTTTAACGGTGACTTGCCCTGCGACTTCTTTCTTGGACTCTTTGTCTTCTTGCTACTGCTACTTCCCCCGGGTTTACCCCTCCCTGTCCCGCTTCCCTTTCCCTCCTCGCGCTTAAGGAATGCTAATATCATTAACTGCTTCTTTCCTTTACCAGTACTAGAGGTATTAACACTACCTCCTCCTGCCGTGGAGGACGAGAGGAAGCTATCAAGATTGGTCTGAGAGAGAGAAGAGCGTCTTGATGACAGTTTTGATGAGGACAATGGACTAGTCTTTGTTGAACGAGGAGCAAGTTTGTACTTTTCAACATACAGTGGCTATAGGAGTGAAGAAAAGAGAAAAAGTAAATAAATTTAGGAAAATCAAACCAAGGAAATTAACAATTAAAGGAAAAAAAAAGAGACAAAAATAAATGAAGAAAAAGAGACAGAATACATGCATGTTGCTTCAATTAAACTCTGCACCATTAAAAGGTGATGAAGTAATTCAAGTGATAACGTTTTCCAGTAACACTTTGCTGGCTTTATAACTTTGTTACATGTGCATGCACATGTACATGTACTAATAAGATGTTTAATTGTAATATGAAAACTGTATGTACATGTACATGTATATACAGTAGGAGAGCTGTAGGGTGTGTGGCTCCACATACTTTAACAAGCAGTGAGTGTTTATCAGGTCCTCTGTATAAAGTATTCCTTAGAAACAACTTTAACTTCTCTTTGGTTAGTATGGACTTAGGTCGACTAAACAATATAAATATAAATTATTACAAAGATTCCACAATCTTTATACATGCAACAGAAACATATATTCTTGCTGTACCTTAAATGAAGGCTGGTGGTTGTGAATTGCGAGGATGATGATGATGATAATGATGATGACTTCTTAGCAATGTCTTGAACAGTGTAGAGATAGTGTGAAGAAGGATGATCAGGGGATAAGTATGATGAAGCATGAGGGGAAGATGAAGAAGGGTCTGGAGTAGCAAGGGGAGGAGCAGGGGTGGAGGAGAGAGGGCCAGGAGTTGAAGAAACTGGAGCCAAAGGACATTTAGCAGTGGGATCTGAAATGTACATGTACAGTTAAGTCTTAAACCAAAATTGTATGTGTATATACCTGTTGATGAGTGAAAGGAAACTGATTGAGGAGAAGTATTTAAATGAGCAGCTGAGGGAGTGTTCGTATTATTGGATTTGTGAGGAGTACATGTAGGAGGAGGAGGACTAGCTGAGGCAATGATAGGAGAAGAGACACTGATAACTCTAACACTCCTTGATGACCTGCATCAATACAAACATATGTACATAAGTATGGTCCCACTGGTATCTTTGATGGAACATGCATGAACATGTACATGCATGGTATATACATGTACATACAGGTCATGTACATTGTACATGTATACAATACATATTGCAACTTAGAACATGGTACATGACATGTACATTCATGTGCATGTAACCCAGCCTTCAGACACATCAACATGAGCATGTACATGTATATGTATATGTACAGTATAAATATTAAAGAAACTGTAAAGTAAACTGATTATTCTTAAGAGCCTCCCACCCTGCACACAAGCACAATAATAAATATTTGTAATGATTTTTAAATCAATTAAAATTGTTCGTGAACATACTTCTTATCACCTCCAGGAGTCGGATAATAATCCAGTTCCTCCCCAACAAGGAATCTCTCCTTAAAGTAGTGATAAACCTTCTCCAGAATACTCTTCATGTTGGTATGGGGTCTCTGATGTATCAGCCAAAGGATGGCCTCCTTGTACAGCTCTGGTAGCAAGCTCATCGAGTGCTTAGCTTCATTCTCTGAGTCAAGTGCTTCCTGATAAGTTAGGTTTTGCTGTCCAGTCATCTCACAGGACCAGATTAATGTATTGCAAAGATACTGACGCTCAAAGAATTCACTGAGAGAGAGTCGGAAAGAGAAAGAGAGTCGGAAAGAGAGAGAAGAGAGGAAAAGTGAGAGGAAGAGAAGAGAAAGAGAGAGGAAAAGTAATAGAGACATAAAAAGGAGAAATATTTTTTAAAAAGATGAAAATGAAAGAAGATGAATGCAAGGATAAAAAGGGGAGAAAATACATGAACGTACATGTAAAATAGACACCGCTGTGCAACACTATGGATCAATGTGAAGTGGGTTCTGGGATTCATACATTTATATGCTCATTATGCATGGAATTTTACCCAAAATACATCAATTTACTACTTCCTCAATGATCCCCTTGGCCTCTCTGTAGTACATGTACAAGTAGTAAAGCATTAGGTGTGAGAGTCTGCAGAGATGAGTGCTGGAATCGTAACAGTGGGTTTAAGCAATGTAGGACGGGCTCTCTCGCAGGGTTTAACACTCACTCGTAGCTCCTGAATATTTCTTTTGTCTGAGGGCAGACAAACACATTCTCGTCTGGTAAGATCGAGAGTGGTAGAGGCTGTGGAGTGAAGGGTTTTCCACGTAAAAGAGGCATCTTTGCTCACTAGAAATTTAAGAGAGAGCACTCTTCTTCAAGTATAGACCCTTTGAAAGCTTATGAAGAGGAGAGGAACACTAGAAACTGGAAAAGAGAGAGGACAAGGAGGCGAATCTTTTGCTCTGTTAACTTTCGCGCCAATCGTTTAACTCCGTATACTTCCGTGGTATTAAGCCCTGGTTTAAAACTCCGCCTACTTTGTACCACGCCTACAACTGCCACGGGGGTTTTTTGTATACTTCCGGACACTATTTTTCTATTTGCCCCGCCTATCTAGATCACGTGAGCATCTCTGTTCTGTTATAAAAAGACTGTGGGACAAGAAGGTATAAAAGAAAGAATCGTGATCAGAGACTGGTTCTGTTTGTTAGAAGAACACTTTCAAGGCAAAGATGAGTCGTAACGATAGATCAATGCCTTTTACACTCCCTTCCCCTCTACACGAACCACCTACACCAATGACACAATTTATGGAGGTATGTTATTAGTATTAGCCTTGCTGTAGTTATAACCAGTCATTTCTAGCAACAAAATGTTCCAGGGACACCGAATATTCAAACCCCACAGCCCTCTAGTTCTCTTATGCCTCCTCCTTCTGCTCCTCCTCCTTCACATATATTTGCCACTCCCTCTCCGGCACCAGGTCATCAGCCCCCTGCTGCTCCTCTCGCCTCCCCCTCTCCGCTAGCGGGACAGTCCTCCTCTGGTGCTAATCCATACACTAATCCTGTCTCACCTCGCACACCATTATCAGCTTCTACTGCAGAAAGCATGGGAATCATACCTCAACTCCAGTGAGTGTTTTTGTATGCTTTGGTTTACTTGAATCCGCATGCTTTCTCTTATTGTGATTATGCAGCTGTTTGTCTAAGTAGTGGTGCTATCACTTTTATTGATTAATTTGATAATTAGTGTTATTTACTACTTACTGATAGGAACATTGTTTCAACTGTTACTCTCGGATGTAAGCTGGACCTAAAGGACATTGCACTCAGAGCAAGGAATGCAGAATATAATCCAAAAGTAATACTCCATCGTAATTTGACTTACATGATGATCTCTTCTTTTATTATTTCAGCGTTTTGCTGCTGTTATCATGAGAATACGGGACCCAAGGACAACTGCACTTGTCTTTAGTTCTGGGAAGATGGTGTGCACTGGAGCAAAGAGGTTAGTGTAATAATGACAGTTGTTTTTAATTAAAATATTATTTTACTTTCTAGTGAGGATTTCTCAAGATTGGCTGCTAGAAAATATGCTAGGATAATTCAGAAGCTGGGTTTCCCTGTAAGAATGAGAGAGGGGGAGAAAGGGGATTTTGGTAGTAATTATTGAGTATGAGTTATGATAGTTATCTTTGGTGTATTTACTATTTTTTCATCTAAGGCTAAATTCCTTGAGTTCAAAATCCAAAACATGGTTGGGAGCTGTGATGTTAAGTTTCCTATTCGTCTTGAAGGTCTCGTTGTTGCACACAGTCAGTTTTCAAGGTTAGAGGGAGATGAAAAAATAGTTGGTCATTCAAGAAAAGACCATCATAGACCTGTGTTCTATTTGTATTGTGCCTTTGAGTACTATTGTGTTTTTATATCCTTTTAGTTATGAGCCAGAGCTTTTCCCTGGACTAATATACAGGATGGTTCGACCTAGGATTGTACTGTTAATTTTTGTGTCTGGAAAAGTCGTTTTAACAGGTATAAAAATCATTAAATTTATTATTATTATTACCATTATTATTGAAAGCAAAAATGTCTACATAGAAAACAAAACATAGTGTTGCAATATAAGCATGATACGTTTGATACTGTCGAGCTGTGTAGCTTAAATGTAACAATGCTGAACTGTATGCCTCACATTATACATGTACACTACACTGTACACATCAATTAATGAAAGACTGTTACTACATGTATTTCATTTTTAGGAGCTAAGGAACGATCTCAGATCATTGAAGCTTTTAACAACATTTATCCAATTTTGAAAAACTTCAAGAAAACGACATAACACTCCTGTGTATTAAAAATAAATGGACAATAACGAACAATACATGCATATCACTCCAATCATTGTAATCTATCATTTCTACTAGAGCAACAAAAAAATTGTTTTCCATCGTGTTTATTATTATGAATAAATTTATGATAAAATTGAATATGCCAGAGTATGATTGGTCCCTGTTGCAACACCAGTTAAACCTGACGGTGATGCAAAAGAGAGCATTCTGGGTCTATCTATAAAACTGCCTTCGTCCATTGAGAGTCCAAGCTTCCCATAATGGTTACTACCCCAGCCCCAGAGTTGGCCAGTGGAGTCAAGAGCAATGGTGTGTGATTCACCACACGATACATCAATCCATTTGGCCAGCCCTCGTACTTGACTAGGGGTATCAGTGTCACGACTGTGCCCAAGTCCAAGTCTGCCATAAGCACCGTGTCCCCACACGTACAAGTCTTGCGATTTGGTAATGGCTGCACAGTGCTTCCAACCAGCCTTCACATGTGTCACTTTCTCATTAAAGTGGGCTGGATCAACTAGTGGCCCTGATGAAGAGGGATGACCAAGCTCACCGTGTTCATTGTATCCAAATGACAAAACCCGACCTGATTCTAGTAAGAACAGAGTGTGATTGAAGCATGCACTCAACATTTGGACCAGCTCTTCAAATTTATTAAGTAGAGGTACTTTCTGAGTAGTTAGTCTCACTGAAGCCGAAGGTAGTCCTAACTGTCCATACTGATTCCTACCCCATACATAGACTGACCCATCACTGGCTAATACAATACTGTGATATGCTCCTCCTCCTCCTCCTATAATTCTAACACTCTCTGGGATACCTTCAATGAGTTTAGGAACGGCCAGTGAGGACTCGTCCCCATGTCCCAGCGTACCATAATACCCTACGCCCCAGGAGTAGACCCTCCCCTGATCCCTTGTTACTGCCAGTACATGTGAGTCTCCCCCGACCACACACGATATTGCTATTCCTTTTAGCGACTCCACTATACGAGGTGAGTGTTCATCTTCATCCATCTCTCCATGCCCTAGCTGACCATAATGGCACTTTCCCCAAGTGTATACTCTTCCTTCCCCGTCCACTGCAATGTTGTGCGCTGATCCAGTCTCTACGTGGCTTATGTTAGCAGGCAAAGACTTTATTTGTGTAGGAGAGGAGATGTTCTTGTCTTCTGTACCGTGCCCAAGGCGTCCATAAATGTCACTTCCCCAAGAATACACTAACGACATTTTTTGCAGTAACCAGCCACTCCCTATGCGTGGGTGTTGCTTTTAAAAATCAACGCCCACGAGTCAATGGGAGTGGTTTGGATATAATTTGCATTTTGGGCGTGGTTATGACACGTGGTGTGTTCTAAATTCTAATGCTTGAGAAAAATGTTCAAGTTATTTTCACAGTCATTTAGAGCTGTCTCATTGCCTCATTTAACTTTGAGAGCAGTGTAAGTACACTATTTTATATTTATTTATAGTTTTTTTATGAATAAAGGTCACGTCCGTTTTGTTCAGCCACAAAAGCCATTACTGATGTGAGTTTGTGTGTGATGTCTGCTATACTGCTAATTTTATTTGTAATTGATAGACTAAAAGTACTCCACCTGCAAGGATCTGTTTGCCCGTTGAAGATGAATCTGGTGAAGAATTGGTACCAGAAAGGCTGTACTCTATGATTAATATTAAGGTGATGCTCATTATATATTTTAAAGTCATAGAATATTTTTAAAAAGTTTTTCCTTTCTTATTTCATTTGCTGTGTTTGTGTAATATATGTTCTCCTTGGGGGTGGTAATAAATGGTAGAACTGCTTTAATTATCAGAGGCACACCTCTTGATTCAGTGTTGTAATTTACTTCCAAAAGGTTCAAGGCTTTGAATTTGCTGTGTTGGAGAGTTATATTAAATTCGTTACTACAGCTTGTGAAGCTCTAGGTATCAAAAATGGGGGAAGGTAATTGAAGCACTTTTTAAAATTGTACCACGTCTCTTTTGAGACAGGGTGGCCTTGCCAACTGAATTTCAAAAGTTCACAGTCCTCAAATCGGCCCACATATTTAAGAAGCATCGTGTGCAGTACGAAATAAGGACGTACTCAAGATTGGTGCAGGTATGCAATATTCTTATTGATTTTTTCTCATTATTTATAGATCAGACAAATCACTGGCACAACTGCTGATGTGTTTTTAGAATACATACAGAGGAATTTACCTGAGGGAGTGACAATGACTATTTACCAAGTAAGCACCCTATTTATAATTTTAAAACTATCCTGCTGGATGATGGAAATTTTTTAAGATCACAAGTGTTTTAGCCCATTTATTTTGTGAAGTCAACAGATGTTGCATACACGAAGGCACACCAGTTACTCTCTTTTTCTCTTCATAAGGAGGAATTACGGGCTCTACCTAAATTGCTAATGAGCCAGTATGAAGTTGAAAAGCCGCCTCAAGTTAGAAGTAAAAAGAAGAAATAGTTGATCTTGAGGACAATCATTGTAGGAACAGTTTATGTAGAAGAATGTTATCAATAACTATATTACACTAAATGTATGTGAACATCACCTGACATTGTGATTATAATTTCATGTCATCCTTAAGTGCATTGACAGCTTTATTGCATGTACATGTTATCTAGTGTTGCACCTCAAATGTGTACACATTTACAATCACTCCATCAAAATTAGTCAGATGCAATGGTATTTTTTTAGACTCTAAATGGCAATACATGTAGGCTGTAGCTTTAAAAGTTTAGCCAGAATTAGCTCAAACTGTCTACATACATCAGTATGTATCATACAGTTTTGGGGTGATTTCAGAGCCAATTTTTGGAAAAAACCATGGGCTATTATTGTTTAAAATTTCAGAGCCAATTTTTAAAGCTAGATATTATTTTATAATTATATATAAAATTGTGAGATACTTGATACAGTTGGAGATAACTGTTATAATTAGCCTTCAATGTGAATGACAAGTATCTCATAATTATGTATATATTTATAAAATTATATTTATATGCAGGTATCCTGTCATTTTACCACCGCCTTGACAATTCAGTGCTATCTACTCGTTCACATTACTTCTTTTATTGTAAGAAATACAGTAATTACAATTATTTAAGTAATAAAATCAATATAGAATAAAATAGATAAATGAATAATAATGTGTGTGCTCAGCTTATACTTATGAACTGCTGCACAAATCACAAAAAAAGGAAAAAGAATGAGACCATAGGGAAAAATAATTTATACAGAATATATAAATAGATAAAATGAATAAATAATTTGAGTGCACAGCTTTATTTGAGGACTGCTGCACAAACAAAAAGGAAAGAGAATGAGACTATAGGGAATAGTAATGATACAATGAATAATAACAATGATCAAGCCTCTCCAGATGCTAGCAGCTAATGATCTATTCCTGCTGCTAGTTGTGGTAATTAGGCCATTCCAACTGTGTGGTTTCATCAAAGAGAAGAACAGGCTCTGGAGCTCTGTCATTGCATGATGATCCTGGGGTGGTCTGTGTTTCATTCTCTGCACTCAGAGATGAGCATATCGTCTCTGGAACAAGAGAGTCTTCAACGATAGTACCCTCATCAAGGGAAGGCTCTACTGCAGGAGGGGAGGTATTAGAAATGTAAAACGATACCCTTCCATCAATAAAGTCTGACCGACTGTTACTATTAGTTGATGATTGTTCTTGTCCTTGTTGAGAGCAGGAGATCTGAGTTGATCCTGTCATTTCTGTTTGAGAGAAGTATGAGGAAGAGTTTAAGGCATTGGTAAATGATAAATGACTCTGTGCTGAATGTATGGATTGGGGGAGGAGGGCAGCATGGAAATTTGGTAACTGTTGTGAAGGAGGTGGAGGAGGAGGAAGAGGAGGAGGGTCGGTGTTATAAAAGGAGTTACTATTACTGGATGGATGATAGGAAGAAGGCAATACCTGAAATTCAGCCCGTTCTGAGACTGTTTCCTGTTCTAATTGTGAAGGAATAGAGGAAGGACTGTAGTCATAGTGTGGCAATGATGGCATTGAGTTATACCCTGTTATATTAACAAGCATATTAGCATCCATTGAAGCCAGAGGGTGCTCCAAGTGCCCTGCTGTACCACAAGTGTCTTCATCAGTGCTTTGATCCTGATGTGCAGTGCTAGCATCTGATTGATGATTCTCACTCTGTTCTAATTGACCTATTTGAGCATGTAGGGAAGCATTTTCAAACATGAATTTGTTACGTTCCTCTTCAATTCTGACGAGTTTCTCTTCTGCTATTGATCTTCTCCTCGACTCATTTGTTAATTTTGTCATGAGCACCGAATTAGCACGTCTGAGCTGTCGATTTGATTCAATGTATCTTTTCATTTCATGTGTGAGATGTGTGTTGTTCAGAATTGAGATATCAAGCATGTTATACGATATTTCGAGCATTCTTTCATTTACTATGTTATCAGACAATGATCTCGTTGGTTGTTGAACTGGCTCAGAAGTAGAAGCAGCAGCGAGTGGATCACTGACAGATACACGAGGGGCATCACTTTGAACAATACTGGTACCTTCAGTTGAATCGGTGGTCTCTGTTAAATCTGTTCTTCCTAATAATATTCTCTGATTGACTTTGTCGATGAAGAGTTTATCCGGTGGCAAGCAACGACCAAGTGCTGCTAACAAGGCCCTGTTGGTAGCTCTCTTGCCGTTACTCTGCTTCCAATAATAATAAACTTGATACCTTTGTTCGTATAGGCTGTCGTATGGTTGAGCACAGTTATCTATCTCGTGCTTCTCCATTCTGAGCCTCGTACCTAACTCCTGTGGAGTGTACGGCGTAAAGAAGGCTATGTCTCTTAGCACACAGTCATCGCATATCTCATCAAGGATCTCTGCCTCTGACTGGTGCTTAGAGCAAGCCTGGGGTAAAGATAAAATATAAAATAAGGACATCTCTGAAGATTCACTCACCATCTTTTAGCCATAAACAATCAGGGATTTCCCCGCCACACCCAGGTTTATAAAAATTATATCATTAGACTATTGTTATTATTATTATTATAAAAATCAAAATCAAATTGAAAAAAGATTATTGCACTACTTCAGTCTATACAGTATAATGATAGAATTATTATTATATATAAAATCAAAGATGAAATTGAAAAAGTAACAGATTATTGCACTTCATTCCATCATTAATAGTACATGAATAAATAAGATAAAAATTAAATACAAGACCTGATTCAACTTGTGTCAAGAATAAACTGTATGCCATCTGACAACGTCATATCATCTTCAAAATCAAATGAATTGCCAGAATCTGATTGTTGTTTCTCTTCCTTTGATTTGATTGGGCAGTATTCTGGTGGTTCTTTGGCTTTAATCTGAATGCTTGACATCAGTTCATTATTAAGACATTTATTTGTTGCCTTCAAAAACTCTATTTCACCCTCATACTCCTTCAAATGCCCCTCCATATCTTCTCTTTCTAATTTTAAAATCTCTTTTTCTTTTTTAAGCTGTTCGACTAGTTTAGACAATGATTTAACTTCACGTTTAAGGTGTAATATTTTTTGCTTACAAACCTTCTGGTTCTCGTCAGTCCAATGAGTAAACTTTTTCTGATTCTCAATTGAAATTTCGAGAAGGGCATTAGCTCTATTCAACATTGGCATTGCCATAGATTCACTGCTAGAAGTTTCATTTTCCACAGAAGGCTCTATTGTTGGGATTGAGTGTTGAGTGATTATGAGTTCCTCTGTGTCTTCTAAAAAAGTTTGATTTGTTGGAAGACAACGTTTAAGACAACAGAAAAACTGGCCATATGTGGCTTTGCTCCCTAGCTTTTGTCTCCAAGTCCGTAATAGTTGGAATCTATATTCAACTGGGTCGTGTAAAGGAGGTTCACAATTATTTCTCTCAAAATCTTCCAAACCGAAGCGTATAGCTAGCTCCAAGGGAGGATGTGGGCATTTGTGAGCCGTGTCCCGAATGACATTGTCAACACACACAACTTCTTCTAATTCTTTTAAACGGCTTGGACTAGAAGGTGTCTAAACAAAAAAACAAGTGTATAAACAAAAAGATTTAGTTCACACTTACCATTTTATTTTTTTGTTTTTTTTTAAGGGAAATTACCAGGGATTCTCCCCCAATTTATTTAATAAACTTATCTCATTAATTTGGTATTTTATTATTATTAAAATAATTATTTTCAATTAAAATTCATTTAATTTATTCATTTTTTATTTATTGTTGTTGTCTTGTCCAGGCTGAGCCCAGCAAGCTGCTCAAAGTGTTCAACAATCCACTGGAATACTGGACAGGATTAGACTCCTCCCTATGCATCCCCCCAACCTCATTAAGGACACTCTGATGACTGATCTCGGCAGTTGAGACCCCATACTCAAGCCTCTCTCCATGAAAGCCCGGAAAAAACCTAGTGGGCACCATCAGGTCCTGCACTTCTTCCCATCCCTGCATTAAGACATCATCATCATCATCATCTTCTGAATCATCCGATTGACTGCAAAGATCATCATCACTCTCTCTCGTGGCAGCAGAAATGTCTAATGGTTGCTCCTGAGTTAGGTCTTCTTGATGAGCTCTGTGCAGTATTGGTGGCTCTGTTTCCCATTCGGGTGTTGTATAGTTCTGTTCTCTTGTCATTCGATGCTTCTTGTTCACAGTTGAGCAATGAAGGAGCTCAGGATGACATGTGAATGGTCCGTTCCTATTTATGTACAAAGTAATGCACATAATGTACAATTTTAGTATGCTTTATTTTACCTTCCTAGCTCAGAATATTCAACCAAGACTGAGAGGTTTTTGAGTGTGTGGCCAACTGTCAATAAGTCCACAGGGACATTCTATCACAGTTAACATTAATAGTGCATATAATAATGAAGATCATAACTAACTTGTGTGAAGCATAGGAAAGTGATGTTGTCATCTAATTTTGCAAGAAACCGAATAATAGTCTGAGCTTTTCTGTCAGGCCGTCCATATTCACTGAAGAGATAAATAACAAATAAACATTCACAATTTAATGTATTCGTACCACAGAATCACTGGCAGGAGAAGAGGATATGGTAAAGCCTGATCCAATATTCTAGCAATGATAGAAACCGAATGAGTAACAAAAGAGAGAGCAGCAGACACCGACAGTACTTGATCACTCAATGGATCCGTCTCTTCTTCTGGTCGGTCATCTTTCATAAAACTCAGTGATACTTATAATAAACAATAAATAATACCTGGAGCTAAAGTCACTTGAGACTTTACATTCTTTAGTTTAACTGAATACGAAGTAAGCGTGTAATTTCATCAATGGCAACTGTTTACCTGCATCAACATAGTCTCTCATTATTCCATTGGCTGGAAGACTGGCAAGTCCAATGCAATGTAGTGGCACTGGTTTATTTCTTCTGTGTGATATTGATGATGATGATGATGATGATGATGATGATTGGGGCGGTAAGTGATTGGTGATAATGTCATATTCAAATGAGTCAGTGGTTGACTCTAATGAGAAATGATCACAGAATGTAATGTTACTTTATTATGTTATTTGATACACAACACAGCATGCAAGAGTAATACAATCTATGCCTGCCATATTATTGTTAGCTACCTTCGTTGCCTTCAGTCATTGGCATGCCTTCTTGTGTTGTTGGCACATAGAGGGGAAAGACCCTGTTCATTAGCTGAGTAATGAAGTTTCTTCTCATTTCAAATAAATCTGTTTTCTCTTTGCTTAGTGTAGCTTCCTTGATGCTGCATTCTTTCTACAAGGGAAAATGGAGAGTAAGGGAATGAGTTAAAGAATGAGAGAGAAATCTTTACTTTTGCTTGCGAGTATTTCTTGCCCAAGTCTCTACTTTTGGCCCTTTTTAATTTCTCTTCTTTCCGATTGTTTGACTGTCTGATCTGAGCCAAATCTTTACTGGCTAGTAAAATATAAAAATTAATCTAATTTTTGTACTGGTGGGTGCTGAATTTATAATTAATTATCACGTCTTTCTTGATGCTAGCAACAATTTAATCTATTTTCATTAATTTACCTTTCTCAAAAGTTTGTTTTTGATACGTTAAAGACTCCTTTAATAGGCTTACTCTTTTCCTTAGAAGCAACAACTCAGCAACCTTGTAATAACAAACAAGAAACCTACATAAAAACTTTTTATTTCATGAAAATGTCACCACCTTTTTTGATATTTCCTGATGACTCTTCATGGCTGTTGCTACCCTATAATGCGAGACACGAGTTCTCAGACAGTGAATTCTAACTTACTCTATTTTCTTGTCTTTAACGATATCCCTCAGTGTCCAGTAGCGTCTACTCAAAGCATATTCTTCTTGAGCTTCAGCTTCCTCCATATTCTTCAGCCAGCCACGCCCTATAACAACACGCCCCTTGGCCTTTGCAGCTCTAACCACGCCCACTAGATTTATCATTTTCCGTATTCTTTCAGTAAATTGTGAACCTTGCTCGCGTGTATCATCATTTTCTGCCGCTGCTGTTTGCTCTCTTGTGCGTCTCTAGAGACAGAAATAGAAGATACAACAGGTATTTTCATTTTATTTAGCCTTAATGATAGTGTCTTTTTTTCTAATAGAGCTCCCTAGTAAAGTCCACGAGTGTATGACTGTCACCAACTTATTCAGAAGGAGTAAGCAATCACGCCCTTTTTCATCCATTCCTTCCCTCTCACTAGGTGTATGGTTGGGACACCATTTTACAACGTCAGTGGGAGTTGACAGTATAGCAGAAGAACCGACAGACTCTCCCCCTTTCACCTTTGATACGCTTTTATATGCATTCTCTGAACATTGCAGACCTTTGTGGGACCGTCCTGCCATTTCTACAGCTATTCAAAGATCCAAACCTTGTCATTCTAATCGGAGTTCTCTACCAGTAAAGAGCAGAGAGAGGAATCATGGCGTTTGTTAATGTCAATCGTGAAAACACTGACCCGTACTATAGGTACAAGATGCCTTTGTTGATTGCTAAAGTGAGTACACAACTACACATTGTACATAATAACATTGATAATGGCATTCAGGGAAACTAATCCTGGTAGCATTATTGGTATATGATTGGGGCCAATATAACTATGTGCTATGTATTGACAATTGTCATTTTAAGCATGTGTCTGTACATTACCTTTTGTGGTGGATTGAGGTAGTAAAGAAACAACTGGTCTATATTATTTGTATGCACTGTCATGGTCATGTTGACTCTGCATTTTATACTGATAATGAGATTTATTGAATGCAGTATAGTGATGCCTCACTGTCTGTAGAGACTGCTATGTCATTATTATTGTGTTTGTGTCTACTTATTGGATTTGTTGTACTGTATTTAGAAGGAAGTGTGTGTGTGTGTGTGTGTGTGTGTGTGTGTGTGTGTGTGTGTGTGTGTGTGTGTGTGTGTGTGTGTGTGTGTGTGTGTGTGTGTGTGTGTTTGTGTGACAGATGTACCCTACCCTACCCCATCCACAGAGTGTAGTCACATCATCTGATAGGCATGTAAAATAGCCACTCTCTCTCTTCATTCATATTGAACAATGGAGGATAATAGGATTTGTAATAATTATTTATTGTTACGCTAATTGTTTGTACTCCACATATATTTACTCTTGGCAATGGGTACACATGCACCCAGTACAGCATGAAACCACATTATGATAATAATCTTGTGCACATGCTCATGTACACTAGAGGTGTGACATGTGGTTGGTATTGTAGTATTATGAATCCGTTATTTACACAGGTGGAGGGAAAGGGTAATGGAATAAAGACTGTCATTGTCAACATGGTTGAAATTGGCAAGGCTCTTCAGAGGCCACCGTCTTGTAAGTGTCGATTATTATTTATGATTAATCTCCCCGTATAAGCATTTAATGATTGTCAAATTAATGGCTATTGACACATTATTGTACTCTGACGCCTTCTCATTTGTGTTGATCTCTCTCTCTCTCTCTCTCTCTCTCTCTCTCTCTCTCTCTCTCTCTCTCTCTAGATCCATGCAAGTATTTTGGTTGTGAGTTGGGTGCTCAGACTCAAATGGATCCAAAGAATGGGCGCTACATTGTTAACGGAGCTCACGAGGGTCCAAAGCTCCAGGACCTTCTTGACGGGTTCATCAAAAACTTTGTCCTTTGCGAGGAGTGTGAAAACCCCGAGACTAACTTGGTAAGGATATGCATGTACTTATAATGCATGTACATGTAGTTATGATGTATTAGAGTTTGTGGATAATGTATTGTTAATGTATAAAATGTACAATGATGCATGTGTAAATTTGTGGCCCATGTGTAAAACGTGCTAATGAATGTGCATGTGCAGTTTTATTCATCTCTTTTTATAGGTTGTTCAAACTGGGAAGAACCGTATTGTTCAGACCTGCATTGCCTGTGGCCACAGTCGTCTTGTTAGCGAGCGTCATAAGCTCACAGCTTATGTCATCAAGAACCCGCCACATTTAGCAGCAGGTGGTGCTGATGATGCAGCAACAGGAGGGAAAAAGTAAGTCACTGCTCTATATATACAATATAGTAGCAGTGTACATCTACATTCTTTCCATATTATTTCTTTGGTAGAGATAGGAAGGGAAAGAAAGGCAAAGGTAAAAAAGAGAAGGAGCCAACGTCTCCAAGCGTGGCATCTCCAAATGATATTGACAAAGAATTTGATGTTGCTGTGCCTCAACAGGTAAAGAAATAGGAGAGTCTAATTTATGCTTCTCTCTCTCTCTCTCTCTCTGATTCAGAATGGAACTAGTCATAAAGGGAAGAATAAGGATAAAAACGCTGATGACGATGATGAAGAATGGAGCGTTGATACTAGTGAAGAGGCTGTGAGGAAGAGGCTTGAGAACCTTAGTGAGGGTGCCACTGTACTGACACTCAATGATGATCTTGAGAAGAGCAACAGCGAGAGGGTCAACATGTTTTACAAGCATGTGGAGGTATGTCACTGCTTTTATACTGTGTACATGATGTAGATACACTATGATTTGCGTGGTTAAGAAGATTTCACAGTTATTTAACATGTACTAACTTTGGCCCATTCTCCTTTTGTTCTTTTAAGTGTATTGAGCCTCTTTATGCTTTGCAATTAGTTCTAGAACATTGGGAGTACTATGTCTATAGATGTAGGGCAAGTGAAATTAATCTACAGATGGATATGCATGTACATGTATATGTATTTTACTATTAGGGAATTAAGGCTAATGGTGGTATTCCGGCTATTGCCAGTTCACTCTCCAAAATCAAAGGTGAAGCCGAGCGTCTTGAAGTCCTTGATACAGCTGCTGGTATAATGGCTGAACTCCTTTATACTGACAATCTTCTCTCTGAAATAAAGCAATACAGAGCAATAATGCTCCACGTAAGTATAATTTAATAATTGACTTGTATCAATTGAATATTTACTGCTATATAGTTTATTGCAGTGGCCCTTTAGTTTTGATTGGTGCATCTTCTATTAAGTAGCTGTGCATAATATAATTGATTTATCAGTTTGATTTGTTGCTGCAAAAATTTAAACTATGTTGGTGGATTACCTAATGATTTGCATGTGATCAAAAGTTATTGAGTTGTGATGAATATATTCAAGTTTTAGCTGAGTATCGTGCACTGCAGTAACATGTCACAGCATCTTGTTTTTCATTTTTTTTTTAGTTTGTTCATGAGAATAAGAAAGCTCAGAAGACACTCTTGGATGCATTTGAGATACTTGTTGGTAAGGTCTATCCTGATGTGCTCCTGCCAAGGGTGCCACACATTCTCAAGTCATTCTATGATGAAGATATACTGGAAGAAGAGTCTATACTTGAGTGGCATGATAAGGTTATCATTTTTTTTCTTATCTCTTTTTTACTGTTGGGTTTCTTTTTTTTATTTTGTAGGTGTCTAAGAAGCTTGTTGGTAAAGAGAAAGCTCGTGAGATTAGAGAAAAAGCTGCTCCTATAATACAGTGGCTGAAGACAGCAGAAGAGGAATCTAGTGAAGATGAAGGTAAAAATAAAACTACATGTACATGTACTTCTGATATTACTGGCTGAATGTACATGCATGTATATGTACTTGAGTGCAACTTTAAAAATTCATTAAAAATCCAATTTTGAATGGAATCAGCTCACACTTGCTACACAACATACATGTACATGTAATGATGTAAGTATCAGAAAAAAATAGAATTCTCTCTTAGTCATTTTTGGAAAAATACTCCATTTTTTTCTGTGGTATTTTGTCAAATTTTGAGCAACTTTAAAATTTGCTGACAAGAACTTGCATGCATGAGCATTATTACAAAATCCTATAGGAAACCCTGAGTCATTATAGTCTGATGTTATGTATCTACATGTACATGTTTCTACAATTTCATTTTCAAAATTTATTTTTGTTTTATTAGACGATGTTGAGGTTGTTTACGAAAATGAGACAGCTGGCGACAAGCTGAAAGTAGTCTCTGAGACTATACCAGCTGGTAAAGTTATCAATGAGGCTGTCGATGATGATGATGATGATGATGAAGAAGAGGAGGTGAATATCGATGATATATGATGCTCTTCCCCCAAAAAAATTTGTCATTTTATTATTGCTTGAACAAGTGTACACTTATTATACCACATATTATTACATGTATTATTATACAAGTAAACCTGCTATTATTAATATATTGCTATTGCATATTATTATTATTGTTACTATTATTATGGGTGTGCTGAACTGCTAATCTTTATTAAAATAATAATAACTGATGAACCATAATCTGTAATTGTTTACTTTAATAAATCTTGATTTTTATTCATTATAATAATTACAAAAAATGAACTTGTAAACATAATCAGAAACTAATAATCACTAATAATGGATAATAATTATTATACACACAATCACAAAGACTAATATACTAAGACTTTTCCATTGCCAGAATCGCATACGTATAAGAATCCATCTCTATCAATCTCTAGTCCATATGGCCTATGCATCAAACTATCTTCCTCACCATACTTAAAGTAATGGATGAACTCTCCCCGAGTGTTAAAAACAGAGACTCGGCCAGCTCCAGCTTCAGTAATGTAAAGGAATTTATTGTCTACTAATATCAGCCTGACTGGTCTACAGAGCAATCCTTGACGAATTCCAGTACTGCCAAACTGAGAGACATAGCTACCGTCTTCTTCCTTGAACAATTGAACACGATCGTTATTAGCATCAACAACATATGCTGTACCGTAAGAATCAATAGCAACACAAGTTGGACCGTCAAACTCTCCATTTCCAGAACCATGNGTACCGCCAATGATGAATGCCAGAGTGAAGTCTGGATTCAATACTTGTACTCTGTCATTCAAGTAATCAGTGATCCATATCTTGCCAGTATTAGGGGACACGGTAACGCCTCCAGGGTAGCTAAACTCCAGCGGACCCTGTCCTTCATGACCGACACGAGCAAGACACTCTCCTTCGAGAGTCATTTTCCTGATCTTATGGTCATCAAGGACAAGGAAGCTATTATCAGGCAAAGAGAAGAGGCCGCGTGGATGCAAGAATGTCTCTACATCTTCTTCATTGTTTCCAATGGACTTGACGAGCTCTCTCTTTGAGTTGAATACCTTCAGGCAGTACCCGCTGTTCTCGGATATAACAATATGGCCATCAGTTGTGAATGTGATGCCATTCGGTTCTATCAAGTGATTAATAACTTCTACTGGAGCTTGTGAATCATAGAATGGATTGAAAGGTACGACAACTGTGACCTCTTCAAATTCAATGCCACATACTTCTATATTTACTCTTAATCGACCTCTTGCAGAGGAAGTAAGGACTCTATAAAGGCCTGGAGTAACAATGTTCGATATTACAGCTCCAATCTCTTCATTATTCATCAGTTCTGTCACAGTGCACTCTATGGCCGACAGTGGGACAGAAATGTGTCCCAAGTCTCGATACTCAAAGGAAAACGTAAACATAAACTGAGACTCATTTCGCTCTAATTGATCCGTTTTGATTTGCACACGACAATCGGAGAGCATTTGATGAGATGAGAAAACGATGTCCCCTAAATAAGAAACAGACTCCCTCAGTGCATCAGCTCTAGGAAAGAACTGGATATCTGTGGCCTCTAGACAGTGACATAGATTTTTAGAAGTAACCTCTTGCCTAACCTCATCAATACGATTTTTCATTGGTTTGTTAGTGACCAACACTTTATCAGGACTGTTGGCAGCTATAGCAGACTCAACATACTCTTGGCACTCCTCAAGTTGAGTGAGATTCTCTTGGGCTACCTTCTTCTGCTCCGAAATAACTTTGAGTTTGTTTTCTATGATACCTTCCACACGTTTCTTCATCATCTCTTCTGACTGGCGTAGCAAGGATATCAGCCCTTCCACCATAGAGTGTATTTCTTCTGTTGTGTTCTCTGCCTGCTCCTTTATTTCTTTCTCTTCATCTCCAGAGACCAATCGACGAGTTTTGGCCAAACTGCTTTTAAGAGGATTAAAGGAGGCCGCCAGCTGCTGACAGGTACTGCTGTAGCTTTCCAAGATACTCTCACATCGATGGGACCTATGGGTCCCTCCATCCATCCCAGTGCAGTCTTCACAGACGTACACTGAGCAGTCATCACAATAAAGACTCAATGGTTTATTGTGTGTAGAGCACATAGTGTCGTCTTCTCCCTCGGGCTCACTCCCACTGTGGCTTAAAGGGAAGAGTTGATGCTCAAATGCTTCAATATCATTGCACGGGGTTAGCTCATGGTGAGAGTAAGAAGGTGTGCTCTCATGCTCAATGGCACAGGCCTCACAAAGAAATGAGCAACAATGGCTGCAGTGACGAGAATCCTTACTCTCATTCACTACTTGAGAGCACTCGCTGCATCTTATTGATCCTCCTGTCTCTGACTTGAGGGACAATAGACTGTGTATTTTCTTGAGGTTGCTTATGTGATATGCATCAGAGAAGCTCCCAATCCCTCCCACTAGTGGTACCAGAGAACGAGAACGACATTGTGGACATGTTATGACTAGACCCTCTAGACTGGTTGAAGAAACACCCTCCAGACAAGACAAGCAGAAACAGTGAAGGCAGGGGAGGGTTTTAGGATCAGTATAAAACCCAAGGCAAACCGAGCAAGTGATTTGCTCTTCCAATTTCCTCAGTTTCCAAGAGGACATTTTGATAAAGTAGATTACACGAACACGCCCATATGCATGCTAGATCTAGATCTAGCTAGCCAATAGTTGAAATCTGAATCAGGATTGATGCTAGCCTGAATCAGTCATGAGTCTTGCTGATTCAGGCATGATTAATTTAATATTATTAATAAATGTTTTACAAGATGTACAGAAAATGACGCATTATACTAATTTGGCTCTGTGTAGCCTGTTTACTATCAAGTACAAAAAAATTACTTTAATCTTGGCATTGTGACAACAATTATCTAATCTATGAGACAATCAACAATGCTGAAAAAACAATATAAATGAAATTTTGCAAAGATTACAGTCAGAAAAAGTTTGATTTAATCTTTAGCTTCAAACCTTTCTCCAAAGGTACCATTAGAACCAAAGTCATCATTAACATACCACCAGAATCTTGTGTGCTGGTTAACAATCTCGTGGCGTTCAAGCTTACCATTTTTATTCTTATCGTGTGCAGCAAATCCTTGTGCAGCTGCTGCATCATCAATATTGTAAGCCTTAAACACCAGCTTGTACTCATCTAGGCTCACAGTTCCATCTTCATTGACATCAACAACATCAAACAATGCATTTGTGAGGTCTTCAGTCAATGGCTTCTCTCCAGCCTTTGATTTAGCATTGAGCTTTTCAGCCAGTGAAGCCATGGCGTCAATCCACTGTTCCTTGCTGAGCTTGTCGCCTTCTTTGATGCCAAGAGCTGCAGCCAATGCCAACTCGGCCTCCAGTACCCGTTTTAGAGCCTCAGGCCTTTTGTTGTTGGTAAGGGTTGTCAATTTATCTGCAACAATGCGAAAGTCATTGAGCTCAATGTAGCCATTTTTGTTGACATCTCTCACATAGAAAAACTCATCAACACGTTTGACCCATGTAGGATTCTTCAAAAAATCTTCCTTTGTTGTCGACATTCCTTATCAGGCTAATCATAATAATGCTAACAATGACGAATGATCGTTTATATATCCCGGGCAATTATCATCTATGCCCCGGGGTAGTCTTGCGGGGCCAGACTCAATTTTTAGTAAATTAGAGTTTGACTAATCCCGGGGGCCTCCCAAAAATGGGCCAAAATACACCACACCCGGCCGTACCCACTTCCCTAAATTGCCCTAATAGCGATAGCGCACCATCACAGAACAATGGCTAACTTCTACAACACATCTTGCAAGCCTCCACCGTATAATCCAGGGTACCAACAGGCTCCAGGATACCAACAGGCCCCAGGATACCAGCAGGCTCCAGGCTATCCACAATACCAGGCCCAGGGAGGATATCAAGCACAGAATCAGACTCTAACGTGTAACCAGGTAAATAAACAGGACAAGCATTATTATACAGTGAAGTTTCTGAATTCTGTGCACTATTATAAACTGACTAATGTCAGTAATGTCTCGCATCACAACATTAATTTTGTTCTCAACTTCTCATTTTCTTTTTAGGTTGGAGGCTATCAGGCCATAGCCTGTAATCAAACTGCTCCTGGTGTGAATAATAATGTTCTTGTTGTACAACCAACACGTCCACCTGCTGTAAGTACCGCTAAATACAATAGCTTGCTCATTCAGAATTAGATTATTAGTGTGTACCGCCAGCCCTCAGTCACTAATCTTTGACTGATGGGTAATTCCCTTGCTAATAAAGTTACCTTTCATTATAGACTACACTAGCCATTCATATATTTAATTATATTAGCCCTGCTAGTTTATTTATCTCTCTAAAAATCAATGCTAAGATTGCTTTACGCAACAGTAGTTTACTTTAGAGGAAATGTCCTTTTATGGTTACAGTTAAGCTGCTGTTTCATCATTTTCATTTTGCTTTACTATAATCACAATGTCTCTCTCCTCTTTTTTTCTAGGTACAAGAGGTATATGTTGAGAATAATGGCCCTAATCATCTCCTCCATGGAATTATTACTTTGTTTTTCTGGCCATGGGCAATTGTTTGGTTGATCGTTTGCCTTGCATATGGCGTTTAAACTGGATACATGAATACTTTGTTTTATGTAATTTTTGTGTTTTTGTCAATGCAGTGTGGAAAATGAAAATAGTTAACCAATAACAATAATTAATGTACCAATACTTCTCCAGCAGCAAATGAGGTTAAAAAGCAGATGTACGATCTTCTTTACTGGCATAAATTTTTTCCATATTTATTTTTTATTTTTAATTTTTTAATTAAAAATTTTTTTATCTCTTTTTCTTTTCATTTTGTTTTATTTTTTATTTTAAAAAATTTTCTAGTTATTTTTATTTATTTATTTATTTTAATTTAATTTTTTAAAATTTATTTACAAAAAATATATATATCTTAATTTTTTATTTTCTACTTAATTTTATTATTTTTATTTGTTTTAATACTATTATTTTAATTTTATATTCAAATTCTTTACATTTTTTATTTAATTTTTTACTTTATTTTTTAATTTAAAATTTTTTTTATTCATTTTTATCTTTCTTATTTTAATTTTTCATTTATTGTTTAAATTTTTATTTTTTTCATTATCAATTTTTTTATTTTTCTGCCAGACTAGCTTTTAAAACTTTTTGCTATCTTTATTTTTTATTTTCTATTTTTTTATTTTAAGAAAATGTCATTTTTATTTTATTTTGTATTCTTATTTTTATTTTTTGTTTTTTATTATTTATTCTATTTATTAAAAAAAATAATTTTATTATTTTTATTTCTTTTAATTTTTTTTTCAAATGTTATTCTTATTTTATTATTAATTTTTTTATTTATTGTATTTTTATTATTTTTATTTTTTAATTCTATTCATTTAAATTATTTTATTTTTTAATTTTAATTTCATTTTTATTTCATTTTTTTGATTTTTTTATTATTTGAATTTTTATTTAACTATTTCTTTTTTATTTTTCTTATTTTCTTATTTTATTCTTTAAACTTTATTTTATTTTTTAATTCATTTTATTTTTTATTATTTTACTGGTTCTATTAATTCATAGATATTAGAGTAAATGAATTACTCTATTATCTATGATTAATTTTAATAACTAAACCACGCCTTTCCACGTGTTTCAGTTTCACTGTTTTCCATTGATGTGTTGAAACTCAATAATAATAGTAGATCTATTACTATTTGAGTTTTGTCACCTTTGTGTACATGTATTCATCAGAAGGGTGAACAATATTCATTGTTAATTAGTGGATAACGTGACTGTCTCACTAACCAGCTCAGCCTTTTTTTTGCAAAATGGCTAGCCCAGTGAAGGCCATTAGTTTTACAATTAATGGCCAGAAGGTGGACCTGAGCGATCCCAGCTCTGGAACAAGTCTCAATGAATGGATAAGGTCTCAGTATGGGCTCACAGGGACTAAGAGGATGTGTGGTGAAGGAGGTTGTGGCTGTTGTGTAGTGTCTCTGACCAAGACTGACCTTTTGAGCAACAAACCAGTCACACTTGCCATTAATTCTGTAAGTGATAGTTACTATAAACATTATATGGTTTTTACCATGTGCATATTGCACACGTGCAGTGTTTGTGTCCTTTATATTCTGTTAATGGCTGCTCCATTACTACAGTCGAAGGAATTGGAAGGTAAACATATAACAATTCTGTTCTTTTAGTCTCTCTCTCTCTCTCATTTTAGTTCAAAGAAAGGTTTCCATCCAGTACAGAAGAAGATTGCCGAACTGAATGGCACTCAATGCGGGTACTGTACACCTGGTATGGTCATGAACATGTACAGGTAAAGTATATATAATGGTAATAGAAGATTGATCATCCCTTCTCTTAGTCTTCTTCAAGAGACTCCTAAACCTACCAAGCAGTTAGTGGAGGATAGTTTTGATGGTAATATTTGCCGCTGCACTGGTGAGTTATGGATTTGATTTTTTTGGTGACAAATGCACTCTTTGTCAATTTTAGGTTATCGCTCCATCTTGGATTCAATGAAGTCCTTTGCTGTTGATTCTGATGAGCCACAAGTTGTTGATATTGAGGTTATTATAACAGTTAAATTTAATTTATTTCTCTTTCCTCAATCTTATGTGTCTCTTCTATTGATAGGATGTTTGTCCAGTGAAGTGTTCATCGTGTCCAGTAATGAAGGGTTCCACTAATTGGTTAACTCAGCCTCGGACTGACTCTGATCCTACCTGGTATCAGCCTACAAAACTTTCTGAAGCATTTGATATTTATCAAGCCAATACCAGTACTAATGTCAAGTTTGTCAGTGGAAATACTGGAAAAGGTACTGTATGTATGTACATGTACATATGTATATACATGTACATGTATATGTAATCACTCTCTGTATAAATGTACATGTGTGCATCATTGCTACTATACTGTAGGTGTTTTTAAGGAAACTGCTACTATTGGTACTTATATTGAACTGAGCTCAGTGCAAGAGTTGTACAATGTTGATGTGAGTATTATTAGTACAGATTTTCCACAAAGCATGCTAAGTGAGCTGCAAAAAGCATGTGCTTCATGAGCTGACAAGCTTTTAATAGCGTAATTATGGCTTTTGGAACAAGTTTAAAATTTATAAAAAAATCCAAGTTTGTTTGGAATCAGCTCAAAATTTATAAGCTACATAAGTACATAATAATGCATCAGAAAATGTAATAAAAATGGAGAATTATCTCCTTGTCATTTTTGGTGAAATTTGGCCAATGACCCTGTACTATAGTACAGGGATTTTGGCCCAATTTTTGAGTAACTTTTAAAATTCATAAAAAATCTAATTTTGATCGGAATCAGCTCAAACTTGCTACACAACATAAGAACATGTATATGCATCAGAAAATACTATAAAAATGGAGAATTCTCTCCTAGTCATTTTTGACGAATTTGGCCAACGACCCTGTACTATAGTACAGGGACTTTGGCCCAATTTTTAAGTAACTTTTAAAATTCATAAAAAATTTAATTTTGATCAGAATCAACTCAAACTTGCTACACAACATAAAAACATGTATATGTATCAGAAAATACTATTAAAATGGAGAATTCTTTCCTAGTCATTTTTGATGAATTTGGCCAACGACCCTGTACTATAGTACAGGGACTTTGGCCCAATTTTTGAGTAACTTTTAAAATTCATAAAAAATCTAATTTTGATCAGAATCAACTCAAACTTGCTACACAACATAAAAACATGTATATGCATCAGAAAGTACTATAAAAATGGAGAATTCTCTCCTAGTCATTTTTGGCAAAATTTGGCTAACGACCCTGTACTATAGTACATGGTCTTTGGCCCGGTTTTTGAGCAACTTCAAAAATTCTCTGACATGAAGCTGAGGACTATGCCAAAATCCTGTGTGAAACCCGAGTATTACTGATCCTCACTGGCTATCTCTCTTTGCCCATTAGATAGAAGATACTTACATCAGTGTTGGTGCCTGTATAACAATAAATGTACTCATTGATATATTGAAGAATAATGAAGACAAGTCTTCTAGCTACAAACCATTGGCCGAACACCTTAAGAAAGTAACAGCACTGCTATTTCTAATAATTAATTTTTTTTAATTTTAATACAGATTGCTAATGTTCCAGTGAGAAATGTAAGTTTATTCTTTACTGTTGGTGTGAATTATTTAATTCTTTTTTTCACTACAGGTGGGCACTTGGGCTGGTAATTTGATGCTGACTCATGATAACGATAACTTTCCTTCCGATGTATTCACTATAATGGAAGCAGCTGGAGCTACAGTGACAATTGGTATATAAGTATATACATATACATGTACATGTACAACATTTAAACATTATAGTTACTGTATAATGTGTGTTCTTAATGAATTATAGCTCATGTTGGTGGAACTGGGGAATATCCTTTGTGGGACTTCTTGAACTTGGATATGAGCGAGAAGGTAACTCATTCTTTTTGTTTTGACGATGGATGGTTATTATTATTATTATTATTATTATTATTATTATTATTGTCTTATAGATAATAGTATCACTCCAGATACCATACTGTAGCCCCAATACAGTATTCAGTACATTCAAAATAATGCCTCGCTCACAGGTAATGTCAGTGTAAATTGGTATCTTTAATGTATTTTTGAGAATAATTTCTTTTGTGCTGTATATTTCAGAATGCTCATGCTTACGTTAATGCTGCATTCAGTTTGGTAGTAGATCCTGATAGCAAGACTGTTAAATCCATTCCTTCATTTGTATTTGGAGGAATCAGTGAACATGCAGTAAGCCCATGACAATACATTATGTGTCCATTTATTGACTGTCATTAGATCTCAGCTCCACTAACTGAGTCATTCATGATTGGTAAGTCATTGAAGGACCCCAATACGCTGAAAGGAGCTATGGAGAGTCTGTCTAATGAGATCAAGCCTAATGCCCCACCTGTATCAGCTAGTCCTAGTTATAGGAAGAACCTTGCTCTTAGCTTGTTTTACAAGGTACATACATCTCTCTCTCTCTCTCTTCTTTTTTTTATTAATATTATCATTATTAATGTTTTTAGTTTTATCTTCAAGCTCTTGGTGTTTCTAATGTTAATCCACTCTACCAGTCAGCAGCTATACCTTACGTGCGTCCAGTGTCCCAAGGGTCCCAGTCATACAGCACTGACTCCAGCAAGTATCCTGTTAATCAGCCTCTGCCTAAACTGACTGCTACTCTACAGGTAAATAGGGGCAGTAACATTGCTATGTAATTTTTGTATTAATTGCAATAGGCTTCAGGTGAGGCAGAGTACACTACTGACATTCCACGTCGTCCTGGAGAACTGGCTGCAGCATTTGTAGTCACTACTCAAGTACTTACATGTAGCTATATCATGGAACATATGCATAATGTATGTGTCACTTTTTATTTTAGGGTAATGCAAAGATTTTATCAATGGATACTACAGCAGCAATGGTACTAGGATTTTTTATTATGAAATAATTCCCCCCCTCCTCTCTCTCTGCCTCTGTCAGGCAATGGAAGGAGCTGTTGCTGTTGTATCTGCTAAAGACATTCCACAAAACGGGAAGAATGACTTTATGCTTGGATTAGGCGGTGACCCTGAAATTGTATGCAAACTATCTCCAGTACTGACAGTAGTAATACAAGCATCATTATAATGATAGGTATTTGCTACTGATGTATCAGAGTATGCTGGTCAAGCAGTTGCACTAGCACTGGCTGATACTCAAGAGCATGCACTGAAAATGGCCAAAGCTGTATCTCTTACTTACCAGACTCAAGGGAAGCAGATACTGACCATACAAGATGCCATTGATGCCAAATCCTTTTATGACAAGGATCCCGACGTCCATATTGGAGATGCTGATGGTATGTGTGACTATTAATAAAGAGTGTGTGGGTTTATTATTGATATCTCAGGTGCTATTAAAGGATCAGATCATGTTGTTAATGGTGAAGTATCATGTGGTACACAATACCACTTTACCATGGAGACCCAAGTAAGAAAGATGTCTTAGACTGTGTATTTAATCACTGTCCTTTTTCTCACTTTCTTTTTCAAACAGACCTCGTTTGTAATACCTGAGGATGATGGTTATACAGTCTACAGCTCCAACCAGTGGGCTCAGTTGGGACAATTTGCTGTTGCTGGCATACTTGGAATACCGAATAACAAGTACCTAATAATAATGAATAATAATGAATAATAATAATAATGAATAGTAATAATAATAATAATAATAGTCATTAATTTATTTGTAAATTTTTTAGAGTTTCAGTTATCATTAAAAGAGTTGGTGGTGCATATGGAGGGAAAATCAGTCGTGCTTCTCATACAGCAGCTGCTTGTGCATTGGGAGCATATGTCACTCAAAGGTAATTGTACATGTACATGTAATTAAGACGTACATGTACATGTACATGTTTCTATTATAGGCCTGTGAGGTTACACTTGGATCTTGAGACTAACATGAAAATGGTTGGAAAGAGGTTCCCTTACTATGCCAAGTACACAGTAAGAACAACTGTAGTCTAATCTTTCCAGAGTGTGAGTAATTTTGTTTTAGGTTGGTTGCAATAAGGATGGAACACTGAATGGGGTTAAGGTTGACATTTACAATAATTCTGGCTGCAGCAGCAATGATAGCTCAGCGATAACAGGGTTGATATTCCACAGCATTGATAACAGTATATTTTCTTACACATGCGACACACTTTTTATTAACATTTATTTCTGTTAGCCTACAAGTGTAAGAATTGGTCACTGAGTATGACTGCATGTAAAACAAACATTGCCAGCAACACAGCTGCAAGAGCACCAGGTACCACTTTACTTATTTATATTTCTATTAAATGCATACGTATGCAATAGGATATCTTCCTGCTATATTCATCATGGAGTCTCTCATGGATGACGTTGCTCGTAATATTGGCATGGATGTGGAGCAGTTCAAGCAAGCCAACCTATACAAGAAGGGAGATGTGTCATACCTTGTGAGTTCACACTAATAATAATGATGATGATCATAGAGTTACATGTATTTGTGTGTGTGTGTGTTTATTTGTACAGTCATATCCACCCAAAGGTCAAGTACTACCGTATTGTAACATTGGTGAGCTCTGGCAACGTAAGTATCATAATATTAAAAATAATTTATGAGTATAATAATTATTATTATTAATTGTAGAAATAAGCACTTCTGCTGATGTTCAGAATAGAAAGAGTCAAATATCAGACTACAACAAAGTAATATGTTAATTGAATGTACACAAATTTATTTTTAAAAGGAAAATTTTTGTACAATTTTATCTCGTTTTACTGTCATAATTATTATGACTATTGTTATATGTAATACCACATAGGCTAACAGATGGAGGAAAAGAGGATTATCCATGGTCCCATTGAGATATGGTATAAATTGGAATGGAGCTAACTATACCATAATGGTTAGTGTATACACTGGAGATGGATCAGTCTCTGTAGTGCATGGAGGAGTTGAGATAGGACAAGGAGTCAACACAAAGGTAGTATTATTAGTACACCACTAGTACTCATTTCTCTCTCTCTCTCTCTCGCTCTCTCTCCCCCTCTCTCTCTCTTTCTCTCTCTCTCTTTCAAGGTTGCACAGGTCACTGCCAGTACTCTTGGTGTTCCATTGAGTTCAGTTACTGTTGTACCTACTAATTCATTCACTAATCCTAATGGGATCACCACTGGAGGGAGCATAGCTAGTGAACTCAATTGCTTAGTAAGAGTATTAGGCTAACTATTAGCATTTGTTGTCAATACATGTTCTTATGTTTGAGCTGAAATTTCATTTTTTAATTTTTTACATTTCAGGGTGCCCTGAATGCTTGTAAGTCCCTTAAGGCAAGACTTGACAAAGTAAAGGAGGGACTGAAAGCTACTGGTGCATCAGACCCTACCTGGCTTCAAATAGTACAGAAAGCTTTTTCTAGTGGCGTTGACCTTTCAGAGAAATATTAGTAAGACAAGAAGGTCATGATTATGATGTGATGGTAATTGAACTATTATGTATAGTGTGTATGGTACCAATGACTATTTTAATGCTTATAATCCTTATGGAGTCACTGTATCTGAAGTTGAGGTCGACGTACTAACTGGAGAGACTGAAATATTGAGAGTTGACATTTTGTATGACTGTGGACAAAGGTACTACATTGTTTGTACGAATTATTATTCAAGCTCATGGATGACATTGTCTGTCCTTACTCTGCTTTCTCTAGTATTAATCCAGAGATTGATATTGGACAAGTTGAGGGTGCCTTTGTCATGGGGCTAGGCTATTTCTTAACGGAGAGAGTTGTTTTTGATACTGATACTGGAGTATTGCTGACACACAACACATGGGTATGGTACTAATAAAAATTAGGTTGATTTCTTCTCTATTATTATTTCAGGAATACAAGCCACCTACTACTAAAGACATTCCAATTGATTTTAGGATTGAACTGCTTAAGGATGCACCTAATCCTCTTGGAATACTTGGTTCTAAAGGTAATGCAGTCATAAGTTCCGTAAACAACCGTTACTTTATGATTAAATTGCAGCTGTTGGTGAGCCGCCATTGTGTATGAGTAGTTCAGTGCTGTATGCTATGAAGAGAGCCATTGAGAGTGCTAGGCATGATGCTGGTAATGATACACCATTTACACTATGTAAGTCAGAGAGCTTTAAGTGGTTCTTGTTATTCTTGTTGTTATTGCAGCTGCTCCAGCTACTGTTGAAGACACTCAGCAAGCCTGTCTTGTTGATCCTACCAAATTTGCTTTTTAACATTATTTTATTTCCACTTGTGCTATTTATGCTGTACTTTTAAAAGTCATTTTTGTGCTTGTTTTAATGTAGAATGAACTCCAGATTAATAATAGCTAAGCAAGAGAGCATCCTATGCTAATGATTGATCTGCTCTGTTGCCTAGCAACTTATTGTATGCATAATTAATAGATACACGTGTCATCATGGCAGCTCCAGATAATCGTAAGGGCATGATCCTTCTAAGAGTTTTAATGCTATCCCCCGGCCTTCTCTGTAGGGATTATACTCGAGCAGTTAGCAAGCCATCTTCCAGACTTGATAGTTCATCGTTCCTCTTTCCCTGCAGTCCCTGAAACCGTTAATAAATATGGCGTACTGCTCTTTGGGGATATCTCTGGTATTACAGGGACTTTATTGCTTTTATTCTACATTTTGTACCTTTTTAGGCTTTACTGCTCTTTGTGAAAGATACTGCAGCAGCTCAGATTCCAAGAAGAAAGGAGCTGATCAGCTTACATCAACACTAAATTTATACCTCAGTAAAATTGTGCAAGGTATTATTATATCTATAGCTAAAATTTTTATCATGCAAATAATATCATAGAGATATTAGATGATGGTGGTGACATACTAAAGTTTGCAGGTATGGCACATCTTGCATGCACCACAGAGCATGATCATGTTCAATCAATTGTTTCCACTTGCATTTTTTCTCTTTCTCTACGGTAGGTGATGCACTATTAGTCCATTGGCCCTGCAGCCGACCAGCAGCAGACCAGGTCATTCAGTACCTGATAAAGAAGAGTCTTATAATGCAAAAGAAATTTGACAATTTTCAAACTCCAGACGACATAGCCCTCAGATTTAAGATAGCTCTTAGCATTGGGAAGACCCACATTCACTTTATTGGCAACCAGGACTATAGGACATTTGATATCACTGGACCAGCAGTTGATGAAGTGACTGTTGCTCAGTCTGTAGCTAAACCAGGGACAGTTGTAGTAACAAGAGTAGCATGGGAGATGTGTAACCAGAAGCTATACACAGCTGAAGTCATGGAGCATGGATTTATGCTGGTATGTATATGCACAATGAATGAACCTGGTAGCTATAAAATTATGCAGGACTCTTTCACTTATCAATCGTTAATGTCCGTTATAAGTACAATGTATTCACTTACTGTAGCTGTTATTGTCATTCTATGATAATGTGCAGGTATCTGATGCTAAGGATGGCTGTGCGTTGCCAACTCATCAGTTCAAGGAATTGATCAATAGACCAGTGACAACCACTGACAACGACATGATGGGAACTGAGAGTAAAGCTGATTCAAGGAAGGAATCCTCTAGACTAACTAGTAATGAGAAAAGCAGGAATAAAGCACTGACAATCTAATTTTTTTTTAGTGAGAAAAGAAACTAAAGCTTTCCTGCATAAGCTATCAACTGAGGCTCAGGATTGTTTAAGAACATATATCCTCAAGACAGTAAAATATAAGGCTAGTTACACATACATGTATTTGCATTGTTATTACATTTTTAGGTTGATCATGGATATGATGTATCCTGGCTCTCAGAGCTAAGACAAGTCTCAGTATTATTTATTAATCTTGATCCTGACTTTGCACTCCCCTCTGACATACTCTCCCGTCAAACTAAAGAGCAGACTCTGTTACAGACTGCATTTGACTGCATATACCCCAATTTAATAAAATATGATGGTAAGTGAGTGTGTGTGTGTGTGTGTTTTTGATAATGTTTGTTGTAGGTACTTTGAACAAGATATTCATGTTTGACAAGGTACAGTATGCAATGCACACACACACATGCAATCTTATATTTACACGTAATTTAGTTGTAATTATTATACGTATTAATAATGTACATGTATTAGAAAATCTGATAAAATTTAATAAATTCCCTAGTCATGATTAATTTTTGTTATTTCTCATTATAGTCATGCATTGTATGCATAACAATTCTATTTTAACTCAATGAGTTTTTTGATTCTGTTTATATTATTAATCTTTCCCAAATTCTTTAACGTACAACAATCTTTGCTAAAATAACTTGTATGCATATACATGTATGTCATTCTTTGTATATACATGTAGGGATGTACTTTTCTGTGTATTTTTGGTCTTCCATATGCAAGTCATGAAGACAACCCAGAGAGAGCAATAAAGGCAGCTCAGGCCATATTCAATGCACTGGATGACATGAGGCTAAGGTACAGTGTCTGTGTACATTAATGAGCAATGGTCTATCGTGAGGTACATTTCCAGTCATTATTCTATTGGTGTTACAACTGGTGTAGCCTTTTGTGGCGTAGTGGGACATCCAGAGAGACATGAATACACTGGTATGCTCACAATCCTTATCATTTTCTACTACATGTACATGCATGTACATGTACATATACCGTAGATCGGGAAATTTTCGTTGTTAAAATATTTTTGCGGATGAAGTGACCCGTGAAAATTTGACACACGAAATATTTTCTACAGTGAATAATAAGATTACCGGAATTATTCTAACGTGCAGCGGTGCACCCACAAGGCTCTTCTAGTCTTCTAAAAGCCCAAAGAAGGCCTGAAGCTCTCAGTTTTAGTACTGTCATGAGCAACTTCCATTGAATAGCTGTCCATTGTCATCAAGAGTTAGTAGCCACTTGTGTGGTTTATGACGCGTCCAAAAATTTTCATGTTGAAAAAATTTCGTGGATGGGTCAACCAGCAAAAATAAAACACCTTGAAAAAATTTCATGCCAATTATTTTTAACATGAAAATTTCCCAATCTACGGTAATACAGTATCTGTAAATACATTTACATGTGTATTACTATTAATTACTAGTGATCGGTGACAAGGTCAATATGGCTGCTCGATTAATGACAAAGTTTCCTGATGGTCTCACGTGTGATGATACCACCCGATTGAAATCAAACCTCCCACCAGAAACCTTTGTTCTGGCGCCTCCTGTTAAGTTGAAAGGGATACCAACTCCCGAGGATATTTTTTTTGTATCTACCAATGAAAAGTAAAAATGGAGCAATTTTTGTGCATGAGCGTGTCCAAGTAATTGGTCCTTTTTCTTATAGTGAGGATGAAATGAAAGAGGAAAAAAGTGAGATATTTGAGTCAAATGATTATGAAAGCCTAGTTGGTAAGTACCTGTAATTCAATTGTTCATGTAGCTGAAAACTTTCTTACTTATGCCCTACATACATGTATATACATGTACATGTACATGTAGTATGTACATGTACATGTACTTACATGTATATTTTTTGTTTACTGTACATGTACATGTACAGGTCGTAAAAAAGAAATGGAAAGATTTGTTATTGAGCTGCAACACATGACAGAGCAGACCAAAAGGAAGAGAGGAGCCATTATAATATCAGGCTCTGGAGGAATAGGAAAGACTAAACTATTGAGAGCCATGAAAGCAAAGGCCTCTAGCATGGGATTCAGGTAAAATGAAAAAAAAATGAAATTAAGGCATTTTTGTTATACATATACATGTACATGTACTGTACATGTTCTTATGTTGATTAGAAGTTTAAGTTAATTTTTTACAAATTTTTAAAGCTGCAAAAAAATTTGACCAAAGACCCTGTGTACATGTGCAGTATAACCTTTATTGCTAATTGAACTTTGTGCAATTTTGTAACTGCATGTACTTGTACATTTACATGTATAATTCTGCTGTTAGAGTTATTTCTGGTATGGGAGGACTGATAGAACAGAATGTTCCCTTTCATACGGTTAAGACATTACTGACAAGACTATTAGGACTGGACACTTTTGGAAGCATACACGACAAAGAGCAACTGATACTCCAGCATATCACTGATGAGAAAATGAGGAAACATCTACCACTACTCAATGATTTACTAGTTTTAAAGGTGTTGTTACTATTGTTGTTATTATTATTATTATTGTTGTTGTTATTGTTATTATTATTATCGTTTAGTTTCCTCAAAACTCATTGACACTAAACATGAGCAACAAGGAGAGACGGACAAACTTGCACAAACTTCTCTTTAGCATTGTGCATAAAGTAAGTTCCATGTTTTACTGATTTGTACAATGATAGATTAATTGCTTTGTCTCTCTCAGGAAGCTTTGTCCCATCCATTTATATTTGGCATTGACGATGCTCATTGCATTGATCAAGAGTCTTGGGCCTTCATCTTAGACTTGGCACTTGATTCAAATGCAATCCTCCTCATAGCCTCAAGAGCAATCCCAGAAAGGGACCGTACCCCAGTGATGGCAAAGATATTCAGCCACCCGACCACCATTAGGTTTCGACTGGAGGGTCTCTCGTTCGAGGAGACCTCGGACTTCATTTGCCAGTTACAGAACGTCCAAGAAGTTGACAAGAACCTCTTGAATGTCATATACACGCGTAGTCACGGGAGCCCACTCTGGTGTACGGAACTAGTAGACAGCATGTCCTCTAATAACGTACTCAAGATTGTAGAGTACAACAAGGTCATCGAAGAGAAGCTCGGCTATGCTCGAGTGACTGTTGGGATCAATGAAACAAGGACGAGTGTCGTGAGGTCTTTCAAGCAAAAGAAATGCGTCATTAACGAGATGGTTGGGATTGATAATATCCCAGTACCAGAGTCAATGGCTGGCATTGTTCTCACTCGCATTGATAACATGTCACCTTCTGAGCAAATGGTACTCAAGTGTGCGGCTATACTTGGCAACACTTTTCACCGTAAGATGCTCGAGGCCATACTACCAAGCAGTAACCTGGAGTCTTTCAATGAGTCGTTGAACTCACTGGCTGAGGTTGGAATAATAGACTGTCTCATCTCCATTCATGTTGATCATTATGGGACCAGAGCTAAAGAATACCTCTCAGGACTTGATATCGACTTGAACCAGTTGGGGTGCTCTTGTCTCGACTTGAGACGAGATTCAACGAAGAAACAATCGCAAGGGAACCACTCGCTTGAGTCATGCCAGCTCCTCCAGTTTGTTCATTCTTATATTCAAGAGACTGCACTGTCTCTGTGGACTGAGAGCCAACTGAAGTCACTTCACGAGACGGCTGCTCTTTATTTAGAGTCAGAGGCTCACAAGTGCAGTAACTGTGGGGGAGGTAGCTTCATGTTCACAGCTAGAGCCTCGAGGAGAAGGAGGAATAGGAAAGGTTATGATAATGGGCTGGAGATTAGCAATAGGAGACGGAGGAGAGGGTTCTCGATGGAAAGGAGAATGAGTCAAATGATGAGAGACATTACTAAAAGGAATCGTAGATCGACTGTGAGTCCATTAATACATAGACCATCCATTGCAACTGAAGACGCCTCTCAAAGACCATCCATTCAACCATCCATTCCACCATCCTTTATAGAAGAAGACATTGACGAACTGGCTGAGGAGCTGATGAATCCAACCGGCAATCCAAGGAGAGGGTCACTTGCACTCCCAGACTTAGAGTCTTACATTGAGCAGCCTCGTAGGATATCCATTCTGTCTGTAAATAATGAAATAATTCACATTGAGAATGAGTCTACTCAGAAACCAATGGTCGGTGCCCTACTAGAGGAGGACGAATTGAGTGAAGTACATGCTCATCATAGTGAGGACGAGGTGGTTAAAGAGCCTGAAGTTGCTAATTTTCAGAATTGTCATTGCGATGAAGTGTTGGCTGATGTATACCCTCAGCTAGTCTATCACTGGAGACTAGCAGGAAACCAACCAAAAACTGTTCACTATCTCATTGAGGCTGCAATTGCTTCACTGGTCACTTTCAATAATATGGAAGCAATCTCTTTCCTGGAAGAGGCAGAGCAGATTCTTTGTGATGGAGGGATTTGTGAGGAAGACTTTGGTCAGTTGCAAAGGGCCAAGCTTCAGTCACTCTTAGGACAAGTGAGCAAATATTCATTTTATGATCAGAAGCACACCACGAGTTGTGTATTGTAACTATGTATTTGCAATTGGTTGCTGTACATGTGTGATTGAGAATAACACTGTATTACAATGTGCATTATTTTAACATAGGCTTACTTTCAGTCTGGTCAGATCAATGAGTGTCTGGCCTATATTCAGAAAGCACTCTCAATACTGAATGCTCAGCTACCCACAAACAAGATAGGAGTTTTAGTGAGTTTCCTAGGGCAGACATCAAGGCAATACTTTCACATCAAGCATCCCCAAAGATACATACAAACAAAGCAGTAAGCATTGCACTACATGTACATGTATATCAGCACTCTTGATGTATATGTACATGTATGTTACGTATGCATGAACATGTGCTTAAATTCCTCTCTTTATAGTGACCAGGAGTCTGACATGTACCTGGAGAAGTCTCGCTGTATGGCTCAGATGGTTCATGTTTATCATCTCCAGCACAAACCTCTCAATGCTTTTGTTGCTGCACTCTCTCAGCTGAACACTGCAGAGGAGGCTCAGGAAGACATACATGAGGTTCTTGAGCTATACATGTACATGTACAATGTACATGTACATGTACATGTAGCTTTCAAATTTTTATTAGATTTTTTGATGTGTTTCTTTTGTTAGCTTCTAGCATCATATGCTGCTGTCATTGAATGCTGTCAGAAATTCAATTTCAAGAGGTTGGGGAACATTTATGTTAAGAAATCTCTCTTTTTGTAAGTCTTTGAACTCTTAGCCTTACATGTACACATGTACATGTAATCCTGTAGATGTTTCTGCACTGATTTTGGTATAGATGACTTATCCACGTGTGCACATGTACTCAATGTTGCCCTCAATATGAAGCTATGCCAGGGAAACCTCATTGAAGCTATGGATATTGGTTAGTGCATTTAAACTTACTACAAGAGAGTTAAAGTTTTGGCAGTACATGTGTTGTGTATATCCTTTTATTTTCTATTTTATGCTATTTTTATTATTAATTTTATTAGGAAATTTGGCGGTAAGATTGACTAGTAGGATTCATCTTGATTCTCTGAAGCTGGTGACACTTCCTTTGCTCTTTTATGCCAATTTACTTTCATTAAAGTACGATACAATACATGTACATGTACACTATATCTCTGTAAACCTGGAAATGATTTCCATTGTGCAATTTTTTAGAAAAGAGGATAGTCACGAGAATTTAAAAAGTATTAAAGAAATTTCTGGAAGGTCAAAAGATCTTAGAACAAAAGCGCTTCATGACTGTTGCGAGTTTGATGCATTGTTGGAATTAGGTAAGTTATGCATATACATGTACATGTACATGTACATCTCAATTCTAAAATTATCTTAATACGTAGGATTGTATGTTGACCAGCAAGATAAAATTGCAAAGGATGCACAAACGTTTTATTGTTCTGGGGAAATGTATCATTTTGATGATGCTGAGAGATTCTTTCTAACATCATGTATTGCATTATGGTAAGAATTGGGACATTACAATGTACATGTATATACATGTACATGTACATTGTACATGTACATGTACATTGTACATGTACTTCTCTTTCATACAGTATTAGTGTAATATGAGATGATGGAGAAAGGAAAGAGGTAAAGGGTGGATAATTTCCACCTCCATCCTCTGAATCAGCCAGCATTGCCTGATATTAATGCAATACATGTACATGTACATGTGTATTACGATTCATTGACCGAGTTTTTAGATGGCCATAACTTGAAAAATTGAAGTCGGAATCGGCTCAAAAAAACTTTCTACACAGCATAAGGACATCAATATGTATCAGAAAATGTAATAAAAATTGGAAGTGATTTTGGAGCCATTTTTTGAAAAAAACCATAGGCTATAACAGGGTATTTTTCAAATTTTGGCCCATTTTTCAAATGAGCATAACTTGAAAAATTGAAGTCGGAATCAACTCAAACTTTCTATGTAGCATAAGTACATCAATATGTATCAGAAAATGTAATAAAAATTAGGGGTGATTTTGGAGCCATTTTTTGAAAAAAACCATGGGCTATAGTACAGGGTATTTTTCAGATTTTGGCCCATTTTTTTAGATGACCATAACTCGAAAATTTGAAGTCGGAATTGGCTCAAACTTTCTACACAGCATAAGGACATCAATATGTATCAGAAAATGTAATAAGAATTGAAGGTGATTTCGGAGCCATTTTTTGAAAAAAAAACCATGGGCTATATAGTACAGGGTATTTTTCAGATTTTGGCCCATTTTTTTAGATGACCATAATTCGAAAAATTGAAGTCGGAATCGGCTCAAACTTTCTATGTAGCATAAGTACATCAATATGTATCAGAAAATATAATAAAAATTGGGGATGATTTCGGAGCCATTTTTTGAAAAAAACCATGGGCTATAATAGTACAGGGTATTTTTCAGATTTTGGCCCATTTTTTCAGATGACCATAACTTGAAAAATTGAAGTCAGAATCGGCTCAAACTTTCTACACACCATAAGGACATCAATATGTATCAGAAAATGTAATAAAAATTGGAGGTGATTTCGGAGCCATTTTTTGGAAAAAACCATGGGCTATAGTACAGGGAATTTTTCAGATTTTGGCCCATTTTTTCAAAAATAATGACCATAACTCCAAAAAATTGAATTGGCTCAAATAATAATAAAACTTGGCAGTAGACAGCATATAATAATAATTATTATTTAAAACTTACTGCATGTACATGTACATGTAACTAACATCAATAGATCCTCAAATTATAATAAATACATTATCATTGATATCTGTAATAATTAGGCATAGCAGAGGAAGCAGTGCTTATGCAACTAGGTTTACAGAAGATGCAAGATGTAAGTCTCTTTGCATTTAATTAGTTATTTTATGTAATAGTTTGTAGCACTGCATCTGACCGAGTTTCGAACGTTCTTTAGCGTCCAAGCTCTTACAAAATACATTGAGTGCATCCTGGAACAATATCTAATGGAACAGGATAACAGACAGTTTAAGCAAGAGTCTGAAAAGGTTTGAATTATCTTGTTAACAACAGCATGATAACTTTCACCTGTCTCCAGGATTTAAAGAAACTTAAATCACTTCTGGGACGATTTCCAGTTTTTAAACCACGATACCTACTCCTTGAAGCAACTTATTACTATGCCAGAAGAAAGAAAGGGAAATGTTATTCGAGTCTTAAGAAAGCTCTCTCTTTAGGAGAGACTTTTGACTGTTATATAGATATTCAAAGAGCAAATACTTGCATGGAGAAATGGTTTTCATCTGTCTGAATAATAATAATTATTAATTCAATGTAAATTTTGCATAGAAAAAATAATTTTGTTCGACGACCCCATTATTTTTATTAGCTAACCACTCGCGTGGGAGGGTACAGCAACCCCACACACAAACAGTGAGGAACTGCTTTGCTGACAGACTATCCTACACAGTAGCGCCTCTCTAGAAAGGAACAGAAGCAGAGTGGCTGCAGTACTTTTGAACATTCTTACGGCTTGTATCTCCTCGTTAGCGCCTCTCAGTCAGATGTTACTAGCACATTGTTAACTTGTAAAAAGAAGGCACCACAGGCTATGAAAGAACAGCAGGAGCAGAAAGGCTCGCTGTACAGAGTCAGACCGAGAAGTAGACGGAGATGGCTAGAGCAGACACCCACCCTCTTCTCAACTCTTCTCTTCCTCTTCTTTTTACTCTCCTCTCCCTCTCTTGCTCAGGACACGAGCTCTGATTTAGTTGAGTATGATTGTGTATATACCAACAGTACAGTCCCCTCTTGTTCATCAGTCTGCTCCCAGACTTGCTTCTACTCGCTGCTACCAGCCACTTGTAGCCCAGAGGGCAATGTAAGTCTTAACATTAACAACAGATACACTTACATTTAGTGTATCTACCATACTGCATTAAATTCCATTCATTCTTACTGTACTAATGTTGACAAACAATTTGTATTTTACTGGCACATTAATATCATTTGCGTAGCTCCCTTTGTCACATCTCTCATTCCTCCCACCACCTCCACAAGGAGGAGGAGGGAGTCATCTACCCCTCCATGCATTGTTTTGGTATGTGCAGTAACATGAGGAGATTGACAGTTATCAATCTTGTCATTCTGTACTGGATATGGAGTGTGGTAGCGTGTTACATGTAGGGCGGGCCCAATAACTCTCAGCATTTTTGTTAAGTGTAGTTTACTTATAATATACATGCATGTTCTCAAAATCATTTTACTTGCTGCAATTATATATCCTATATCATCATTAGCATTCATATTGTGGTTTTGTAAGAAATGCAAGTGATTACTCTCACCATTGTGATTACTCTCACCATTGTGATTACTTGTTATCTTTTGTAGGATTTAGTTTACGAGAGCATCAGCAGACCAGACAGTACTGGCCCATCTGTCATGTTCGATGATGCATATAATGTACCTCAATCAGTGCTGGAGAGTTTATCGCCATCCAACTTATTCTTAAACCCATTCACACTCTCAATGTGGGTATACCCCATGGGAGAAATAGCTGACAAGTAAGCACCCCAGTAATAACTGATACTATTATAATTATTATTTATATAATGTCTGTGGTTATATGGTACTCAGATTATGCATTCTAATCGCATTATGTCATAAATGTAATTAATATCCAGTCACAAGTATTAAATGCATCGCTGAGTGTATTTTATTCTGACAATTAAAGGCTTCAATTAATAAGCAATAATAATATTTTACAATGATAAAGGAAAGGGCAAATTGCCAATTGAAAATCATAATTCTTGTGCAACGTAACCCAAAAATGTCAAAATGAAAACGAAATTACAATGAAAGTAGACTATACATAGATATTTTAATGATGGCATAATTGCTAATAGTTATACTCGTAAGTCAATAATCTGTTATTGGAAGCAGCTCAAACTTCCTACATTATAAGCATATCATTATGTGTAGATATACATGCACAGCATCTGTAATAAGAAATGAATAGCCCCAAAGATGCCATTTCTAATAGAAATGCAATCAAGAAGTTTGGGCTGATTCCAATAACAAAATATTGAGCTAGAAGCATCTAAAAAATAAGCAAAATTACACCAAATGACCATTTTGACATTGGATACCACAAGTATGTAAAGTATTAGATGTTACAATAGTTATTTGATTGCGTATATTATTGTCAGTATGCAGTGCTGTACATCTTAGTTCAGCATCAAGTGTGTACTGTATTGTAGCATGGAATTCAGTAGGAGGATCAACTCTTGTTCCTCTAAAGCTAGAGGCAATTTAATTTGTCTATTAGATAATAATTCTAATTACGATGATAATATAGCCATTACCCTGTTTGATAAGACTGTACAATTATGTACATGCATTAGCATTTTTACTTACATATCGAAATTTCCCTCCCCTGTAGCTCAAGTGTTCTAATCCAAATTGAGTCTATGGATGTAGAGCTGACTTTATACGTTGATTCAAGATGGCTACTAATCACCAACAGTTCCTCTATTTCAACAATGAACTCTTACAATACCACACACAGACTCAACCTTCACCAATGGACTCATCTTACAGTAATTGCTAGTGAGCAAGATGAGCTACTCATTGCTGTTAATAACTTGTTATTGAACACTTCTTTGACTATTGATCCAAACAGTGATGAGCCCATTAGCATATCCCTTGCTGGGGATGTAAGTGGTGACTATCATTTTCCTGGCTTGATGTCTGATGTTGGCGTGTTCTCTAATTCCCTCTCGGCTTCTCAAGTCTCAATTCTTGCCGGTGGTTTTACTCCTCCCGAGTTTCTTCCTCAGTGTCTCTGTAGGGAAGGATTAGAGTCTGAGCTTTGTGATGGCTCTTTGAGGTAAGAAAGAGAGAGGGGGAGTGAGTAAAAAGGAGAGAGGGGGAGAGTGAAAAAAAGAGAGGGGGGAGAGTGAAAAAGAGAGAGGGGGAGTGAGTGAAAAAGAGAGAGGGGGAGAGTGAAAGAGAGAGAGAGGGGGGGAGAGTGGGGAGAGTGAAAGAGAGAGAGAGAGGGGGGGAGAGTGGGGAGAGTGAAAGAGAGAGAGCAGGAGTGCATGTTTCTGTTTATCTATGCACAGTTAAATGTTATGATTGTTTGTTATTATTCTGTTTTTGTGTTTCATTGTGTGATGTATTATATTTGTGTTGTGGCATTTTATTTGTGTTCATACTAATAATCTGCTCCACTGAGTTGGGCATGTACATGTACATGTACATGTATATGCGCCTGCAACTCCTTCCTGTGTGCTCTGCATGTACTTTTAATCTTTCTCCTTTAATATCTTTGTTGTTCAACCCAGCTGGCTTATTGATTCCCCTGTTTAATCTTCCATTAAGTTCATAATTGTTTGTTAGTTTAATCATTCTCTAGCTCATTTTGCATACGTTGTTTTTGTTGTTTTTGCTATTATTCGTTTCAGGTGTTTACACTAAACCAGCAGCTGCATTTTCATAACATTTATCATTAGTTTATAGAAGTATCCACTTTGGTATCCTTTTCATTTTGGTTCAGATAGTTGATGCGTTTTCATGTACTAGTCTAAACAGGAATCAAAAAGTCTCTGTTTACATGCGAAATGGATTAGTATAAACGGGGCCTTAATGTCTATTATTTTGATTATAGTGCAGTATGGTGCATGCATGTACATGTACATTGCATGTGTGTAATTGTGTATGTGCTGATCATTGTCTATCTCTTATCAATGGAAATGCATAGTTAAAATAATTAGGTTGTGTGCAAACATTGCTATTGCTGGTTTTCATCTTGTTGTGCATGTACATGTACAATGTACTAGTTATCATACTACATTCAATTCAGTGTTCTAAGTACATGATAGCAAGAGCAAAACCAGTTTAAGTATGCACTTTATACTGTCAACTACATGACTTTATTTTTTTACTCTTTGTTTTGCTACATTAATTTGATTAGGCGGTTAATCTGTTTATTTTAGTATTTTGTAAGATGCTATTACACGTAGTTGGTATGAAATTACAGCTTTTGCGTATGAAGTATGCCTGTACTCTATAGTAGTCTATGCTATAGTAGTTTATGCATGTACATATGCATGCGCATGATAAATCATAGTATTTTGTTGTGTCTAATGCAATGAAGTATATACTGTACAAATGATGTATATACATGTATTATGAGAGATATATTATTAGTATGGTCAGTATTATTATTAGTGTATGATTAGTATACTATTAGTGTATGATTAGTATACTATTAGTGTGCATCAATATATGGTGTATAATTGTGACCTTAAGCTGCTATACTCTGGAATGTGTGTAGTCATTATTTGGATGACAGATTATTAGTGTCACTGAGTCAGTGTGTACGTATGTACTAGTTTGTGTATATGTACATGTACATGTAATTGAAACTACCCACAAACATCATCAGGATTACTATGATTTCACATATCACTTTCATACGCTACATTTTCAGGAGCACGTGTTATTTAAAATATCCTTCTATTGCCTTGTATAGGTACCGTATTAATTCGCATCCTGTTGAATTCATTACCGATAATAATGTCTCTACTTATTGGGAGTCCAGTAATTCATCAGTCACTGTCTCTCTTGGGCTAGCAACAGTCACGAGTCTCTCTAAGATTTTTCTTGATTTTAGAGACTTTTCTCCAGCTGCTCTTCGCCTCCAGTACCTCATGGAGCCCACTAAAGTGTGGAATGATATTCAGTTTTATGCAAGGGACTGTAGTACCAGTTTTGGACAAGAAGAAAGTAACAGGTATTAAAAAACATTACAAGACAAAACAAATATTTGAAGGTTTTTTCCAAGAATGAGTAAATTTATGAAAAAAATGTCTTGAATGTTGTAACTTTCTTGTGAAGATTATAATAATACCCATAACACAAATTAAATTCCATTATTACGGTTACAACAGCTCAACAAATTGCTATGTGCATGCTTGAGTGTGTGTGTGCATTTGCTAGCAATGCAAATAGTCATTTTCCATTTTTGTATGTGATACAATAAGACAGGGATTCACATGATCCTGATATGGGATGAACAATGTTATTCTTCACACATCTAATTGTATTCAATTGTTGTGAATTTGATTACTAGCGATAATAAATTTTGTTTTTCTTATTATTTTTTGTTATAACTAATTATCATTGACAGTGAATAAACTTGTATAATTATTATAATTAATGACTGTGTTTATAAACCAAGTATTATTATTGCGTGAGGTATTTGTTATTTTTTTTATCTTGTAGTGTTAACAGCATCAGTTCAGTGATCTGTCAGGCAATATCATCCAATGATACAAGTCTAGCGTTTTATGTGAGTCAATTACATGTACATGTATGATTATTTCAATTAATAATTGTTGTGCTAAAAAAATTTATATTCTTAAGAAGTAATTTTTTAGCATGATAATGGTTCAAATTTATACACATGAGCCAAACAAAATTGTAATTCTTTACTATACTCACAAATCTTTGTCCTGAAATGTGTTAGCTGGTATAATCTCAGCTGTCGTGGAGTATTTTGTTTTGACAATTTAATCTAATATTCCACAGTGTGTCACAATTTTAATGAGTAGCAGTTATTTCATGTACACTTACATATCATAACACTATTTGCTATATATGGCTGTGAAATTATGTACAAAAAATCATTTACATCTTCTGATACATATTGTATCAGTATGACTTTCCACTATGTGAGAGGTTTGACCCACTCAAAAGTCTTGATATTTGAAACCATTACAGAAATTGAAAATCCTTTCCTACCTATTTTTAAAAATTCAATAATATTTATATCTTTTAATTATTATTTTGTATTGTATGTATAATAAATATTTTCACGTGGTTTCATATATCATTGTAATCCTAAAGGTAACTGCTAATGGACGTGACAATTTTTCAGCCGAGAGTTTAAGTTCCACTTTTAATGCATCACAAATTCGCCTAGTCATTCAAAGTACCTCAATGGAGATGATACGTTTGGAAAGAGTACAAGTTTGTAGCAACTTTGAAACAAATCTGAATACATTACCTTCTTGTATGGCTCTCATTAGCAGTAGTTCCTCTTATTCATTCGATGCAACTAGATCTAGCAGTGATGTCTTGTTTACCATGGAATCTGTTGATTCAGCAACTGAAACACTTGCACTTGATTCTTCGATGATCATTTCGTCTGTTCGCTCGTCTTCATTTTTAAACCTCGTCTCATCCAGTGAGTCTCTTGTTATAAGCACATCTGGAGCTGAATCAATATTCCCTTCATCAACACAATCAGTTATGAACATTGAAGATATAAGCTCTTCCCCGTTTGCCTTAACCACATCAAATGTAGTGCTCACACAGTCTTCTTCACTAGAGCAAGCTGCTATATCTTCTAGCGACTTATTAATGTCAGAGTCTAACGTTATGATCACTTCATCTGAGACTTTTGTATTTTTATCTTCTGTTGATGTTGCTCCTTCTAGTCAGTCATCAACGAGTTCTCTGGTTTTGGAATCGACTCAAGAGTTAGTCTCTCAGTCTCCTTCTGTGGAGGCTGCTACTACTCCTTCTCTTTTTTTTTCTACTGAGTTAACTGCTTCTTTGTCTCTTTCAGGGTCTATAATGATTCCATCTCCATCTCCTTCAGAAGATGTAGCAATAGAATCTTCTCTAAGTCTTGCTTCCTCAATAGTTTTAATGACATCATCTATTGAGACAGGAGTGGCTTCAGACATCCTGTCTGTTTCTGACATGCTGTCTTTTAACTTTACATCTGCAATAGTCTCATCAGAACTTCTTTTATCCTCTAGTGATGATTTGATAGTGTCTCCATCTCCTTCAAGGGTCATTACAACAAGTGAAGTGGTACTAACATCTTCAGATGTTTCTTTATCTTCTTCAGATAATGACATGAACTTCGTCTCAGTTTTTATTAGTTTTTTAGCTTCTTCTACAGAAGTTTCTTCATCTGTTTTTGACATAACATCTTCTTCTGTAGTTCCTTCTTCGTTCGTAACTCTGACACAATTTCCCAGTTCATCTTCAACTCTAGAAATGACATCATTTTTGGACACTGAAGGATTTGGTATGGCAACAATTTCAGAGCAAACCTCAACACTGCAGCTACCAACCATTGAAGCAACCTCAAGTGGAGAAATACCATCATCAACCATTGAGGTATCTTCAACTGAAGATATAGAACTATCGCCATCATTAAGCATTGAAGCAACATCATCGTCTAATGAAGGAATAGAACTAACACCATCTTTAACCATTCAGCTAACAAGCATTGAAGCAACATCAAGTGAAGGCATTGAAGAAACTCCATCCTTAAGCATTGAAGCATCTTCAATAGAGTTGACGTCATCTTTGAGCATTGAAGCAACCTCAAGTGAAGGCATTGAAGAAACTCCATCCTTAAGCATTGAAGCATTTTCAATAGAGTTGACGTCATCTTTGAGCATTGAAGCAACCTCAAGTGAAGGCATTGAACTAACAATTGAGGTATCCTCAACACAAGAGATAGAATTCACATCGTCTTTTGACATTGTAGCAACCTCATCTGAAAGTATAAAACTAACACAATCTTTAAGCATTGAAGCAACCTCAACTGAAAACCTAGCCTCACCTTCAATTTTTGAAGTTTCTTCATCAGAGGAAATAGAAGCTACACTATCTTTTACTATTGAAGTATCTTCATCTCTAGAGATTGAGTCCACATCACCTTCAATCATTGAAGTTTCTTCATCTCCAGAAATTGAGCCCACATCATCTTCAATCACTGAAGTATCTTCATCTCCAGAAATTGAGCCCACATCATCTTTAATCATTGAAGAATCTTCGTCTTTAGAGATTGAGCCCTCATCATCTTTAATCCTCACTGAAGTATCTTCGTCTCCAGAAATTGAGCCCACATCATCTTCAATCATTGAAGTTTCTTCATCTCCTGAGATTGAGCCCACATCATCTTTAATCATTGAAGAATCTTCGTCTTTAGAGATTGAGCCCACATCATCTTTAATCCTCACTGAAGTATCTTCATCTCCAGAGATTGAGCCCACATCATCTTCAATCATTGAAGTATCTTCATCTCCAGAGATTGAGCCCACGTCATCTTCAATCACTGAAGTTTCTTCATCTCCAGAGATTGAACCCACATCATCTTTAATCATTGAAGAATCTTCGTCTTTAGAGATTGAGCCCACGTCATCTTTAATCCTCACTGAAGTATCTTCATCTCTAGAGATTGAGCCCACATCATCTTTAATCATTGAAGAATCTTCGTCTTTAGAGATTGAGCCCACATCATCTTTAATCCTCACTGGAGTATCTTCATCTCTAGAGATTGAGCCCACATCATCTTCAATCATTGAAGTATCTTCATCTCCAGAGATTGAGCCCACATCATCTTTAATCATTGAAGAATCTTCGTCTTTAGAGATTGAGCCCACATCATCTTTAATCCTCACTGAAGTATCTTCGTCTCCAGAAATTGAGCCCACATCATCTTCAATCATTGAAGTATCTTCATCTCCAGAGATTGAACCTACATCATCTTTAATCCTCACTGAAGTATCTTCATCTCCAGAGATTGAGCCCACATCATCTTTAATCATTGAAGTATCTTCATCTCCAGAAATTGAACCCACATCATCTTTAATCATTGAAGAATCTTCGTCTTTAGAGATTGAGCCCACATCATCTTTAATCCTCACTGAAGTATCTTCATCTCCAGAAATTGAGCCCACATCATCTTTAATCATTGAAGTATCTTCATCTCCAGAAATTGAACCTACATCATCTTTAATCCTCACTGAAGTATCTTCATCTCCAGAGATTGAGCCCACATCATCTTCAATCATTGAAGTATCTTCATCTCCAGAAATTGAGCCCACATCATCTTCAATCATTGAAGTATCTTCATCTCCAGAAATTGAACCCACATCATCTTCAATCATTGAAGAATCTTCATCTCCAGAAATTGGGCCCACATCATCTTTAATCACTGAAGTATCTTCATCTCCAGAAATTGGGCCCACGTCATCTTTTATCATTGAGGTATCTTCAACTGAGGTAATACAGTCATCATCTATTGAAGTATCTTCGTCTGAAGAGATTGAGCCAACACCATCTCCAACCATTGCCATATCTTCATCTGAAGAGATAGAACCAACAACATCTTTAGTCCTCTCACCCTCTCCCTCTTCTACTTTTAGTTTCATATCAGTTTCAGTTACTCCCACTGTCACTATAAATGAAGGATTTGGAGTTATATTGGAAGAGCCTCAAAAAATTGAGAGCAATGACAATTTGATGTATAATTTTAGCTTTGGTTTATTTGGCATTAAACTAGCAGGTGAAGATGCTTCTTCCATTACAGTTCAAATTGGCAATTTCTCAGTACAAGAATCCTTCACTCAAAGCCTTCAGACAATTAAAAGTATTACTGGTGCTCTTTCTACTCATAGCCTCTGGCCAGACCAACCGTTATTGACAGTGTTGGTACAAGCACGGGACATGTTTGATAACACATTAGTAGGAACATTTTCCCCTCTCATCATTACAGCAGAGCACAGTACTTTAGGATTGATGGAATTTTATGAGTGTGAATCATTGCCAGTGGTTTCTAGTGGTACCTGTACTGCAATGATTGGCATTGATGATGATTGGTTTATTAGCAATGAGATCTCTTTTGTTACTTTTACCATTGAAATCAATGAGACTATTTTTACTATAGGCTCAGTTGAACTACACTCACCTCCTTCAATTAGTTTAACAAATAGTTTATACATTCAGCTACCTCAGACTCCTCTAATGCCTGGCGGGTCTGCTTCACTCTTCATCAAATCATCTTACAACTATTCAATATTTGGCTTTAATATTGACTGTAGACTTGAAGGAGGAGGAGAAGGAGAGAATGCTGCATTTATCTCACCTCGTTCACCACAAGAGTACAGTCTATTGTATGAATACTATCAAGACCAGAGGGATAGGATAGCATTAAGCGGATTCAGAAATAGAAACCAGTTCAGTACTGCCCTGGTCAATAGGACACTAGGAGATCAGACATTAGTTACTTTCAATCTTTCAAATATTTCTGAGAATTATGATATTAGCTGTTATAGTAAAGGATTGAGCCTTACTACCAGACTTGTATTAGTCCCAGTACAAGCAAGTACTAGACTACCTGTACTGATGATATCAAGGGATGGCAATGCAAGTGAAGTAGGAGAAATATTACATCAAGAGAAGAGAGTTGCTGCAATACTTCCTTATGCACACCACAACACCTTCCTTAACATAGCAACTGTCAATGGATCTAGACAGGATCTAGGAGCAATAAAAGCAATAGCTTTGTACAATGATGGAACCTTTGATGAAACAAGCAGTCTCGCCTGCACTAGCTTGGATAAGGATGCCATCCAAGTTGAGAGTGATTGCTCTAACATTTATTTTAACGGCTCGGAGACGGATGGTATTGATGCTAATATTACAGTGCGGCATGCTGCCCTCAATGATTATTCTTCACTGCTGGTAAGAGTTTGGATATTGAGGCAAAACACAATTGCAATTAGTTTAAAAGATTCTGTGCTTAACGCAACAGGGACTTGCAATAACAGCACCTTTTATCAGACTAGTGAAGTTAGTCTGCAAGGGATTATTAGACACAATGCACAAATGCACACTGTCGTAGTAACTCCTGTACTAAAGCACTTACTAACAACTGTTAATGCTAGTATTGCAATAGTGGATGATACACGTGTAGTTGGTCAAAGCCCAGGGACTACTGGTCTGTGTCTTGGTAGCAGTTGTACAAATGTAACTGTTTCTAATGAGTTTGCTTCTCCTTTGTATCTCAGCCTTTTCCCTTTCTCAAGTCTCACAATTAATCTAGATAGTCTTAGCATTGATCCAGAACAGGCTCAAATTGGTTTGATCAGCGTAGGCCAAGAGTTCCATTATCGGTCTCAACCAGTTTTCATAAACACTTTACTAGTGTATGAGGATGATAGTGCAATAGACATTGACACTAGCAGTGAATTGTATCTAAGTGTAAGTGATAATCAAATATATGATAGATTATACTTTATACAAGATGGAGATGATGAAACCATGCCTGTAATTGGAGGAACATGGAGCCAATGCAGCGAGACTGTTTCTGGTTCCGTAGCTATTAATATCAGTCTTTACTCACCACTTAGCATATTAATTGATGCAATCACATTAACTATGGCACCAAGGAATGATCCATTAGTAGTGTTAGGCTATGCTCAGTCAGACTCACTGCTCACTCTCATTGCTGAGTATGAGGATCCTGACTATGATGGACCAATCACTAGTAATGCTACTTATAATGTAACGGTCAATGATACTTCAGTCCTTACTTTTAGTACTGACGCTAATGGGAGCATCACTCTATATCCAGTCCAGCAAGGATATGCTATTGTACAGGTCTATGTGTTTGAGTATGATCTTAGCTCCAGCATTAATGTTACTGTTCTAGAAAGTGAGCCACAAATCAGGTTTTTACTAAACACTAATTCATCAGAAATGCCTGTTAATACTATACAGCACATTGCTAACACCCAGCACTATCAGGAAGTGAGGGCTGAAGCAATCTTAAACATATTTCTGACTAATACAACTCAGATAGTCACTAATGCAATCTTTACTAGTGGCAATGATTCTATACTCCAGCTTAATGGAAACACAGTTTCTGTTAATGGAGTCTTAAGCATTGATCAAAATGTAAATATCACAGCTACCTTAAATGGAGGAGAGAGTAACATTACTGCCATTGCTTCATTAGGCATTAGCACTGATTCCTGTGATGTCACTGGTGTACAAATTGATTTTCCTAATGAATTTATTGACTTTCCTGGTATGGAGAGGATAGCTAATTGTAGGGTAATGCTGTGCAATGGATCGCTCATTGAGAAAGCTTTTAATAGTCAAACCGGTGATCCTCTCTATGGCAATGAATTTGTAAGCATTGGCATAAGTGATTCTAATGCAGCCATTGTGATGAATAATACTAGTATAATAAAACTAGTTGGAACAGCAGTAGAACCTGTATCAGTATACTGCACCAGTGGAAATTTTAGGAACACAGTGTCTGTGATATTCAATACACTACCAAATGAAGGAGAGGTTGACCTTGGTACCAATGATGGCCTTCCTTTTACAACCACTGATGAGTCTGAAGTAATGATACCAGTCACCATAGGAGCTGGTGTTTATAAGATTGGTGCTGTAGAGATTAACATACAATATGATCCAGAGACTGCTCTCTTCCTCACTGCAAGCCAAGGCATGGATTGGTCCAATGGGTCTCTTTCTGTTGCTGAAGTGAGCACCAACAGCCTAAGACTTGGAGGTGTCTTGAACAATGGTGTACGAGACTCCACACTACATCTTGCTAATGTGTACTTTAAAATGCTAGAGGGTGCGAGCAATAATGTAACTATACTCAGAGCAACACCAGTGCTATTGGCTGTAGGTAATCTCTCCCTGACTAATGTCACTCCAGGCAATCCCCAGGCAAACACACTCTCAGTTACTCTACCTAACAGCAGGAGCAGACGTGATTTAAGGAGAGCCAAGCGCCAAGTAAGTACCTCTTGCCCTCCATATCCAGTGGGCGACATTAACGCCGACTGTTGTGTCGATCAGAGAGATGTCTATTACTTTCAAGAGTACAATCTAGCCAGTATTCACAACTTCACTGGCTCAGAGGAAGCCAGCTTGATCAATCAGACTATAGAAGACAATGGCATTGTGGTTGATGTGGATGGAGACGGTTTTGTGACTCTTGACGATATTGTCACAGTAGAGCAAGTCAGTAGTGGGCTTGTGTACAATATGTCTGCCTCTTATGACCTTTCCTGTGATTGTAGCTTTGTTATAAACATCAGTATATCCACTGTTAATGGATTGCAAGTCGAGACAGAGAGTTTACACGTATTTGTACACTTGGCACACAATCAGAGTCAGTTTATTGAACAAGTGAATGATATCCAGTTCTCTTATGGCAGTCTTCATCAAGTCTTTGAGGATAATAATGGTCTGTATACGGCCGTCCTTCGTGCTAATCTGAGCACTTCTGGTGATACAACTGCACTCTATCAAGTTAGAGGAGTCTCAAGCTTCTCCGTGCCTGATGTAGGATTGTCATTCATTCAAGCAGTGGCTGACAACAATGGGGAGATAAGTAAATCGAGAGTATCAGGTTTATTTGGAAGCACTCCTCTTTCTGGAGATAGGGAAGGCCCATTCATCATTGATATCAATGCTACAGACAGTCAAATCATATCACTGACATTGGATGACCTAATGCCTCATATTATAATAAATCCAACTTGTATTAATATTCCTCCTACTACATTGCCTTCTTTACCATTGCTGCTACAAGTCAATAGAGACGAGTACTTTGTTGGTAATGTAACACAACTTAATCAAACATATTATGAAGGTAGAGTGTTGATTCTTAGCAACAATGGGTCATCAATGGGTGGATCTGTCACTGCTAGTGTTGAGTCTCTTCAAACATCTCTTTCAGTCTCTCGTTCACTCTCTCAAGTTAATTCTCTCCGTCATCCAATAGCTTCATTTGATGAGTATTCTAAAATATTGACTACCACAATACAAGCCTTTAATAATATTGACTATGCATTCAATATACAATCAAGTACCATCAATATCAGTATAGTGACTCAATCTAATGATGCTATTGCTAACACTCTGTGCATCCCTAACAGTGAGTCTGGTGTATGTCAAAGCTCCTTTAATCTTAGTTCTTATGATTTCAGTCAGTTGACAGTGACATTCAGTTTAATAGGTAATGAAGGTAACGTTGTAGAGTCATCAATGGTAACTGTTAATGTTAGTTCTAAGCTGTCGTTTCAAGGAGACGGTGTGAGTATCCTTCTTCCTTCCTATACTCTTAAGCCAGGGTCATCCTTTGACATTGAAGTATACTCAAACACGACATATCCACTCATCTCTTTCCTTTTCAACTTTACCCTCTCTGCAAGGATCAGTCTCACAAGCACTCACTCTCCTGACAAACTGTGGGGCGTGTACTGTACACAGAGTTTATCGTGTGTTGGTTATAGAACAAACTTTCAGAGTCTGTCGGTATCTCAACTCTCTTCACCAGAGCACCTCTTCACTGCTAGCCTATACATACCTGAGGATTATACCGAGTCTAGTGTGAAGGTATCTGCCAGTATACGTGAAATGAACAACCTGTTCTATCAGCCAGTATCTTTTACTGGTATAATGATAGTCAATGCTAGTGGTAGTGGGCATCTCAATGAAGCTACTGTTAGCATAGATCCTAGTAATGACCTCATTGCTTTGTATGCTCATGCTCCACAGACTGAGCTTGTGAACACAGCAGTGCTGAATGAAGGGTTGGTCACTATCCCTATCAGCGTATCAGGACTATATGAGAATAATACTATAGCTAGTATATCAGGATATTCTTGTCAGCTCAGTGATAGTGAAGTCTCTCTTCATATTAATAGTGATTGTAGTGCAGTATTTGTGAATGGATCAGAAACTAAAGGAGCCGACAATGTCATACTGACCATAACACTGGAATCTGTTACTACTAGTATAGGCTTTAAGGTCTGGTTTCCAAGTTTACCTGCTCAACTCCAGTTAGGTAGTAATGTATTAAAAGCTATAGATGGGGCAATAGATGCTACCTCTTGTGGTGCTCAGCTCTACCAATCAACTACAATAACAGCAATCTCAAACCTCACCACTGGAACAGAATCTCTGATAAACGTTGATTTATCTCAATACGTATTGAATAGAATCAGATTCACACCAGCTGGATCAATAGAGCTAAACGAAACCAGTAGAATGATACAAGGTATCAGTCCAGCAACAGTTACATTATACCCTACACTCAATGGCTTATTTGATAATGTTACATTTCAAGTGTCTCAGGAAAGAGTGTCGATTCATTACCTTTACACTATAATACTGAGTAGTATTAGTCTCAGGGTGAGCGATGACAGTAGCAGTAGTGGAGAGTACAATTTCTATCTCTCGTTATCATCTTCTTTTCAATATGTTAATGATACTGGTGTCTCAGTCACGCTAGCTGTCTTCAGTGATGGCTCTACAATGCCTGTTACTGATCTTGTATCAGTTAGTTCTTCTAATAAAGATATACTCTATTCTACTGATAATGAATTGTTCACAGCAGTCTCTAATGGAAGTACTACCATCAGTACTGAATGGTATAATCCAAGCCCAGCTAATTGTACCCCAACCGTCTCATGTTTAAGGACTAGTTATGATGACGTCTCTCTCTCACTGTCTCTGCCTACTGAGCTCATAGTGATGGCATCAAGTGTTCAATTGACTGCTTGTGAGGCCATTGCTCAGCTATTACCATCAATACCACTTCAAGTTGAGTTATATGCATTATTAGTGTATCCTAATGGTGATGAAGTGAACGTCACAGAATACGTTAGCATCAATGATACAGTAAGAGGAGGAGATGATGATAGTGTTATTGCATTGAATGCAAATACACTAAATAATCAATCAACGACACTGCTCTTTAGCTATACAGGATCTGGTGTTACTTTAATGAAAACTATAAGCATTGAAGTAGTTAGCATCAATACTTTTGCTAGTAATCTCTCTCTGCTCTCAGTTCCAGGCAATAATCCTATCACTACATTCAATAGTATAGAAGGAACAAATATCTATCAGCAAGCTCAACTAGTAGGTAACATTGCATTCAGTAATGGCATGGTAATGTCTTTATCAAACCTCCCTTCTTCAATGTATAGTATTAATCAATCTTCTGATGCTATCTCTATCAATAACATGTCAGTAATAATACAATCTCCACCTAACACTCAAACTAATGTCACTATTAACTTGATGCTAATAGGATGTAATGATGTAGTTGCATCAATTGAAGTGACTATTAATCCACCCACTGATAATAATAATGTTATAAGTGTGAACAGTGTTAGTATTACCACACCACTGATTGGTAGGGAAGGAGATGCAGTAGAATTAGACGTTTCCTTAAACCTGAATGGAGGAGTTATATATTCACTGAGAGACTTTGCTTCTAATGCAAGAGCAAATATAACAGATATAGTATCATTCACAACCACTGCCAATGAGTACATTAGAATTACCCCATCCACAGCTACATGCATACTTTACAGACAATCAAGCTGCTCTAATGTTACTATTACAATCGCAATCACCAGTGGTACCTTTAGTAATGATGTTAGTGCATCAGTAGTGATTCTACCTGGATCACTAGAGATAGGATTGAAAGGACCAGTTAGTACCATTAACACTAATAGACTCATCTCTCTACCACTGTCCCTCAATACTCATACTTACACTGTCAGTGGGATTGAAGGATCACTGATGTATAACAGTAGCCTCTTACAAGTAGTTAATGTAACTGTGGAGGATACACAATGGCCTGGAGGTGTCATGTTTTACAATACAGAGTCAATCAATGATAGATCGGTACTGATATTCAGTGGATTAGCATTCAATGGCGGAGTAACTGGTGACAATGTACACTTCGCTAATGTTAACCTCATGACTAAAAGTGAGGGAAGCACTGAATTATATGCTTATTTGACTAATCTCATACAATACGAGTCAAACAGCATCCCTATTAATGAGTTGGTTAGTACAAGCAGTCGCATTACACTATCAATCTCTGATAATGATGTGTGTAATGAACCTAATTATCAATCCAACCCTCTACCAATCACTTCAAACTGCTCCTCTAATACTTTACAACTAGCAAGTGGTGAGTCCTCCATTACTTGTCCTGTTAGTCTCAATACTACCACAGAGACTCTGTATAGTCTGCTCCAGACTAGTGGAGATAGTTCTGTGGATGTGAATTTGAATGGAGTCAGTGACTTGCTCGATCCACTGTATGTCACACAAGTCTCTACTGGTCTTCTTTATCTCCTCAATACATACCCTGTACTGGCTAATTCCACTCGTGATGCTAATGGTAATTATTGTAACGTGACCATCTCCTCTAAACTGATTGGAAGAGACGGCCGTCCACCGACTGACTCGTCTCTTTATTATCTTCTCAATATACAAAGTAGCTACTCATTTGATCAGTTGTTCAATGCTAGTCTCATATCTAGCAATGATAGCAATGTGCTGCTCATTCCTAGCACATATGATGAGGAGACTGGTGAGTTTACTTCATCATTGAGCACAATGTTAACAGAAATACCAGGAGGAACAGTATCAGTCTCACTTATACAGTCAACGCAAGTGGACGGCAGTGAGTATTCACCAGCTAGAGTGTTACTAATGAATAAAAGAGATGGAACAACGATGATTCAAGAATCACTTAGTATAAATACAGCTGATATTATTGTACGTCAGAATCCTCCTTATGCTCCACTGGTAACCTTTAATGATGACATAATATGCCCACCATTGCCTCTACCTCCTACTCTTTTTGAGGTCTTCTTTGACGTTGAGCCCAGTAGTAGATCATTTAGTTTTAGAATAGAGGAAAGCAGTGACTTTGGTAGCATATTCCTATATAATTGTAGTTTAATAGAGAATGTCACCTGTCTAATGAGTTTTAGGAATCACACTAATTTCAATGTCTCTGACTCATTTAACATTAGTGGAACCAGATACATCAATGTGACTGTTGCTGGTTTAAAGCCATATACTAACTATACATTCTACTTACTCAATACTAACAACCAAACAATCACTCTCAATGAGACCATAACAACAGCTGAAGCTCAACCTGAAGGATTTAATAGTCTCATGGTTCTGGATAGAGGTCCTACTAGTATTACAATAAAATGGGAATTACCAACTGAACCCAATGGACTCCTAGAACGTACTGAAGTATTAACTAATTCAATGACTGAAGGAGCAAGAAGGAAAAGAGAATTAAGTGGTCTTAAAATGTTACTAGTTGAAGAAACACAATACATAATCACTAATTTAAGCATTGCTACAGTATACAATATTACTGTCAGAATTTCTAACAGGTTAGTAATTCATTATTAACATTTTTATTATTAATTTATCTCTTTTTTAGTGTTGATAGTGTATCACAAACCATCTCAGCTAATACAAGTAAAATCAATAAAATTTTGTAATAATTTTTACTTTACTTAATAGCATTTCCTGAAGCTAATTTTTCAACATCTGTGGTGCAGCAGATGGATGGTTGTGTTAACTTAACTACTGAGTGGATATATGATCCAGTGGAATATGATATTAGTCTACATTGTACAGCTGATGGTATGACCTCAAATACAGTTAATACCAGTTTACTAGATAATGGCATTAATGATATTGTAATATGTTCTGACGGTGTTGAAAATGGTACTGGTCTCAATACAACATTTGAATGTATGGATTCATATACAGTGACATTCACTTTTATGAGGTTAGTTGTAATAAATATAGATATTGAAACATATTGAATTATATGTGTCTACTAAAAAGCATGCCCATGCTTTTTCCGGAAAGTGGCCCCCAAATTTTTATTTCATTTTGTCCTTGTGCTATATTGCTATGTAAAAAATTGAGCTAATTTTTGAGTTATGAGAGTTTCTTTTCATGTACCTCTTCTCTAGGAATGGCTTCAATACATTATCAGAAACCACAGTACAAAATATTTCTATATTTGCTTCAACAGTTACATCTACAGTCATTACTCCAGTGTCTAGTAGTAGTGAAATGTCATCATCAATGGAGATGAGTCTTCTAACATCTTCAATGTTCCCTTCTGCTAGCACTTTTTCCTCTACACTCAGTACATCTTTTTCTTTATTATCATCTTCAACATTGATAGAAACATCCACACCCTTATCTTCTATCTCATCATTATCATCCTCTCCTTCTCCTTCCACTTCATCTTCAATGTCTTCTGTTGTGGACATGGCAGCAACGAGTACTGCTGCATCTCCTTCAACCTCAACCATGTCTCCATCTACAGACATCACCTCATTTTCAATAGTAACTACAACATCACCAACCATGCCTCCATTTATAGGCACCACCTCATTTTCAATGGTAACTACAACATCATTAACCTCTATGACCTCTTCTGTGCAGACATCATCTAGTTCATCAAATACACCTGGTGAGTAATATAAACCTTATTGAAATAATAAATAATGAAATAATATTTTTTTCTTGTTAATTTTTTATATTAAAGGAGCAACTGGCCCTGGATCTGCACAAACTGGTATAGCAGTAGGTGTTGTGTTAAGTATTATAATTCTACTGGTCATTGTACTGATTGTTGTTATTCTACTGGTGATGCGTCATAGGACTAAGAAGAGAGGAACAATGGACTTCTATCGTCCTGGCTCACGTACTTCCAAAGACTACTGGTTTGAAGTAGAAGAGACTGTGGTAAGATAGTAATTATACATGAATGATGTTTTTAATGTCATAACAAAGAACTTCATGTTGGCTGTAGCTTTAATTTGTATATTTACTATTGGCAAGAATCTGATGACCAATACCTGTACTTATATCATATGCTATTTATTTGTGTATTGTAGGAGATGAGTCCTATTGATATAGTGCCAGTGGATCATCAGCCTTATGATGATCACTATCTTGATGAGACTGTGATGAGTTCTGGTATCATTGAGAATAAAGGAGTCTATGAAGATGAGACTATCAGTCACGAGGCTACTCTGTCATCAAGAGCTCTCGTGAATCACATTAAACCTCAGCCACGCCAAGGAAGGACAGTAGTAAGATATAGAGAGAGAAGAAGAGAGGGAGGGTAAAAGAGAAGGTTTGAGGTTGGAAGATAAAAAGATTTTGTACAAGAGAGAATTAACACATAACATAATGATAATATTGTGTTTCTTATTTTTCTAGACATTCAACAGTGCTGATCCATCGTCATTTACTGAACCAACCAGACCAAGCTATGATGATGTCGTTGAAGACAATGAGAGTCTCATTGACCTCAACTTCAGCGAAGACGCCATATCACAACCTTACCTCTCCCTTGGGCTCACCCCCCTCTCTCAGCTATCACCTGATCCACTGACCAGCTCAGGGAATCCTGATCTTGGGTTCTTCCCGTCAATGTTACCTCCAGTGTCTCCAATGACATCCCTTAAGACTGGTACTGGCATATCAGTAGACAGCCCAGACACTAGTGGACTCGATAGTCTAGTGATGCCTGATGCCATGCTTAATTACTCTGTACCTTTGAATGATGTGAAGAGACGACCAAGAAACAGACAAGACCCTAAGGAGTTATTGTTGAACGGTAACGTTCCCAATAGTCGCACATTAGAGCCACTCATTGAGCGAAGATCACTTGAAGTTGATGAATTCAGTTCTGGAGCTAGTGACTTTATGTTAACCAAAGGTCTCTCGAGCAACGACTCATTGAGAGCACAAGAGAACGTGCTCAATCTAATGGGCAACAGTATCACTGCACCTACTGGGTCAAGCGAAGAGAGTCAAGAAGATGACACTTGCATATTCCCTTCGGCTCATATAGAGCCATCGCCACCTTTGAAGCCAAAGAAAGCCAAAGCAGCAGCACCGAGATCAGGAAGAGACGCAATTAATGAGTATTTTGGTGGTCTTGAGCTAGGAGGAGGACCCACTGAAATGAGTAATTACAGGAACACTACTGCTAGTACTAAGCCTCAACCTTCGTCATACACTTCACCAGTACATCAAGTGGCCACTTCATCGTTCATGGACTCTTTGATGGATGAGCCTAAGCAAAGGAGACAATTGGCCAGAGAGAAAGCAAAGGCCGAACAGAAAGCGCTACTAATGAAGCAAAGAGAAGAAGAGGAGTTGCAAAAGCAAGCAAAATCACGCAGCATACACGATAGCATTGTCAAGAGCTATTCGACGTTCTCTGACTCACCAACCAAGCAGCCGTCGCCTTCTCTTGGGATTGTCCTACAGAAAGCAGCTCACATTGAAGCAGCTGCTGAACTTTTAGAGGAAGAGTCTAAGAAAGTAAAGAACTCGCAGCAATCTCAAGATTCCATAGGAACTGGGATTGATCGACCAAGATACCCATCAGTGGTGTTCTCACCTCAACACAGATACAGTAGTCGCCCACGGCAAGCAAGCACTGACTCTGTTGACATGAAAGTAACTGATGACCAAATCACTGCCTTATAGAGAAAACATGATAATTATTATTGTTTATTTTTACTATTGTTTATTATTATTATTATTATTTAATGATGTTAATGATTATTATTTTGATGTTGTTTATTGCATGTATTATGTGTGTCATTTTTAAAACATGTTTTTTATTATTTATATAATTTTTAATGGAAATTATGATCACAAATCAAAAGCATAATGCACAAAGCGAAGCTTGGCTTAATTAATTGATGGGGTGTGTCTTTATTAATTTAATTAGTACAGCAATGGAAGATGAAAGAGAGTTGTCTCGGAGTGAGTCCGGCAGTTGTTATAGGAACGCAAACAATTACTATCTCCTTCTCTCTTACTCATCTGTAGGGAAGACTCGTAAGGATGAAGGAGTTTCTTTGGCTAGGCCGCTAGAACTATTCACGAATAGTAAAGGAAGGACTTACGTTAAGTTCACTCTCGATGGCCTCGACTGGTACTCGTATCCACTTCAGAAGAAAGTGTCAAGTAAGGAGAGCTGATTCACAGCAGTCTCTCATGTATAGCTGGCTTTTGTTAACTTTTAATGTGTTAAAATTGAGACATTCCGTTTTATCTTGTAGCTCAACTTGAGCACAGCATGCTCTTCAAGTTTGGAGGAGATCCGACCATTGCTGTCCAAAGTGTCCTGTTTGCTCACGGTTTTACTCGAGTGAGTGTTGATACCTTTGTGTGAAGTTTTAATGCGAAATCGTGTTAAGATCAGCACTGTTTAGTTGCATTATCAAGTTTATACTGAGTTTCCCTAATTTAATTTTGTATCAATATAATGCGATTGACATTGATTTGCACTGTATGCACTACTCCTCTTCAGGTCAGAAATGAGTCTCCACTGTTCAATATATTATGGACTTGGACTCACCCTAATTTGTCTGTAGTCAGGAATCTTAAATGGTTTCAGCGCATCAATCACTTCCTGAGGTATAATTTTGTGTAAACACTCAACTCATTATGTATGTACAATGAACATTGTGTACTGTAGGTCTGAGCAGATCACTCATAAAGATTATTTATGCATGAATGTCCAACGGATGCAAAAATCAAAGGTAAAAGAAGAGGAAATGTAAAAGAGAAAGCTCTAAAGTTATATTTTATCCTCAGGGTTTCAAGAACTTTAATATTATACCTCAGACTTTTGTTCTTCCTTCAGAGATGCCATATTTTAAAGGTATGTCATCTTTATAATAAGGTTTAATGTTCTTGTCTTACTTATGTACATTTTAGAAACATTTCGCAAGGGAAGTGTGTGGATCGTAAAGCCGTGTCATTCATCGCGTGGTAGAAGAATATATCTCATTAATAACGTAAGTGTCAACATAGTTACATGTTAGAGGTGTCAAAATATTTTAAGATTTTGTGTTACATTATTAGTAATTTGCAAATTTTGCATCGAGATATATATCCCTGGGCTATAGTATTGTTACACATCAAGAATAAGAATAAATATATACATACATGCATATGATGTACATGGATGTGTACATGTATTTACATGGATGTGTACATGTATTTACATGTCTGTATATATTGACTTGCTCTTTCTCCTTCAATCAGCCTAGCCAGATATGTTCTGTTGAGCCAGTTGTTGTTTCAAGATACATTGATAATCCTTTGTGTATTAACGGTGAGTAAGGTACACATGTAGCTGTAGTGCTATGGGATAAAGGAGAGAACTGAAGGAATGGGTTGAGAGAGAGAGAGAGATGATGCAACTTAATTCACTTAAACATATACGTGTAGCAAGAGAGTGAGAGCTACTTTTTTATTTCTTTAGGGTTTAAGTTTGATTTGAGATTATATGTTGCCGTGACCTCCTACGATCCTATAAGGATATACTTGTACAGCGAAGGACTCGGACGATTTGCAGCCGAACCATATTCGAAAGAGGAAGAGAACCTCACCAATCTATACATGCACCTCACCAACTACAGCATCAACAAGACACATCCTGATTTCATCATGTAAGAATTTCGGTTTTAAAATCCTGTTTGGCTTCGTCACCATGCTTTATATGTCTTTGACGCTTATTGTGACTCATTCTGTCACACTAGCACTTTGTATGGCAGCAGACACTTTGAATGGTATTGTGTGCTACATTTTGATGTTACCACCTGCTCCATGCAAACTCCACTAATTCATGCACTCATAAGCACATTCCCTTTGTGTGTCTTTGCCAAAAGACAATTGACATTACAAGTTAAAGTGCTCATTCCATTATCATTGATTAATGTCATTACTAGGTCACAGTCAGAAGAGGTTGAGAATCATGGGAACAAGTGGAGTCTCAGTGCCATATTGAATCATCTAAGAAGAAAGGGTTACAATATACAAGGTTTGTATGTGTACAAACTATTGGGGCATACATGGGTGCATTGTGACTTCAAAAACTAACAGAGAATAAGTAACTCATTATCTCTTTCTCTCAGAACTTATGATGTCTATAGAAGATGCTGTCATTAAGACAATAATTAGTGGAGAAGTGCCAATTGCATCTGCTTCAAGACATTTCCAGCCATATAAAGCAAACTGCTTTGGTAAGATAATGCACTGTATGGATTCCTATTTATTTCTCTATATAAAAATAGAATTGTTTGGTTTTGACATTTTGATTGATGAATCGCTTAAGCCTTGGATACTAGAAGTAAACCTTTCACCATCTTTGACCTGGTACTGTACATACATAATATACTGTATAATATTTACGTGTATATACATTATAGCGACAGTCCCTTGGATTTCAAAATCAAGTCAAACCTCATAACTGATTTAATGTCACTGATTGGAATACCAGTACAAGACCCTAATCCACCGCCACCTCCACAGACAGCATCACAATCAAGCATCAAAGTGAGTGTATTACTACTAGTAATGTAGCCTTGTATTCACACTATGTATAGCTTTGTACACTAACACCGTTATGTACTTTATAAATGTACATGTACTTGTACACTGTGCCTAAAGATTAGTGTACAATGTAGCTCTTTTCATAATATACTTATTCTATGCACTAATAGGATGTTACTGCATGTATATACATGTGTTTCTTATTGAATTGTAGCTAGTTAGGACTGTGAGACGAATGCCATCAGTTTCGGTTGAGGAGCAACAAGTTTTATCATGCACTGTTGATGAGTACAAGAGGAGAGGTCATTTTGTTCGTATATTTCCATCAGAAGACAGCTGGGAGTTATATGGGTGAGTGCAGGTTTTACACAAAGCATGCTTAATGGGCTAGCTAAAAGCAGCTTGGCTTTTAGATTAACTTTTTAAAATTCATAAAAAATCTAATTTTGATTGGAATCAGCTCAAACTTTCTACACAGCATAAGAAAATGTATATGTATCAGGAAAAAATATAAAAATAGAGAAATCTCTCCTTTTCATTTTTGGCGAAATTTGCTCGGAGACCCTGTACTATAGTACAGGGACTTTGACCTGATTTTGGAGCAACTTTAAAAATTTGTAAAAAATTCAATTTTGATCGTAATCAGCTCAAAGTTTCTATACAACGTAAGTACATGTATATGCATCAGAAAACATTATAAAAATGGAAAATTCTCTCCTAGTCATTTTTGGTAAAATTTGGCCAACAACCCTGTACTATAGTACAGGGATTTTGGCCTGATTTTGGAGCAACTTTAAAAATTTGTAAAAAATTTAATTTTGATCAGAATTAGCTTAAACTTTCTACACAACATAAGAACATGTATATGTATCAGGAAAAAATGTAAAAATAGGGAAATCTCTCCTTTTCAATTTTGGCAAAATTTGCTCAAAATTTAGCAACATAAGTACAGTGCACGTGTATGCAATAGAAATATTAGGAAAACCATTACCCTGTAATAAGAAGCTGAGCACTATGAGTTGTTATTATTGTTGTTTTGTTGATTATTATTGTTTTTGTTATTATTGTCATTATTATTCATTTAGAGCATTTCTTGAGAACAGGACGTCATTTAATTTTTCACTGTATACCCACATTTATCCTGACAAGTAAGCAATGCAATGTCTTACTCATCATTCATTTATATTATATACTCTGATTTCTCCATTCATTCTATGTATACTAGCCTTAGTAAGATGAAATGGCCTCCTCATTCGACTACTTCTATCACTACAATGATTGCTAGGAGGTTTGTTGTACATTATATTTACATGTAATTAATGCTATTATGTTTTTTAGAATTAAGAAAGGAGCTCAGATACATATATTGTCACCAGATAAGGTATTGTACATGTACATGCACATGCAATTTTATAAATAACCTGATAAAATAATAAGCAAAAGTTTTAAGCATTATCTTAATCATTATTAGACTAATGATGTTAAAGGATTGAGTGCAGTGCATAGAGTGAAGCTTTATGCCAGTCCATTGCAAGGTAAAGGGACCAACTGCTCCTGTCTGTCTCCCCCAACCTCTGATGAAGAAGACTTTAACACCACCAATTATAAAGAGGATGAAACAATTTATAGATCCTCTTTGTCAGTTCCTTCACTCAAGTATGAATATAATCAATTACATGTATAGTAATACGTATTAATAATTAATGTTGAGTCTACCAGAATTTTTAAAATGTTTTTATTGCATTTCTTTTCTCTATGATGCTTTCAGTCGTTATCAGGTGAGGTTAATACTCACTGCTTACTTGGAGAAGGTTTATGACAAACTCTTACACCATACAAAGTAAGTGCTAACTGTGTTGTAGCTACATATAATCTCCTCACTGTGTTCATGTCTTGCAGGAAGGATGCAATGCTCAAGAGCTCAGACACTTTTGAAAAGGTATTAAAAATTTGACTACTCCTACAAAATTGAAGTTTAATTTGCCAAATTTTTAAATGCTAATTTTCTAATTATTATACATGTACATCGTATTCTCATGCATGTAGCTCTTATATTGTTATATTTATTTCTTTTTATCAATAAATTCACAGAATCTTAATGTCATTGAGAGGTTTATAAGCAACGTAAGTCAGAACCTAGTCTCCCACTCGAGTACCAGTTTACCATTGAGACACACCTTGCCACTTATTGTCAGGTCAGTCATAAAACAATAAAGAATCACGTCACTGAGTGAATGTAATTTACACTTTGTTTAGGTGTAAGATGCTAACACAGATACTGATGGATCTGATATTCTCATATAGAGCTGTATGTTAGTTTACATGTACATGTATAATGTTAGTATGGCTAAATATCATTGACTCTGTGTAATAATCAGATTGTAATGACAATGATACTTTTACCAGGCATTAGCCTTTTAATGTATTCTAGGAGACAACTGTTTTAAGGGATAAACTCAGTGATGATGCTATTGGCAATGTTGATGGTTGCTGTTGTGAAGATGTCATGTCAGATAATGCCATTGAGTACTTTATCTCAACTGCAAGGTATTTTTTTTAATTTTGTCATGATTGTTCATTTTTTTATTTCCGCGTAAAGTGAGACGCAGTTGGAGAGGGTTTTGCGTGAGATAGCAGCCACGATTGATTTGCCGCTAGTTTTTAAACTTTCAGACAATCTCAAAGTTGCTCATTCCGCAAGAAGAGCTGAAGCTCATCCTTTGAAGTTAGGAAGACCAAAAAAGCGATCGCTATCAGCTGGTGCTCCTATCAGAGATACACAGCAGCAGCAGTTTTCCTTTAGAAGATGTCAATCAGTTTTACCTTCAGGTACAGTATACTATCAATTAGGGAATGTGCTAGTTCTAGTAAACTTATATGTATATGTACATGAAGCAGCAACATTTGAAATGTATGAACTATGAATATGTACTTCCATGAAGTAGGAGGGAATTGTCAATTTTTATGATTTTTTCTGATGCATGTATATTTTGAAAGTTTGAACATTCCACTTACATGTAATTGATGTACATGTACATGTATAATAAATAATCTTTGCTATAGATAATTTTCATGTACTTACTATCATGTTTTCAATAATGTAGCAACTAGGGCTGGTCTGCAAGAATTATTAAAGCCACAGATAAATTACCTAGTCAGCGACAGGACTGTTTCATCACTGCTGAAGAAAGGAACCATGACAGAAAGATCTTCGTATAAATTCATGCAACAGGGATGCAAGAGATTATATAGGGATTTTCAATCACTACCTCTCCTTGTTAAACCAGATGACTCTGCAGGAGCATCAAGTAGACCAATGAGACCCCAAAGTAGCATTTACAAGCAGAATCTATTGTCAGATCCAATAGTCAAAATAAAACATATGCATTGAAAATTTAGTTACGCGTACATGTACATCCACTTCAGTTATAAATCAACTTTATATGATCATAGTAATTGTTGTTATATCATTATCTGCTTTGGTTGTTATTTATCATTATTATTATTGTTGTCATCGTAGTAATTTAATATAATTGTTGGTAATGTTGTTATAACCAGAACAAAAGCAATCAAAACAAATCAGAATCAAAGTCAGTGTTATCATCATTAATGATGCCATCTTCGTCTACCATGATGTCTCTAGCATTGCTATGGACAATGGGGACTTCTGCAGTTAAACTGTCACTTTCATTGATGCTCTGTCTCGCTGCTTCCTCGTCTTCGTCTTTTACGATAAATTTTAATGTCTTTGAGTCATAATTTGATTTAGGTTGCCCAATAATGCCAATGTGGGTGAAGACTAACCTGTATACATATTGCATTTTGTAATGAGGTTGCAAAATGAATACAGTACTTACTCTTCTTTTGGCAGGGTTGTTTTTAGCTTAACTTCTTCTGTGGGAGGATACAGGACCTTGAAAATAGGAGATCTTAGCCTATAAAGCTGTAAAATTAGAATAATCTATAATATTGATGTATATACCGTGGTAGTAAACCACATGATGGACGACTGCTGTATATTTTCCATGTAAGACTATAGTGTAAGTAAGAAAGTGTGGTAGTTTGTCAACATAATTTTCTTACTGTTCTGAGGGAACATTTTCCTTCTTAAAATATATTTCACTGTCTGATTCTTCATCTATTTATTATAAATCACTAATTATTACAATTGCAAGTAAATCTTAATAACCTTTGCTTTTTATACAAGGAACAGACAGATCTTTATTAAACGCAGTAGTTCGAAGAAGACTATTGTGTGGGTACTATACATAATGTCTTCTATGCAATTAATTATACCTTCCTATCACACTGTGTATCGTATTCCAATGATCATAATTAAAAGTGATCCATGTCACAAATATAGCAAATTCATATATGGCCTGCAACATTATGCATATAACATGTATCAGGTTGGGGCTCTAACTTTACCTCTTGTAAATGTTGGTCAAGTTGCCATCTTGAGTATCTCAACCTTCAAATAAATTTGTAAGATTACAATAATCTTACATTCAGACTCAGTGCTAACCTTCCTTGCATAGTATGGTGTGCAAAGTCTATTCCCATTCCAGATATGAGAGAGATGTAAACAGCTCCAAGATTTGATTTGGCTTGATCTAGGTTATTTGAAGCTATCTCAAGCTCTTTACGAACAGTATTACCCACAGAACTGGTTTAAGAAAGAAGATAGTGAAGATTACATAATGCTAAAGCTACACTGGTAGATATGCATCTATCTATTACTCGTTGTCCTCTAAAGCTTGATTCCTAGATATTTCCTGGTGCTGCAGATAAAATTGAAAGTACTCCAATATTCTCCAAAGGAACTTATCAAAAACTTCTGTTCTACAGAGTGGAGGCAGGGATATGATGACAGTTAACTCTCTATATATTTACTTGTAGCACAAGTCAAAAAGCCTGATAGACTTGGCACTCATTGAATCAAGGAGCTTTGGATTCACAAGCCTCAGTGCAACAGCTATGGAAAAGAGGAATCATTATGTCTGCATGAATGAGCTGTGTACTTTTGACTTCATACAAAGTCACAGGTGTGTTTGGGTCTTCTTTATCTATAAATTCTACAGATCCAGGGCTTTTTACAACGGGGACATCCAGCAATAGCAGGCTCTTTGTCCTATTTATGCACATAATTACAGTAGTGCAGATTTATGCGATTATGCCCATGGCAGGCTTACTTTTCAAAGTGGAGCTCTTTGGCCGAGTTGTTCCAGTACCACTTTCCTTGCTTCATGCTACTGGTGGTAGTAGCAAACATGTTGATTCTGTGTATTAGTGTTTTGAGCTCTGCAACTGTGCAAGATTAACACCTACAGCAAGCTGTGTACTATGCAAACTAAGGTGTGGCAATATCACGTGACAAGAATGAAACGACGCGCCCGTTTCCCCGGTAAAAAATAATTAATCATGGGCCACACCTTCGACACACCACTAGCTCGGCAGTCGGCACTACACGACACAGTTGCAGTAAAAATGAGTGAGTTTTTGTGGAAGAAGGAAGACCTGGCTGGTTCTAGTCATTCAGAAAAGAAAAGGAGAGTACTAGTCTTATATACTGGTGGAACTATTGGCATGAAGTGGACGGAGAAAGGTATTTTATAACCAAAACCGTTTAATATGCAATAATTTAATAAGTAATGATGTTCAGGGTATTCACCTGTGAAGGATTATTTTGAAGACAAGATACAGACGTATCCAATGCTCAAAGACACCCAATACGTCATTAGTAGTCTAGAGACGGAGAGATTTGAAGGAATCAAACCAATACCACTACCGTAAGATGTAGCTATAATACTACAATCACTGGAGAGCTGCCATTAATGTTGTTTCAGTATTGTATATGCAATATGGCACAATTAGATATGTACACACTAGATATGACACATTCATATTCTCAATATCTTATTACTATCCTCGTTTACTAGCAGAAATAATAGTTAAGCTCTTTTCCTTTGTTCCTTTCCCTTTGTTCCTTTACAGTTTAACCATTCGTAATTACCGAATACTGTATGGTATAAAGGAGTACACTCCATTGCTTGACTCCAGTAACATGTCAATGACCGACTGGGCATACATAGCCAGTGACATAAGGAAATATTATGCAAAATTTGATGCCTTTGTCATCCTCCATGGAACAGATACCATGGCATACACGGCCTCTGCACTGTCTTTTATGCTAGAGAACTTAGGAAAGACCATCATATTGACAGGATCACAGGTCAGTAATAGAAAACTGTTGCAATACTGTATGTTGTATGTGTACTACATCAAGAGTCCTTTATCTTGTATATATGAACTGTTAGATTCCATTGTCAGAGTTAAGAAGTGATGGAAGAGACAACCTGCTCGAGTCACTGATCATTGCTGGGGAGTTTGTTATACCTGAGGTATATAATGGAGAATGATGAGGATAGAGTTGAGTGAAATTATATGCAATAGACTTGATACTCTTCATTATTACTGCATGTGCATTGGTACTATTAACTTGCATAGGTCCTCCTTTATTTCAATAACAAGTTATTCAGGGGAAATAGAACGGTTAAAATGAACTCGAGTAGACTCGATGCTTTCTCTTCTCCTAATTTCCCTCCCATTGCAAGAGTCGGAGTAGATATAAAAGGTACTGCCATTAATGATGACACCCAGGTATGCAAGTTCCTCTTCTTCTAGTGAACTGGGAGTCAGTGTTTAGGCCAAGCAGTACTGAGAAGTTTCATGTTCATTCAGACATGAATTCAAATGTTGGGATACTTAGACTGTTCCCTGGAATATCAAAAGCAGCTGTGAGTTATCCATCAATTATTATTAGTCCTCATCATTATAGCACTTTTAAAATTTGTAGATCTGTTCTTTTCTACAGCCCCCAATGGAGGGCGTGGTCCTCCAGTCGTATGGTGCCGGTAACATTCCTGACAGTCGTTCTGATATTATTCAAGAATTATCAGCTGCTACCGAGAGAGGAGTCATAATAGTGAACTGCAGTCAGTGCTTCTCTGGTTACGTCAGTGAGAAATATGCAGCTGGACTGGTAAGAAGTATAGATGTATACATGTACATGTACATTACATGCATATCAACTAGCTAGAGTGTTAAAATAATAGCTATGTAAGTACGTACATGTACATAAACTTTTTCAACAGTATCAATAGGTGCATGCACACTATATACAGTATATATTCACAGTATGTAGAAGTTCTTCAACAGGATCAATGCATTTGTGGATACATGTATAGTTACATTGTGTATTTAAATAATTAGATATTAAGAGATGCTAATGTCATACCTGGATATGATATGACTCCAGAGGCTTCTCTTACTAAACTGTCTTACCTGCTCAGTCGGTCTGAGCTCTCACTAGAAGAGAAACGTAAACTAATGGAAGAGAACCTAAGAGGAGAGAAGACGGTCATTAACGAACAGTCCGACCCTCAGTCTTTATTAAACGATACCAATTTATTAAGATCGCTAACAAAACTTCTCACTTCAAACACTGTAGGTTTAAAATTCTCAATCCTTTGTCTCATGTCCCTGTCCCTCTCTTCCTCTTTGTTAGGATGTGAAGCTGTTACGTGAGTCATTATTTCCTTCTCTGCTCTGTAAAGCTGCTTCTGAGGGTGATCTAGAAGCTCTGAAAACACTCAAAAAAGAAGTACTAAATGATTTTATTCCTATTGTAAAGACTACAATAAAAAACACTATTTCTATAAATCCCTTTATCCTTTCTTTTTCTCTGCTATTTAAGAATGTTTGCTTTTGCCTCACTCACTCTCTGTTTCTTCTCTTAGGGAGGTGATGTTGCATTTCCGGACTATACTGGCCTGACTCCGCTTCATTTAGCTGCTAGACGAGGTCATTATGACACTGTTCATTATTTGCTCGTTAATGGAGCCTCGGTACACATGAAGGACTCACTACATCGCACTCCACTACATGAAGCTATAAGTTTTAAGTGAGAGGATGGGGAGAGAGTGAAGAAGGATGAAGTGATGCTTTATGTATTCTTCTTATTTTTGTCTCTCTTTTCTTTTTCCAAAGGCAACTCGATATTATAAAACTCTTAGTACAGACTGGTGCACACATAAATGAGACCCCAACTGAGATTGGCAGCAAACTATGCCTGTAAGAATTAAGAATGCATCTTTATTTCCAAAAAAATTTTAAATCTTTTTCACCACCTGAGCTGCTAATCAACACGTAGAGGTGTAGTAAAATTGTTTTATTTTTTATAGAGCTGCTTCGGTGGATGATGTGAAATTGGTTGAAGCTTGGAGACTGGCAGGAGCTGATATGAACTCAAAAGATTACTCTGGAAATACAGCCAGCAGTATAGTAGGGAAACTGTCATTATGCATCAATTTAAACTTACTATGTTTTGTGTAGGCTCAAGCAGGTTCTCAAGTCTCACAGTATCTGGCTAAAATCAAGTGCAAAGAAAACTAAGATGTTTTATAGTATCCTAAATAAGCAAGTATTTCTCTTACAGTCAGCTGTCGTTTTTAGCAAAACCATTGTTTTTATATTAATCATTGTAATTGTTATGTTACCTAAGGTCTTTGAAAAAATTCCTATTTTGATTGCTCTCATAACCAATTTTGGCATAATGCATGCTTTAGTAGAGTCTTTTGCAAATTTCAGAGCAACTTAAAAAATTTATACAAAGTTTCTACATGTGTATGCATCAAAAAATTATAAAATTCTCTCCGGGTCATTTTTGACAAACACAATCAATAATGATTATTATTTATATCATCTTTACGAATAAAAAGTTTATAAATTAATTATTAAAAGTGACACACAAAAAATTAATCAATCACTGCCAAGTGCTTCTTTTTCTTTCTCCTTTGCCCTTTCACTCAAACTCATTTCCTCCACTTTCTCTTCAGTTGGCATCTTCTTCTCCTCAAGTTGAGCCAATTCAATTTTCTCATCATCACCATCCTCCACTGAAGTATTAGCAAACCCAAGACTACTGGCAGTTGAGTAGTCATTTTCCACTACTGACTTCTTGATTGTCCCCATTGATATTGCTAAAAAAAGAGTGGGTACAAAAAATTGTCAAAACTTGCTTAAAAACTTAACTATACTTACATGATTGTGAATCTTTACTAGCTTTCATTGTGGAGCTTGTAGATATCTGTATACAAGAAGGAGATAGTGGGAATTTGTGTGAGTAATACTTACATAGTTGTAGGTTCTGGTTCGTGATGTTAGTCCTCTCTTCACCTTGTTTATTCTTGGAGACAATTTAGACCAAACCTTATCGCTACGTACGACATGGAAAAAGAAAATTGCAGCACCCTGGGGAACAATGACTCAATCTGTATAGCATTCAAAAGGATTAGGAATAAACCTGTAAAGTATTAAGGAGTGTGAATATCCATGCAAAGGCACTCGTGTTTCTGTTGACAGCCAACAGGCCAAACAACCAAGTCAACCCAAGGAGTGGCAAGAGTACAAGAGATGCTTTTAGTAAACTCCTGTATATAAAGGAAGAATTGAGCTTTAAAACTTGTAATGTACATGCAGTGTTATTCTAAATGTAGCATTACATGTGCTCATATAGGCTCACTCACAGAGCTAAGTCTCTATTAGCTCCAGTTTTCTTTTTAATAGACTTTTGATTACTCCTTGTCTTCCATATGGAATACAATGCTAATACAAGGAAAACTGAATTGATCTGCAAAAAATTAAGCAACGAAAAATGAAATCCAAGCAGTCATAATTTTATGAATAAAACTGACTTACAATAATGATAACTATCATAGGAGCTACAAAGGCCCATATCACTCCATTATCAACCGACAGCCAACAACTGTAATACAAATAGGATACAATTAATATGCTTGAATCCTACATAACTTACTATAATAAATCTCCCTCATCATTCTTGACTCCGTAATTACTGTGACCAGCAGCAAGACCAATGACAACAGGGAGGAGTGGAGGAGCTGAGAAAAAAAGAGAACAATTGACAAGTTTTGTATATTGTAGGCTTTCCTTACCCCATCCAAGTATAAGAAAGAAGTACCATCTCTTAGAGAGTGTGGAAAAGACCTTTACTAGCATAAGGTAAAGCATGACACCCTCACATAACATCCAACAGAACGAGGAGAGGAAGAAGTATTGGAGCAATGCAGCCACAAAAGCACATCCACCCTATACAAAGAAGACATGAGCTGGAGGCTTTAGCAATGTTTAGTTATCATCCTTTCTCTCTCTCTCTTTCTCTACATACTGAGCTGTTTCTTGCTGTTTCCACTCCAACTGCAAATATGAAATATCCACATAGCAATGATAAGGCTAGGTTAAGATGAATAAAGAAATGAACAGACCTCAATAGAGCTTTCCTAATAATAAAAAGAACCAGGATTATATTATAAGCAGAATTTTTGGCATTTTCTTAAAATGGCCGTAACTCGAGAAATTAAAGTTGGAATCAACTCAAATTTGCTACACAGCATAAGGGCATCAATATGTATCAGGAAATGTAATAAAACTTTGGGATGATTCCGGAGCCATTTTTTTGGAAAAACCATGGGCTATAGTACAGGGATTTTTTCAAAATTTTGGCGTTTTCTTAAAATGGCCGTAACTCGAGAAATTAAAGTCGAAATCAACTCAAACTTGCTACACAGCATAAGGGCATCAATATGTATCAGAAAATGTAATAAAAATTTGGGGTGATTCCGGAGCCATTTTTTGGAAAAACCATGGGCTATAGTACAGGGATTTTTTCAAAATTTTGGCGTTTTCTTAAAATGGCCGTAACTCGAGAAATTAAAGTCGGAATCAACTCAAACTTGCTACACAGCATAAGGGCATCAATATGTATCAGAAAATGTAATAAAAATTTGGGATAATTTTGGAGCCATTTTTTGGAAAAACCATGGGCTATAGTACAGGGATTTTTTCAAAATTTTGGCGTTTTCTTAAAATGGCCGTAACTCGAGAAATTAAAGTCGGAATCAACTCAAACTTGCTACACAGCATAAGGGCATCAATATGTATCAGAAAATGTAATAAAAATTTGGGGTGATTCCGGAGCCATTTTTTGGAAAAACCATGGGCTATAGTACAGGGATTTTTTCAGAATTTTGGCGTTTTCTTAAAATGGCTGTAACTCGAGAAATTAAAGTCGGAATCAACTCAAACTTGCTACACAGCATAAGGGCATCAATATGTATCAGGAAATGTAATAAAACTTTGGGATGATTCCGGAGCCATTTTTTTGGAAAAACCATGGGCTATATAGTACAGGGATTTTTTCAGAATTTTGGCGTTTTCTAAAAATAGCTGTAACTCGAGAAATTAAAGTCGGAATCAACTCAAACTTGCTACACAACAAAAGAACATGTATATGTAATAAAAAAACAAAAATAGAGAGTTATCTTTTAGTCATTTTTGGTGAAATTTGGGCCATTTTAAAAGGATTATGCCAAAACCCAGTTGGAAACCCTGATTATAAAGGCTATGCTATACAATCATACCCTTGTATTAGAAAGAAGACAACAGTCACAATAAGGCAAGCAATGGAAATAGCGCAGCCTATGTAGGAGACAACCTTTAGTGCAGTATACTCTGTGGATCCAGTCTCCTAAAAACAAACTATACTAAATTGACTCTAATCATCAATGATTACTGTTATGCTTCCAGAGACGTCAACTAATACAGCAAATGCAGTCAAGTGAAAGCTTTGACAGTAAACAGTAGCTCTTCCAGTGGTGGAATTAACTACACTGGAAACTGTATTAACACCATCTATTGACCACTCTCTCCTCCTATTTGTAATAATTAACAGAGGATTTGTTATAGGTAGAATAAATTGTTTTTACGTTGTATTCCAGTAGACGCATTTGTACCCACTTGAGTTAGTAAACTGAAATAAAAATTAGCAACTTATGAATTATACAGTAACTATGAATGGTATATTAAGATCCTTTTATATACTCACATTATCGACATTAAATCTCAATGAAATTGGAAACTCTGTGTTCCTAGCAATTCCAGCTACCTGTCCTGACCAGACTATAGAGCCAGGCCTTGTATTATTACTATGGAATAATACAACATGTACATGTACATGTACTTAGCCAGTAACTTACAAACTGCTTCCATCAGCTTCTAAGAAATTCTCCAAGTTCTTAAACAGGATACTGACTACAGGAATGGTAGTGTCTCCTCCTTTATAGCAAAACAATAAACAAAGTATTAATTATAAATAATGACACGCACTGTTTCTTCTCTCTCTGAGTAGTTCAGGAGGTATGGAGACTTCAGCCCCTCTCTCTGATGTAAACAGCGTCCCATCAGTGTCACCAGGCTGAGGGAAAACCAATGACTCACTGGCAGCACTGTACTGATTAGCATTGATCACTATAGTTAATGTACAAATGAATCATTCCTCATATACTGACTGTATGCTATACCCACCAATGTTTGGTCTCCTCCTCAGTGTAGTCTCATTCCTAGATAGAGCCAAATATTTCCCATATCTCTCAGCATTGCTAAGGAGCTCAGTACTGCCACGCAGTGTAGTGTCTTGAGGGGCCTGGATAAAGGAAAGAGGGAAAAGAAACAATAAAACTAATGCATGTACATATGTATGTGTGAATCTTACTTGTTGCAGTTGCTGCCATGCTGCCAACTGACTGCTATCCAAAAGACTATTAAAAACCTGGACTAGATTCTATAAACATTGAGAGAATACACATACATGTAATATACCATACAGTACTGTGTACATATCATTACATACCAGTCCATCAACAATTCTGGATATATTATCATTCTCCTCATCAAGGCTATCAAACAGGACATCAATGACAGTGTCTACAATCTTGTTAGTAGCATTAAGTGAGCCAGGGAGGAATAGCTCCGCCGACTCTACAACTTCAGATGTGGAGGTAGCTAGTGTTGAGACCAGCTCAGAGAGAAGTGACAATTGTTCATCAATCGTTATGTTAGCGTCAAGGATTGATTCAACCTGCATGGAACCATCATAATACAATTAATTATTTTAAGTGCAATAAGATTAACATGTACTATTATTGCCAATGATAGACATGCAGTACCTGATCAAGATAATTTTGATATTCAACTGGTAAGCAGTCCAATACATTAGTCTCGCCCCAAACTCCAACAGAAAGACATGCTTTGGTTGCCGTACCTACAAGCACACACTAAATTAATAAGATACAATGTCTGATATCAGTAACCAAGAGTAGCAGCGTCTCCTGGGCAAGGTTGTCTGTCTACTTCACCAACTAGTACATTGGCCCAGGCTATCCCCCATTCAGTGTCAATACCAAAGCCACAACCTTCAAAATCTGCAACAGAATACATTGATTGAGTTATATAGTGCACATCATAACTAACTTTCTAGTATTTGACAAGCAGCGAGATCTTGATTTGGATTGAATGTCCGTCTACAGTTATCCTATACGCCATGAGTATGTGTGTGTACAAATTGAAGTATCTTAAAACACACAGAGACCATTTGACCATGTTGTACCTGTATACAATAATGGAGAGTGCTGTTAGGAGCACAAGAGGTTAGTGGTTCATCAGGGAATGAGTCTCCATCACTATCAACAGTGCACAATCTACCATCACCAACAAACGGAGGAACACACTACAAAATAATGTACTATAATTAAAAGTCATGCATCTCTCTCTTTCTCTATGTCCTTAGTCCTTACCTGACAGACCCCATTATTGCAGTTGCATGGAGTAGTAGCTCCTTCATAGCAGAGATAAGTAACACTTGATGTATTTGTATCCTTAGGTAAGCAAGGACAAGAGGCTACATGAATTGAAATACAAGAATAATAGTGATTGGTTATACCACCATTCCTGTATGTACATGCACATATTATGATGTACTTACATGCAGATATAAATAGTTGGACACCACTCCTCTGTGGTAGGACATAAAGACCTCCAAACTGTGCTGAAGAGGCTACCAGTTGATTTAATTGTGCAGGAGTAGTGTCATTGAATCCTGTTAGCTCCACACGAAATTCTAATAGAGCTGATCCTGTCTCTGTGTATGTCGACTGAAGACTGACCGACTTGTAGGACACATTATAATTCACTAACAGATCTTGAAGCTATGATAAAAAACATGTAATTATTTGTAAGGCGATGATTAAAATTTTTAGAATCAAATCACAAATTTAATTTTCAAAATTAACATTTTATTATTATAAATTAAAAGGCTTACCACTTCAACCAGTACAGAGTCATTAGGAGTAGTTGTTGCATTACTAGTGTCCACTGTCACCCAAACACTAGCTACATTATTTGACTCTTCTCTCAATAGACACGTGGTCATATCGGGAGCCTCCCATCTTGATGCATCAGAGCAGACCCTGGTAGCAAACAACCCCGACTGGAACTGAGGACCAGCTGCTGTACAAGGAACCCTAGCAACTGATCCACTAGGTGTTACAGCCCAGAGTATACCATTAGAAAAATTAGTAGGGCAATCTAAAATAAAATAAATAAAAGTAATTGTACTAATATATAAAATTCAAATTCTACTAACTTTGAATTATTCCAAGTGCTATGCTTTGCGATACAATCGGTTCGCCATTCAACACCAATGTACAAGTATATGTTCCAGCATCATTATAACTGAGACGATTGAGCAATAAAGTGTCTTGCTGATTATTAGTGAACTGACAAGTGGGAATTCCTTCCTCGGTCTCACAGTTCAATGGCTGACCATTGTGCTGCCAGGTAATGAGGAATGATCCTACGCTTGGCTTGCAACTGAGAGGAATTTGAGTATCCAATAATGCTTGGACTACTGGGCCACTTGTTAATAACTGGGGGACTGAAGGTTTATTGTAAGAGTATTACTATCATACACACAGCTATCATGACTTACCTTCAACATTGACAGTAATGGTGTCATTGGGAACTTCAGCTGAATAATCATATTCATACTCATAATCTAAAGCAAATACAAATCACACAAACAAACAAAAATATTTAAGTCCTAATAATGGGTTACTCACCATTGTCCAGGTAAGCAGTATACTGGCCAGCACTCCTAGGACTTACTGATCTTAGAGACAGACTATAATAATAGCAGGGATCATCCTCACATGACTGGTAACTATAATAATTAATGACAGTGCCATTATTTGATGTGAACATAACAGGTATAGCTTTTAAATAGTTGTTGCCCCCTCGACTGTATTCTGCTGCTAGGAAGGATAGAGTAACACTTTCTCCAAGGAAAGCATTGATCACTTTGGATGAGGCTGCACGAACGAATGGGTTTTCTGAAGCAAAGAGATAAAAACAAATTAAAAATAAAATGAGAACACGAGGTTTGCTACACCTTGACTACTTCTCTTTCTCTCTCTTTCTCCTAACCTGAAGTTACTATAAATGATTTAAAAGCTCCACTGACTGAAGATTCACAATAATATCTACCACTAGTCTCATCATGAACATATACATGCAATGTATTCTGGAACTCTCCATTTGGTGAGGCAGTGATCTCATTATTAGGAGATGAGGCATTTACTGTCCTTATAAAACCAGTCTCATTGAACAGCTCCACCTTGAACACTGGATAATGATCACCTTGGACACCAGTGCACGAGAAACTGGCAAAGAAACCATCAGATACTGAACGCTTTGAATTAAAGTAGTATTGAGGAAAATAGTTGACAATTGAGTTATTTGCAACATTAAAGCGAAAATTGGTTATAAATATCCTCTCTATAAATAATTAAAATGAAATATTATAATAATTATTACAATGGAAAACTAATGCATAATTGACAGGATTTGGCATAAAAAATTTCAATTGCAAGCAAAAGTGGAAGCATCAAACTTACCTTGTTCAATATCAACTCTGATTGTTCGAGGATTATAAATTCCAAAATTAGCTCCATCCCTGAATCCACAAGTGAATGTCATTTGAGAAATACTGGCAAGATCCACATCAAAAGCAGAGGAGAATGTAGGGGAAGTGAGATTGAACTCTAGCATGTGATTAAGACCAGGAGGAGAGAGATCAAACTCTGGCACATCAAGCAATGAAGACAAGATTTCATAATTAAAAATCCTAAGAAGGTCATTTATAATTAAGTTCATGCAGTTGAGATGAGCATACTCTATAGTCCAGTAAACAGGAGCAGCTGTCTCATTAGGACTGCAGGAGATATTGACTCTTCTTCCACTTAATGCATACACAGTAGAGGGAGGGAGGGGAGAGAACACAGGAGCTGTTGGATAAATAAAGATATTAAAGTCTGAGTCGCAATATCCTTGTATATGTACATGTACAATGTTAACTAAAACCTACTAATAGCTAAAAATTGACTGGATCTGTTATAAACTGTAGCATTGTTTTGAGTCACTGCATAAAAGAGAGAGCTTGGTAATGTAACATGTACAAGTTATTAATTTTTAAAAAGCAACAAACAAACCTTCAAATGTAGCAATTCCAGTATGAATGACGCCAACAATAAAAGTGTAATTGAACCTATAGCTGAGGTTAGGCAGTGTAATGTTACTCACTGCATAAAATGAGGAAAATTTTGTATCACTTGGTTGAATGCGAATACTGAGCAAGAATGATTGTCCATTATTACTGAATCCTTCAGACCCATATGCATACCGCATGACCAGTGAGACATTAGTACCAATAGGGGCACGAATAAATGAAGGAGCAGTTGCATTAAAATATGGATTACCTATAAAGTATATACTTTAAATAATTAGTCACTTTAAATTGTAACTAACTTAGTGTAGTATAGACCTCAAAGCTCTCTCCACTAGCCCCAGAGCTGCATACATAATACCCAGTATCATTAACATCAAAATTAGCATAATTAATAGTTAGATCTTGTCCGGCTCCTATCACAGAGAGATCAGGAGCTGTATCACTTGTCAGGAGGGTCTCTGGTAGACTGGACACATCCCTCGTACTCCATTGCAACTGCCCGTGACCTTCTTCGGCAAAACAACGGAGAGAGAGGAAAGGAGTATTGAGAGGAAAATAGACACGAAATGAGTTTATGATAGCATCAGAGAATAACTCGTTATTGTTGTTCCATATGGAAACAGGTCCTAAAAAATACATTCAAAATCATAAACATACATAAAATTTAATTCAAAATGATGAACTATAGATCTACTATTCTAGAGTATGCAGAATCAAAATAATGTATAACACACTCACTTGAAACAGATACTATTGTTAATTCTATTCCATTGACTAGTCTGACCAGTCCTGGGTCATAAAGTCCACACTCAATAAGTAATATACCGTATGGCGGGCTAGTCAATGTCAATGTGTGATTCAGACCAGGTGGAGAGAATAAGTATGAAGAATACTGTTCCCATAGGGGGACCCCATTGAAATACTGCCAGCGAATGACAGCACTAGGATTACTGGGAATACAAGTTAGAGTTGTGCTTCCATTAGTGAATGCACTGGATCTTTTAACAACAAGAGTATTATTGAGTGAAGATACAGAAGGAACTAAAAGAGAAATTAAAAAATAATATGAAGATGATCAGTTAATCAAGGTACAAGTCAATCATAAGTTATACTGACCTGATATTGATGAAATGTTAAACGTTCCAACACAAACCACTTCAGGGTTTACAGCCTCAGTATCAGAGCCAGAACCCAAGCTACTGGAATTAGCATCAAAGTAAGAGAAACATACATTATAGAGGCCAGCAGATCCCTGACCAACTGCATCAAATGTTATATACAATGACTGATCATATTCATCATCTTCTATGAGCTGGACCACTGGAGAAGGACCAGTTGAATACATAGGAGAAGATGATGGATCAATTGTTGGTAAATTAGTTGGAGTTGAGCCAGTGGTTGGTACTGAGTTGAGGCTCATAAACTGAACAGAGTCAGTATCAATTGGTCTCTCAGTAAGTATAGCTGCTTTTATGCTCAATGGGCTACCAAGTATAACACTGCTAACTGTATTCCCATTAGGATAATAGACACTTGGAATATCTGCAGTGAATAAAGAAGCACTATAAAGTGAGATTAAATTTCACAGCTATTGTAAGGCTCAAATATGGAATGACAGCCACTATTCACATGCTAACTCACTATTAATATTATCTGCTGCTGATGTAAAATGACTCAACATAAAAGGTAATTTTTAAACATGAAATAAAATGCTCATTTTACAACTATAATATCGATCTAATATCAGCTATATATGGCTATAATATATGGTGTGTACATGCATAAAAAAGCAGCAATGTTTCTTTACCTTGAGCAGTCACAATGAACAAAATAGTGCTGGCATTGAATGAAGAAGAACATGTATAAACTCCAGAGAAATCCAAACTGAATCCTTCGCCAAAACTAGCAGTAATCCTGTCGCCTCCCTGATAAATATTGAGTCCCTCAATAGGAGAGTTCCCATCCAGTTTCCTAGCGTTAAGGACTGGAAGAAATAACTCACTAGGAGGAGACACAGAGCAGACAACATTGAATGGAGTCGCCTGATCATGAACAACATAAATATTACCAAGGACATCAATGTCTTCTCCATTTTCCTGGATGGACAATGTAGGCACTATTGAAAAAGAGAAAAGAATTAATCCACAACATTACTATAATACTGATTAAATATACTCAATAAGTTGTTACTGGTATATACTTACATTGGCCCCACTGTACATACAATGAAAGAGCACAATCATTCAATCCAATGATAAGGACAGCAGGTCCAACATGAAAACCATTAGAACAAGTAATGGTGGAGTTAGATACACCCTCAGTTGATACCACAGAGCACTGGACTCCACTAGCAAATGAATGAGGCCCACAGTAACCATTGGTACTAATAAAGAGAGATGCATTAGATATTAAGAGACTGGCATTGGTCCTGTATATCTCAATGGTAAATGGTGAGTCCTGATATATGATTGAAGGATGAGTAGTATCATCAAGTGAACTGCAGTTGAATTTCTCTTCATTGCTCAGATTGCAGTCTTGGGAGGCAGAAAGATCAAGCAAAGAGGAAGAGACTAAGAAGATGAATAGGAGCAGTGCAGCAGCCATCTTTCACTCCCTCTTACTCTAACACTACAGCATGGCTCTCTTATCACAACTTCGACACTATGCGGATGTGTAAGACATTCAATTAATTGACTGTTATTTAAAAATCATTATTTTAAACACTAAGATACTTAAACTATACAGTCCATTATCTACTGTTCTTTTTTCTTTTAAGTAACGAATTCCTCAATGCAACCTACACATAATAAATACAAGCACATTCTGACAAGGACTTATAACACCATAACTATATAGCATCAAATAAATAATACATAGTTTTTTGTACATACATACATACATACACATACACAGGATAGGAAGGATTATACTTACTTGTTTCTCTCTGAATGACCTCTTCTTTTTGCCGCGGAGGCTTTTCTTCTGCCTCATCATGGAAAAGGGCTTTGATTTCATTTTCTCTTTGTTAGTGGTGCTGCTGGGGGCCCTTGGCTTCTTAGTGAACTTGTGAACCTTGGGACCCACTGCCTCTGGCTTCTTGCCCTATAAATAAACACACACAAATATCACTACATACATACACATAATATATTGTACACATACATACATACATGTATAATGTCTTGTACATACATATTGTATTATACCTTATTCATAAGAGCTGTCTCGGGATATGATAAAAAACTATTCTCTTCCTTGCCAGCATATTCACCCTCTCCATCAGTCTCTCCTCCTCCAGTGTCACTATCACTGTTACCCTCTTCATCATCAGAACCCTCTTCTTCCTCTTCCTTTACCATCTTCCCCTATAAGATACACAATATATTAGTCAGGACTGAATAATACCAAACAGTCCTTACTCTATCTTTCTTCAATAACATGTCAGGATTGACTGTCCTGAACACATTGATGATAGACCTTGCCCCAGCTACTACAGTTTTATTACGATAACTCTTATACCTATAAAAGAATCAAATATTGCTTTCTCAACATTTCTTAATAAAAAATTGAATATGGCGTACAATATACATGTACATGTACATGCATGCTCACTGTGTCAGATCATGCAGTAAATCCTCTGATAGTGCAGTTGGGCATCTAGCACAAACATCACTGATTGTGTGTAGCCTTTAGATTGAAAAGGAGAATAAAGGTAGAGAGATATACATAAAAATATCAAACTGCAGTGTTTTTATTAGATGAATTACCCGAGTGATATTGCTTCGGCAGAATTCCTATCAGTAATAAAATTATTTGCAAGACATCTAAGGACTGGCTCTATAGTCTACACAAAAAGTGTGTAAATATTGTAATAGAGTTAAGAAACCATTCGTTACTTCAGTGGGGACATGCTCATGACTGGCATAAGTGAGAAATGTGAGGAGTAGCGTCACATCTGTCGCAGAAAAGACAGAAAATATAATAATTTAAAAGGTATAGCGGTGAAACTGACGTTTCTGATGAGGTTGCAAGTATCTTTGAAGGTAAGAATAAAAGTTCAGTAATATCAACTGCAATATGGAGGAAGAGGATAAAAAAGGAGAGAGAGAGAGAGAAGGAAGAGAAAAAGATACAGTTTAAATTTAAACTCGAGTATTTTGTCAATATCAATCAATGCCTTGTGTATTCCAATGAGTCTTGATATGAGGTTCATTAACATGACGCGGACGTCAAACTTCTCACGACATCCTTCAAGCTTCTTGTACAACTTCTCAGCAAAATCTAAAAAACAAGGTATAATCGATTAACAAAATTTAAATTTCTAAAATTTCTTCAAAATGTCCAAGAGAGAATTCTAACATGTACTATGGTACAGGGTCTTCAGCCATTTTTTGAGTAATTTTTAAAAATTCGTAAAAAAATCTAATTCTGATCGGAATCAGCCTAAACTGCTACACAACATAAGAACATGTACATGTATATGTATCAGAAAAAATAATTACAATGAAGAATTCTCTCTTAGTCATTTTGGGCAAAATTTGACATGGTAACTTACAAACCTTGCGGATCATGTATTAGATGAATAGCAAGAAATGATGCTTCTGTCTTTGATTTCTTCTTTCTCTTCTGCTTCTAATTAAAACGAAAAATCCAAGACACAAGAATCAAACAATTAAACAGCAATGATACTATTATTTTTATACTTTTAAAACTTTTAGCGTTTTCTCAATTTTCTTCTGCTTTTGTTTCCCCTTTAGTTGCTTAGTATGCACCATCTTCTGACGAATCTCCTCCTACAATAAAATAATAATTAATATGTAGTTATTTTGAGAATCACCTCATCATCGTCATCATCGCTGGAGTCCTCATTCGGAGTACTCTGATTAAGAAAAAACTTCAGAGAAGCTGTGACTACCTTTAAAGATGAGAAATACATTTGCACATGTACATGAATGCAATAATTTCAGTAAATGCATTAATTCTTGTATAGCAACCATTAACCAATGTACATGACTACATGTACATGTATGTAATGTATATGTAGAATGAAGATGGACATAACATGACCCAAAAATCTTTGCCAAAATAAATATTATACACACACACACACACACACACACACACACATATATATATATTGAAAGTTGTTATATAGTTTATTGTACAAAAGCAACTGGCAAAAGACCAACTCATATCAAATAGAATGCAATAACTGGCTCCATTCCTTTATAAGACAATGATTGAGAATGAAGCATGTACACATGTACAATAAAATGAGTGAGGAGTTATATCTGGAACATTCTTCGTCACTTAAGTCATTAACCTCCATATACTATATAAGTACATTATGGAATGCTCTATAATTGCTGATGGCAATGTTATTACAACACAGGATAAAATTACAAATTAGTGTGTAGGTAAATGCAGATCAATGCATACACTTCATTAAATAGCCCATAAAGAATGAATTATTATACATGTAGTAGTCTAATCTAATGCACACAAACAAATGATTTGATGCTAATTTATAAGGTAGTGGAGTTAAAGGGATTGGTCCCCTCCCCACACACACATAAATATATTAATGATTCAAGAGAGAGGGAGAGAGAGAGAGAGTGGGGAGAGAGAGAGAGAGAAAGAGAGAGAGAGAGAGGGAGGGAGGAAGGGAGGGAGGGAGAGAGAGAGAGCAGTATGTGCGTGGGTATAAGAATGACAATATATTACATAATGCTTACACTATGGAATGGTGAGAAACAACCAACTGAAATGATATTAACAGTCTTGGCATCATTCCTATAACAAACACAATCAGAGGCACACACATGAACACCAATTGATGATACCACACAATCATACAGTAAGAAATAACAAACAGATTCAAACCCACTCACCAAACGTGGGATTTGAACAGCTCCACCATCACATCCTATAAATAAAATCTTAAAATTCACATTTTAAATAAGAAGTTGTACCAGTGACATTTGACTGCAGTACCATGGTATCGC